AATCCCAAAAGGTTGCAGAATTTAAATGTTGCAAGCTGCCAGAATGTTGCAAATCTGCCTTTATAATATGCATTTTGTGTTGTTGTGTTGATTTAGGGGCGACGACGATCATGGGATCGGATGCGCCCATGCATTTTGTGTGTATCTGTAATAATACCCAGCAGCTGATGAAAAGCTCTCCAGACAAAACACAAACATTGCTGAAGGCTTCGTAAGGGTTGCAATAGGAGCCGACTCTGCTAAAAGGTGGGGAATGGGGCGAATCCCAGTTAAGGGGAGGTAGTGATGCCACCCCTGACCCACCTATGACAAGTCCCCTACTGTAACAAGAGAACAGTACACAGTAGAACACCAGAACACTTGAAACGTCTGGGCTTTCATTGTGGACGGCCGACCAATAGGCGTTAAAGTGCTAAATAAAGTAATATTTTATTTCCCCCTCCCTCTTCTCTGTTACATTTTCCATTTCTCCTTCTCCCTCTCTCCACAAATCTTCCCCCCCCCCCCCCCTCCCTCAAGCTCGCTACTCAAAAGCTAACATCACCTTGAGCGTCTACAATAATTATTATAATGGTGACAGCGATTACCAAATATGACATTTTGAGGCGTTAAACTACCACAACAGCACATGCAGCACCGCTCCTGTGCCAGGTAAGTCCGCTACGGGCTCACCATAGCCCGTGCTACTTAGAATTTGTTCAGAGTAGCTGAATCTATAACAACAAACTACCACCTACAGTCGCCCTGCCTAGCTGGACGAGGCTTACCCCGCGTCCGCCTTACAACCTTAGACACACAAATAAATAAACAGAAATCGTTTTTTATGGATTTACAAAGATTGCTTAACTAAGATTGTATGGATATATGGTAAAAAAAACAGATATTTTAGCCTAGCTGTTAACTTAAACATCAACAGCAATTAGGGTAATTAAGAATTACAATTAAAGAATTAGGCAGGGTAATAATTATCGTTATTGGTAACCATCTTCTCAGCTTACGTTTTCTTTCACCTAAATTAATGAAATAGTTCGAAATAGTTCTACCTTCTTCTAGTTCAGAGTCTGATTTCTTTTGATATATTTTAAAAAGAGTATCTAGAGCCCAAGTCACTTATACTCTGAGATATAATTTAATTTGTACTATTAACGAGGCAATAGTCAAACTGGGCCAGGATTTGTTGAGCATTTACGCAACCACTAAAACAGAGAGAGTCCACTTAATCCACTTGACCATCACGACCGGACAAGGCGTCTTGTACATACCAGTTGCGTTGCTTCTGGGAGTATGGGTTCGAGTCACTTCTGGGGTGTGAGTTTTCAGTTGCATATTGTCCTGGGGACCATTCAGGCTTGTTCGCATTTGTGTTCCTCACGTGTGCCCCAAAGAATGAGGTGATTTGGTAAAATGCTATGCCCAAGATTACTATCCGAGTGCCGGCGGTGGGGTGGTTCAAATAGCTTAGGCTATCACCTCATTTTGTCCGGTCGTGATGGTCAAGTGGATTAAGGCGTCTTGTACATACCAGTTGCGTTGCTTCTGGGAGTATGGGTTCGAGTCACTTCTGGGGTGTGAGTTTTCAGTTGCATATTGTCCTGGGGACCATTCAGGCTTGTTCGCATATATATATATATATATATATATATATATATATATATATATATATATATATATATATATATATATATATATATATATATATATATAAACACAGTTTATAGTCAGATAAATAGAAGTTAGATAGATATACACATATACCAAAAGAATAGGGGTGGTAGGAGAAGAAAATAGCAAAGTGTTCAGTGAGGATCCACAAGGTCTTCTCTGAGTACTCTTGCTTTTCTTCTCCGAGGCTATGGGTCCCTACACTTGCACCAGAGGTGGTACCCCTTTGTGACGATAATCTCCTTCAAGAGATTGAGCCTGCTCTTCCCTCCACAAATACGTCGATACATCTATATAAAACTACTATGGAAGAAATGTCCAACAATGACAACAACACCAGCAAGGTTTGCCAGAGCGCAAAACGTATGCAGCCAGGGACACCTGCTCAGACTCAAATCGCCAAACTACCCATCTTGCTGCCGGCTCCTCGCTGATTGGTCGCCGGTCTGGCTGCAACTGCACTCGCCCACCATACTACTTGATGTCTGGGGCCGCCACGACCTCAGAATATTCAGTGCTTTCACACAGTTAACACTTCTCCCTGCTAGACGTAAGCTTTGGCGTACGTGTACTAAGAGAGGTGATAGCTTAAAGCCAATATTCCCGCACCTCTCATTTACTTGTATATTGCACTTCTTGTTATTTTGCTCACTTGTCTTAACGTAACTTTTCATTGTCATTTAATTATTCTTATTATTTTGATTGATTTTACTATACGAATTTGTTTGTCCATTTTATTCATGTTTTGTTTATTTAACGTAATTAAAATTTCATTGTTAAAATTTACTTGTGTTTTGTGTGTCTTCTCCTTACCTTACCACAGACGAAGTTCCAGATTTTCTATTTTTTTTTATACTATGTGACGAGGCCATACCCCTAGCTTTGAACAGCCGAACACCAACGCGTTACCGTCACACCTTCTATATATAAACACACACATACATATACACAAGAGTTCTTACATTCTTGTACAGCCACTAGCATGCATAGCGTTTCAGACAAATCCTTTAATCCTAATTTTCCCGGGAATACAACTCGCCAAATCGTTTGACAACCAGGTACCCATTCATTGCTGGGTGAACAGAGCCTACAGTTAAGGATTGGCGCCCAGTCAATCCTCCCCGGCCAGGATACGAACCCAGGCCATAGCGCTAGCTTAGCGCCGGCTGAGTGTCTTACCACTGCGCCACGGGGACTTCGGAAACTTACTTAACCTAACCTAATCTTACGCAAAGAAACTTAATATAAGCCAACCAAATCTAACACGACAATCTAAGTTAATGCATCCTAACCGAACGATATTCAGTATATAGTTTTGACAATAGGAAAATAAGCTGTCGAAAAGTCTTGTGTACGATTTGACCATACCCAACCAAAGTTCCAGTACGTTTATTGACAAGTAAATACAACTCAAAGGGATAAAGTAGCTTAGGCTATTTAACCCCCCCCCCCTATGCATACCCAACCCTCCCTAGTGGGCCGTGAGGACGTTTTTGAACGATTGACGTTTATTCTCTTAAAATTGACGTTTTCAGCAATTCTGGTGACACGGAACGCTCTGGCGGTTTTGGCTAGTGATATAATGCATGAAGGCGGACTAGAAAAGATATACATATGGACAAATGCTCATATAAATTATTATATAACGGGTGTTTGTATACCAAGGACACCCTGCACATAACAGGGCGTCCAACATGAATAAAATTCATTCTCTATTTAATTAATCAGGCAACTCATTCACTGGGCATGCCTTCTCAAAATGGCAATGGCAGTGACAACGTTGTCACTGCAGCTTAAGCATTGATATACTCTTTGAAAATCAAGCACACGGCTTTCACACTGACATTGTCGATGCTCTATATAAATATTTATACCAGTGTTATTCGTCCAAACATAATGAATTAACATTAACAGCTTGCGGTAATTAATAGCATAAATTAACTTTATATTTTCTCTTGCAGGCCATTTACTACGTGCATAAATTACTAGAAACGTTTTCTGCAAAAATATCACAGGTCTTCAAACACAATCACTCGAGCGATACCTGAACGAATTCTATTAAGTGGTGTCTACTCACCTAGTTGTGCTTGCAGGAGTTGAGCTTTGGTTCTGCCTCTCAACTGGTGAACCTATTCCTGAGCCTATTGGGCTCTATCATACTGTATCTACATCTGAAACTGTGTATGGAGTCTGCCTCCACCACACTGCCTAATGCATTCCATTTGTTAACTACTCTTGACAAAAAATTCTAATGTCTGCTGTACTACATCATAAAGGATCGATGCCGACAGGCCCAGTATCTGATGACAGGAGACCATGAATTCGGGATGAGTTTATCCAAAGTTCTAAAACATCCATCCGCCGAGCAGGCTGAGGAATAAATATAGATTTCAACGTATATTAGCTTTCAGCACCGGAAGTCTTGCTTTGTAATATTTTGGAATGAAGCCATCACTCGCCATACCCTGCTTGCTACTGGTGCTAACGTGAGTACCCTGGATGGTGGCGCTCACTTGAGCACAGCTTTAGTTCTGGCCCAACCGACACCCTAAGGGACAATAAATAAACTGCCGTGCTCGTACAAAGCTCTTGGACTCCACCAATGCAAAAGTATCCATCTTGTGGGGACACAACCCACCAAGAAACTGCAATTAAAATGAGAATCATGAGTAATGTATTGTGCAGTATACAAATAATGAACTTTGTATACTGCACAATAATTTGTATATTAATTTTCATTACAAATAAAAATGTTATCAAACAATTCCAGCTGTGCCTCATCATTGATTTTGTTACTGGTAGCAGATAAAGAAAAGCAACAGTTTTCTCAGCTTTTGCCTTTTTGTAAGAAATGCCTAGATATTTGAACATCAGTCTATCAAATTCTCATTCTAGTCTGTCACTTCTCACTACAGTGGCTTATCATACTGTACTTTTAAAATTGTTTCAGCGACACCTACTCTGGGAAGCTTACAGGTTTCGACCATTTAACAGTAGTCACGTGCATCACAGGTTCTCAATGTGAATACTCCATGCAGTATTGCTTATTCTAGAATCAAATGTTGTGCACTTTTCATCTTTCATTACAAGATGGTAGTATAATTTTCACATTCAACAACGATCTGTGAACTTTTATAATATTCAAGCTAATACATGCACTTAGTATTAGTAGAAGAGAAAGGTAATTATCAAAAGAAGGCACCAAACCGGGATGAGAAAAGCTACCGATTTAGTAGCTAAAACAGTGGTTATGATCTTACCTTTGACCATGGCTTCTTTTTTTGTAGTAATTTGGTTCCTTAAGTAATGATTAGTGCTTAAAGGGATAATAAAAGTACTTTTAAATAATATATGTTTACTTAAATACTAAAACCTCTTTGCGAGATAATTTACAACTCACATCTTTTTGAAAGATATGACAAGCTATACGAATATGAACAGCTATATACAAATGTGACCCCACCTTACTTCGTGAAAACAGTCGAGACCCAAATACTTTTGAAATTTAGCATAAATTGCAAATTACTAAAAACTATCACGCCATCAATAAATTTACCATGTGTGAATATCTAGTAACAGTTATGTATATTCTTTCTTTAAAAAATACACACAAGCCAAAGCAGTGAAAGTGATTTCTTCAGAGGTCTTGTGGCAAATAAATAATACATTGCATGAAGAAAAATGTAGTCATGCTCTGAATTTGATACAATAGTGTGAAAATGTATTGTACAACTCTCACTGCTACATTGATAAACATTAAGGGTATGTCCATACAACATTCTTAACTTAAATGCTTTTTAGAAATTAATAGGTTTCCCAAAGTAAGCCGCTAGATTGGCTTCCCTAAAAGCTTCCGAGCATGTAGGGTGGGCATGGCAGACTCTAGCAACATCTTCACAGCTGGCGCCATACTCCATGGCAAGAGCAGCTTCATTAATAATTTCCCCAGCACCCGGTCCGACGATGTGTGCACCAAGCAGGCGGTCTGTGTGTTTATCTGCCAAAATCTTCACCAAGCCATCTGTATCATTGTTGCACTTGGCACGTGAATTTGCTGCAAAGGGGAACTTGCCAACAGCATATTCCACACCCTGTTGTAAGAACCAAGAAATAATCATATATTTTTAGAACATACTTTAAGTGTTACTTTGGTTAAATATAGCTTGTGCCATCAGTCACCTTTGAATACTACACAAAATTGCATTTTAATAGATTCTATGCTAGGTTAGAAGGCATCAAAATTAATGAAATGTAAAACTGAATTTGTATGCGACAAATAAATTATAATATATAGTTAAATTATATAATTATAATCCTTTATAAATATTCTGGTGATAATTTTGTTGAATAACAAAGTGTTAATTACCTCAGCTTTCAGATCTTCCTCAGTTTTTCCAACCCATGCCACCTCTGGGTGAGTATAAATAACAGATGGTACGCAATTGTAATCAATATGTACCGGGCCACCTGCGATGCCTTCCACACAGACTATACCTTCGTCCTCGGCCTTGTGAGCAAGCATGGGACCATGAATGCAGTCACCTATGGCATGAATGCTGAAAAAAAAAAAAAAAAAAAAAAAAAAAATACAAATGAATTATACTAACTGTACATAAATACATTACCCACAAATCATTAAATATAAAATATACCTTTAAACCTTTTCCTGCCAGTCAAGAGAGCATTTTCACATCAGCTGCAAAAATTTTTGTTAACCATATTACTGTACTCAAAATTTAGATGGTCTGGTGACAAAGACATTTGCCTTTATATAATTAGTAACATCCAGAATGGTATAAACAGGCCAGCATACATAGTACTCTATAGAAAATTAACTAAATGTCTCAAGTTACACTTATATATGAAATACCACTAAGCACTCCGATATATTTAAAGAAAGCAGCAAAAATTATTAACAAGTGAAAAGCAGTGCTATAAAAAGATCACAATAAAAATTAAGCATTGGCTATATACTACTGTACTGTAATGAAATACCATTTTATCCAGAGTCTTCAATAGCTTGCGGAGACAAGCGTTATCACTTCCATGCCTAGGAAGATGCATTAGGCTTCCAAAACCTAACTTCAAAGTGGCAGACCAGTTCACCTAGGGCAACAGCCAGCCTGCCCCCCCCCCACACAGGAGCTGCAAGACTGACTTCTTCCACCCACAGAACGGAACAGGGGTGGGGAAGCTACCAAACGCCCACCAGAAAAGTGCATTTATTTATGCAGTATTCTATGCTTTATTTCAGAGAAAGGGCCTCCATCAGCAGAACCGAAAATAACTGTGCCCTGGCAAATAAGGTCGTTTCAAAAAAAAAAAAAAAAAAAAAAAAAAAAAAAAAAAAAAAAAAAAAAAAAAAAAATGATCAAAATGCAAAAATGTGGCCAAGGCTTACTCATGGAAAAAGGTGGTCGAGCTTGAGGCAATACATCACCACCTGCAAACCAAGCACTCAAGTGCAATGTGTGCAAAGGTTGATGGACATACAGTATATATAGCACAGGGTTAGACCCACTGTTGGATCACCAAGAGCCCAGAGATCTCTTGCAATTCTCAAGAAAGGAGGCCGAAAACCCAAGAAGCCAAAAAGCAAGGTTATCCTCATAATCCAACCACACACATAAAGGGAACAACCCAAATGATGATGGAAACCAGAACCCCGAGACATGTGCCGAGGTGCCATCCATATTTCCTTATCATAACACATGGCACTGCAGTCAAGGAGACACTGCCCCTGATTGGTGAAAGCTCGACACAGCCCCAACTGAACCCAAGACAATAAAAGCTCCAGCAACAGAAGAGGGTGCTTATAAAACCTAAAGAGGATAAGGACAATACAAAACAAGTAGTAGTGCCCTACTACTTGGAAAAAGAAGGGCACAGAGTACAGCGCCGACTATAGCGAAGGTACAGCCCCTGTGAAATTCAATACAGTACCTTCAGCAACACACACAAAAGAGGGTAAACCTTGCAGGCAAAATTTATCATGAAACGGTAGCCAATGTGCACTCCGCAGGATAGTGACGAGGTGGTTAGAGGTGGGGGTCGAAGACAAGAGCTCTACCGACTCGCCTCTGCATTGGTTTCTGTAGCTAGATTTCGTCTGATAAAAGCGGAGGGAGGGTGGTTACTTTTAGCCAAATCCACTCTTAGTCCAGTCCTCACCATTTCCTCCATTCATCCATAAATTTATATAACACACATTTGAAGTCATTTCTTTTATAAATGATGATGCTTAGAAATTTATTCAGAAGTTGAAAATTTTGGATCTGGAATGTATCTCGGATTTTACCATGGCATATGACGGGATAATGATTTTCGGTTTAATGTGTACTTTATTATCGAGCACTTTCTTTTTGAACGTATCCATCTTGTTATTTACGGTTTGCCTGTACCGTTACTCAACAGCTACCAAAGGGACTAGCAGAAAACTTCTCAACCCGATACAGGTTGGATAACAATCCATTGCGTTTGCAATCCTACTCAGAGACTCTCTTCCATTATTATGACTAGTATAAAGAATGCAGCTGTAACTTATGATGAGGAAACTTATTTGTATGATTCCCAAATGATAAATTCCCACAAAATATATCTTAAGAGACTTCAAATAATGTCTAAAAATGCTTTCACCTACATACAAAACAAACAAGAGCCAGTTAATGTTTGTACTCCTCATCTGGTTGATGTCCAAGTCCAGAAACTAGACTAACCTGGATCAAAATTATTCTATACACAAACAATGAATTGAATATTTGATTAACATTTATAAATGCTCTCAAAGAAATTAAGAATGCAACCTAACCACAATAAAGGCAAATAAAAACCAACCAGAATATCGTTAAATGGCATCAGGATAACATTTAAACCAGGAAATGAAATCAAACATTGGCTTGAGTTTGTAATTAATTAAACCAAAATATTTTGTCAAAGAAAATGTTATATACAGGTATAGATAAGATGTTTATGTTTATGTTTATAGGAATAACGGCAAAATTTATCAAACAATTATTACTGTACTTACTTTGGAATTACAGTCTGGAATCGAGAATTGACGGGAATTCTTCCCTTTGCATCCTTCTCTATTCCAAGTTCCTCAAGACCAAGATTGTAGGTGTAAGGGCGACGGCCAACACTCACTAATAGTGTATCGCACTCCAAATCTTCTTTCTAAAAATAAAATTGACAAAACTATTTTTATAGTTTATAGTGTCAGCCAGTTCATGCATCAGTAGTAGAGGTAACAGTTTCAAATCGCACTACTTACAGTACTGCACTAATCAATTCTCAACGCCCATCTATTTCCTTCCAAATATAAAGGACAATTAATAAAAAATTAGTTATCCTGATGTTACCAAGTAAAAGCCCCTCAATTTAGAATACTTTGTACAAAAGTATGCAGAAACATTATCATGTAACGTAGCACCTGCATCACTGTCCTACAAAACTACTTTACCCTAGAATTAACCCTTTCAGTATTGGCAAACACAAACCATATCTCCACTACCACTCTTGTGCCTCAAAACTTACAAATCTAATGAATAGTTCTGTAACAATGACAATAATTTGTTATTTATAATGACAGTAAAGCTGGCCTCTAGTTTCTATGTACAGTGCACAGAAACTAAACATTAAAATTCACCATAGTAATGGCAGCAATTCCCCAGCTCAGCACACAAACATTACGTAATTTTGTACATTAAAAAAAGTTCCACCGACTTAAATTGCAATTATTGATCTATTTTGCCCCACTGCCTCACAAACCATTAAAACAGCTGCCAGACAAGTATGGCTGACTAATGGAGAAGGAATTCAAGCGGTGAAAAGCAGATTTAAGTGAACTTTATAAGAGGAAGGCTAAAAATATGGGGACACAGTAAACAGTGTAGTGAAACGAGTGTGAGGAAGCAGGGAGCATGAACCGCACAACAAAAATTGTGGGAAATAAGTCTTTGTTGAATTTATTAAGGATGGTGATTGTTAAAAATTTAGATAAAAATTCCATGTAGATTTTAAATACAGGATTTTTTAATATTTAAATGACTTGAAATTTAGAAAGATGGTAGGTAATATACACAAAAATTTTGATTGGAATGTAGGACCCTTATCCTCTGAGAAATACTGTACATGACTATTCTTGCGCATTACCATGATTAAAATGACTAACATTATACACTAATTGAAAAAAAAAAAGGTCCATTTTGCAAAGTTCTGCCTATACTGTACAGAAATAAAAATGCCTTGCAAAACTACTCCCTCTTAATTTTATGCTACTCTAGTACTCATAGCCAACATACCTTGCCATCCTTTACTGCTTCCACAGACACGGTGATCTTTTCACCTGTCTTAGTGGCACTAACAACTTTAGTACTGAGTTTAAACTTTATGCCTTGCTTTGTAAGGATTCTTTGGAAGTTCTTTGACATTTCTCCATCAATTCCCAAACCACCAATTGTGCCAAGAAATTCCACGGCAGTCACTTGAGCACCTAGTCGAGACCATACTGACCCCTGAAATAAAATCAAATTCAGTACAAATAATAACTCGAGGAATATCATATATGGAACACCAGATAAGTGTATACAGATACCACGAAATATATTCCAAACATCATGTTTTGCTATAAAGCATAGTTACACATTCCCTTAAAACATTTGTAACCTTTCAATGTTCTCCATACATTCTCAGCTCATAACGTGTATCTACCCTAAAAATGTTCAGTTCCAGTTCACTCACTAAGCTGATGATATCTCCAGAAAGCATGTATGGGGATAATGTTATAAATATTAAACATTGGGTATCATCTCCCAAACAATAATTCAACACTTCATTGCACCAATTATTTGTTTTGTCTGGGATAAGAAGCCTGTATATACACACTCAAGGCTTATATCGAGGTCCTCCCCTCCCCCCCTTCCTGGTTCTTCCCACGATGCAACTCGACAGTTGCCAAACTCCCGGGTACCTATTTACTGCAAGGTGAACAGAAATATTAGGTGAAAGGAACTGTGCCCAATTGTTTATGTTCTGCCTGGGAATTGAACCCAGAATCCCCCAATTTATAAAAAAAAAAAAAAAAAAAATAATAATTATCTTAATTCCAGCTGAAGAACATCCAAGACAATTACTTTTTTTTAAACGTTTTATGGACAAATCTAAGCTACTAACATTATATTCAACATACTCTGATATTTCAAACCGGATGGAAATGTTTATCGTCATGCAAAGCCAACAGCGAGCCTATAATGTAAAAGATTTTACAGCATATAATTTATATAAAAATTACTACAATACCTACCAATTCTAAACCAATAACTCCAGCACCAATCAGAATCATTTTCTCGGGAACCTTTTTCAGCTTCAGGGCACCAGTTGACGACACGATCACATCTTCGTCAATCTCAATGCCCGGAAATGGAGTAACTTCTGACCCGGTAGCAATAAGGATATTCTTGGCCTTCACAATATCATTTGTACCATCGTCCTTCAGAACTGTCACTTCATTAGGACTTGTGATCTTGCCATGACCCTGCATAACAAAAGCTGTATCAATAAAGTAAAAATTTTAAATCCCTTCAGACTTGCAGGAACAGAGGTGTTGTAAGATTAGAACCTGGAGAAAAAATTTCCCACATAATAAACTAGTCTGTGTGTGGTGAATAAACTTGAGGTGAGAGAGCAGCAACATTTATATATTATCCTGCAGAATACTAGCCCACTATGTGGGCCTTTAAGCTCAAACCATTCTTGATGTGATTTAAACGTTCACAAAAATGTAATGTTTGCAGAAAATTTGAGTTTTCAACACATTGCATTACTGAACACAAGTGATAAACTGGTACAAAGGAAAAGAGCAGAACACATTAAATTTGAAAACCCCTCAGAATATAGTCTTTTAGGATCCAGTGTGATTCATCGTCTCTTCACTGCATTATAGTGAATTCAATTCAAAGTACCGTAAAAAAAAAAAAAAAAAAAAAAAAAAAACTTTCAAAATGCGAAATCAAAAACTGTCAGCCATATGCTTTCCGAATCCCTCAGGACCGAGACTGAATGGATAACCTGTTGTGTTTGGATCAGTGGTTCATCATCTTGAAAAGCTAGGGGAAAAAATTAAAAATTTTGTTGCAGAAATTCAAGCGTTTTGTTTGTACTCACTAATGTGAAGTTCTACCCCACTTGTTAACTTGAAGATTGTAGTTGATGGAGCATTGTTATTTACATAGAAAAGGTGGTGGTGGTGGATGATGTTTTGGGTTGACAAGTGGAGATTAATGATGAAGTAACCTTGGCAGACTGCCTTTCACCATGTACTACACTCTAATGTACCTAATGGCATGGCAGAGTTTAGAGCTTCTGAACCATCCATTAGTGTATGGACCCTGCTCAAGTGGCTTTGTGTAAGCTCACTGACCAAAGTAGTTCCTCATTTATTGCACATATTTATTCAGATTGCCTGTTCCACTAGTTATTCAAACTTTTTTATCCAAACCAACCCAAATCGGATAACAGGTATTTCCGGAAAAAAAGGCATTCGTAAAGCATGTGGCTGATTGTATTATGAAAATCAATAACCAAGACTGTGCTGCACTGAAATAAATAATGTACAGTGTTAGCAAAGTTATAAGTATGTCTGGATAAGAATTAAAGAAAAAAAAAAAATCACTGATCAATTTCTATAGCATTAACCACAACACAGTATGCATTAAGAAATGGTATTTATATGTGCATTTTAATCCCAATAAAGAGACTGCACATAAAAAACGTAATGCTAATAATGCTACTCGCATCCTATATATACACAAGTCTTTTTTAATGCATTCAAAGGGCAACTGCTTCACTTGGACGATAGCCAAACCATCCATTAGAAATCTATAGCATAAATTTCGAGTGTCTCACTTTAAGGCAAATGAAATGTGTGAAAAATACCCTTAATGTGGCCACCCCGACAAGAAAGGAAGGTGGTAACACTTCCGTTCGGCGACGACTCAATGCCGAGTCGTCCATAAAACAGGGGCAAGTCCGGCGATGACTCGGCATTGAATCGTCGGTACGGTAACAGTAGCGGCATTTTTGGGAAGGTCTTGCTGCGGTTTTGGACATTATATGCATATACTCCTTTAAGGAATTTCATTGCGGATACATTGATACCAAAATGAAAGTCCTAGGACCAGAATTGAAGTAACAAAGTTGCAAACAGAATACCCATTTTATTGCTCTTTATTAGCGCTCACAGGGGTAATGCTTCGTCACTTTCTCTGTTTGCTGCGGGTGGTACCCCGGGCTTTTGGACTTAATATTTGCATATATGCCTGTAGAAAATTTTATTGCGAACACAATGATACCAAAATGATAGATCTAGGACGAGAATTGAGATGTCCAAAGTGAAGAGAGAGCTCTTGCCAGTTCCTGGGTAAGACTCACTTTCTCGCCGGGCTTTTAGGATTTATATTCATGTAGTCCTGTAGAGAATTCTATTGCGAACACATTGATACCAAATTGAAAAACCTTGGACGAGAATTGAGATGACAAAGTTGAAAATGTACACTTTTCATAATGAGAGGCGCCTTGGGGTGGCGCAGCGCTCTCTTGTAACCGCAGCCCGTTTTCATCATGTCGGCGGGTGGAGATCGCTGCTGTTTTTGACATTATATGCATAGTCCTGTTGGGACTTCTATTGCGAACACGTTGATACCAAAATGAAAGACCTAGGACGAGAATTAAGTTGACAAAACTGAAAAGAGTGTAAACATTTTATCACTCTTGTGCGCTCCCGGGTAACTTTCTCTGTTAGTTGCGGATGGTAAGCCAGGCTTTAGGAGTTTATATGCATTTAGTCCTGTAGAGAATTCTATTGCGAACATATTGATACCAAATTGAATATCTTAGGATGAGAATTGAGCTGACAAAGTTGAAAAGACTATACACTTTTCAGAATTTACCGCGCTCTCCCTCGCAATCCCGTGGAATGCCCGAACCCACCTGGGGTAGTAGGGCGCTCAGGGGCCCAGAACGCCAAAGTGTAAGTAGTAGCAGAACAAGTAATCTGGATAGATTTTGCAACACCTTTAGTGTATGATTAATAGAAGAAACATGCATGTCATAAGACATTAAATCATTTTTGCACACCAGTTCAGGTAACCATATATTATACTCAGTGTAAGAGCTTTCTAAGGAACTGACATTCTGTAAAAAGAATTAATATTTTGTACGTTTCCACATATGCCAACAACAAATCATAATTTGTGTATCTTGGACCTTTATCATTCATAAAGTACACAAAACCTTGGTCTACAATTTTCTCAATCACTCATTTTGCCTAATATCGACACACAGTATTCCAATACATTATATACAATAATAAATACTAACCTTAAGGCCGAGGACTTTATTATTCTTAAAGAGGTGAACAATGCCGCCAGTGAGAGCTGTCACAGCTTTCTCTTTTGCACCCATAAGTTTCTCCAAGTTCAGCCTTACATTGTCTACCTTAAATCAATAAGAAATCACTTAATACAAAGAAAACAAACATTAATAGTTTATATATTTATAGTACACTTTTCACTTTAAGAATAATATTTTGATTTGTTACAGAAAATGCATTTCTGGAATGATTACTAATGATCTTCAGGACACTTAAACTGTTCAATAAACTTTATGGAAACTTTGAAATTGTACAAATCATTTTCCTGAATAAAATGGTACTTTATACCATTTGCTCAATTGTCTCAAATCCTTCCATCATCACAGAAATACTACCAATGTCTTCCACATCCAAATAATTGGACATGCATTGATATCAAACCAAAGATCATGGCAAATTTAATAATAAATTATCTTACCTCAATTCCACGTTCCACGAAGTCCTTGCTTTTAGCCATGTGGTAATAGTAAGAATTATTGAGAAGGGCCTTTGAGGGAATGCAGCCAACATTGAGACATGTCCCTCCATATGTACCTTCCTTTTCCACACAAACTGTCTGTCGATGAAATTTTGAAAATGCATCAGCACATGTTGGATTATTAAGCGACAATTTAGAAAAATTAAACTGTTCTGTACCTAAATTTTCAGTCATTATGCCAATTATGTTCTTCAAATGGTACACATCTGAGGTATCGGCATCTACAGTACTAAAGGTATTGAATGCCAGCCGACATTAAATGTTAGAAATCACACCATGTACATGCATAATATATAAAATTTTGGTTTCTCACTTTCATGCCAAGCTGTGCAGCCTTGATAGCTGCCACATAGCCTCCAGGACCAGAGCCAATTACCACCAAGTCGGCCTCGTGAGATGCATGACGATGCTGGCTAACCGAGGCGAGGCCACTTGTGGCTGCTGGGCTACGGGCCAGCTGCGCCTGTTTAAGGGATTGGAGAATTAATTGAATTACAGTACTTATAAATAATACATATATAGTATAAAAAAATATTCTGTACTAATCCATGTCATCAATTATTGTAATGTGTGGCATAAAATTAAAGCAAAAAATTGAGTCAAACTCCTTTTTGAAAAATAACAAAAAGCTGCATTAAATATACATTTTTGTCTTTAAAATTATCAAATTAAGCATACTTATTTTAGCATTATTTTTAGGGGTTTGAAGTCAAACTGTCTAGTTTTGTTTATTTTATTTTTGTATTTATTTTATTTATTTATATATACGCGAGTCTTTACATTCTTGTACAGCCACTAGCAAACACACAGCGTTTCAGGGAAGTCCTTAACCCTTATTTTCACACCCCCACCCCCACGAAGCAGCCTGTAGCAGCTGTCTAACTCCCAGGTATTTATTTACTGCTAGGTGAAAAAGTGCATCAAAGTGAAAGAATTTCTGCCCATTTGTTCTGCCTCCACCGGGGATTGAACCTGGACCCTTAGGACTACAAACCCCGAGCGTTGTCCACTCAGCCATCAGGCCCCGGTACTTCATATACCATGCTCAGCTGGATACAAGGAAAGCTCTTTACAGTACAGTGTGTCAACCTTTCAAATACTGTACTTCAAAACCAAACATAGGTTAGAATTATATGAATCTGGCGGGATATAAATAGTAGCCGCCTCATATGGGCCAATAGGCCTTACAGATTAATTTAGTCACATTTTCTTAATGTGAATTACAGTACTTGGCTTAAAAAAACATTGATATCCAGTTCCTGGAGCCTTAGTAAGATCCTGACCCTTCTGCCACAGCCACAGGATGGGTAATGTGTTGACCAGACCACACTACAAAGTGAAGGGACGACGACGTTTCGGTCCGTCCTGGACCATTCTCAAGTCGACTGTCCAGAACGGACCAAAACGTCATCGTTCCTTCACTTTCTAGTGTGTGGTCTGGTCAACATATTTCAGCCACGTTATTGTGACTCATCGCCTGCACATGGGGTAATGTGCATGATAGAATAATTTAACTCGAACAACTCTCGACACACATGTTTAACTAGCTCATCAATGCTCGAATGTGTTAAATATTAGCACCATTGTGCCAGGAAATGACACTAAATTACTGTAACTACATCTGGCAGCACCAATCACTAGTACTTATTTGTATATGAACATTTGTGTACCATCCCCTTTTTATATATACTGTATCTTTACTAGTTTAATGTTAGCATGGACTAGTTTGGCTATGTATTATACTGGTTAGCCTTGTTAACTAGTATGTCACTGGGCTCCAAGGTGGTGGTAATGTTACTACCAATTACCCTGGTCAATTCCCCATCCACCGTCATATTAAACCCACAAATTTTAATTGAAATTAGAGAATATTAGACATATTCGACCATAATATCTACGGATAATTGGCTTGGGATGCGGCTACCGGTGCCAGAGCCATAACACACTGGCCAGCCCATCACTACCCTCCTCACCGCTCCCACGGGGCTAGACTCGCCCACCTGGAGCTACTGTCAACTCGCCTGGCCTTCCTACAGTATATATTCACGGTGGGAAATGCAGTTTACCTTCGCAACACTCGAAATTCGGCTCAATATCGTGGCCTGCATCGTCGGGTCTGGGCGTTCTTCGTCAGCTGTGGCCAACGTCCCCTCGGACCATTACAGTCTTCTGAGAGGTGCCATTAATCTCTTAAAACATATAAATTGTCTATTTATTCACCAAACTAAAATTGCAAAATTTTTCCAATTTACTTTAAAAGCAAAATATAATGTTATTTGAGCGTGTGATGATAAAATGTGTTTTATTACTGGAACCTCACAAGCGCCAACTAGCCTATATGATGTTTCAGCAAATCAAATAAATAAATTATGTATCAATAAACAGTAGAGTACATGTGATAATGTTACATGGTTGGTGTGTGACTGTACAATTTGTAGAGTACATGTGATAATGTTACATAGTTAGTGTGGGAATGTTGGAGTTTTAGTCTTTATAAGGTCCCTAATCACGCTGAAATATTTTACACCAATTGCTTACGGTAATTGCTTACTTCTACCGCGCACAAGTAAGCAATTAAGGCGTTTAAGAAATTAACTTGCCGATGTAAACCTAACCAAATGTAAATTGGTTAAAACAAATTATTCGCTCTCCCTCCTCCCTCCCCAACTCCGTGAATTTAGAAATAACTCAATAAGATATGTTCAAGAATTGTGCAAATATCTCATTCAAAATGATCTACTACCTGAAATTTTAGCCAATTATTCCAAATTCACTAACTGTAGGTAGTAAATGTGGGCGATTGTAACCTTACCACTTTTACCCACTGGATGATTTTTCAAGCTTGGGTATACACAGCAATGTGCTGCTACCCTATTCTATACGAAAGATTGCAGTGTAGGTCAAAAAAAGCTAGCTACAAGTTCATCTAATATACCCATCTCACAGTATGGTTAGTCATACATGGAATCAGGGGAGAAAATACCTGCCTCAATACAAAATCAACTCTAATGAGGGTGTTGTGCAGGTTAAACATTTCAGTTGTTTTTATTTTATTTATATATGCAAGAGTTCTTAAATTTTTGTAAAACCACTAAGCCTTTGGTTTAGTGGTTTTAGTGTAGTTAGTTGAGACTAACCACCACAGGCCTTAAAGAGAGATCTACATGAACTCCATAAATAGTCAGAAGACTAGCAAATGCTTTTTAATATCGACAAATGCAAGACCTTGCATGTGGGGTCATAACAATCCACAACTACCAAATTAACAACATTACCTTGCAGCAGATTGATGAAGAAAAGAACCTTGGAGTCAGCATCCATCATTCACTGAAAGCGGCTCTAGTGCGAGCTGCAGTAAAAAAAAAAGGAATACTTAAGTATACCTTTGACTTTAAGAAAAAAGTTAGTACAGTAGTTCAATTGTAAAAATCTCTGCTGCGCCCCCAACCTGAATTATTGCATCCAGGCATGGAGACCTCCTCTTCAGAAAGACAGCTTCATTGGAGAAAGTTCAACACCGGGAAACAAAAATTTGATCTCATCGAAACGCTCAAAATACTGAACCATTTGGAGGATGTTGATCCAGACAACTTCAAAAGGTCAGGTGTAACAAACAAGGAGCAACGGTTTCAAGCTCAGCAAGCCACAATGTAGGACTGAATACAGAAGCTTTTTCACCCACATGGCTATAAACCCATGGAACAGCGTACCCACTGAAGCCGTAAATCCCAGAACTCTGATAAACTTGAAAGTCCTGCTTGAAAAAGTCATTAGGACAAATGGCAGGGCCATTGACAAGCCGCCGGCTTCGTATCCTCGTCGAGGCCACTAGTGTTTTAGTGGCCCTCTGGTAAATACGTAAGTTGCTTAATTTAGAAACTAATTGTGGTCAGTCTCGTACCTAATTGTTGATGTAACGATATACAGTACATTAAATTTTGTAACTAGTTCATCAAGACTGTAACTTGCTCAGTTAAATCAATTTTGGGATTCAGTCCCTGAGCCCATAATTATGTGCCTCTGTAACCCATTCCACTACCGCCCATACATGATGAGTATGAGGTGCATGCACCATAAAATAAATTAACTAAACTAACTAACAAATCGACAAGTACAATAAGACAAACAGGAGAAAGTTGAAACTAGAGCAGAACTGAATGGGAGCCGGCCACAGGGCAGACAGACCGATGATAACTGAAGCTAGCATGAATTAAGCGAGTGAGGTACCGCAGGACTTAGTACAACTGTGTCTTGACTTTAGGAAACCTCGGGAGGACGGGCTGATACCTAGACAGGATATAGGGATGGCCCTGCTGATGGAGAAGATAAGACTCGCCGTATGCTCATTTGGGTATAATAAGAAGAATAAGAATGAGAATTCATTGAGTCAGGGGACAGGCAGTCAGTATATATATACATGTTAGGCTTATATCGAGCACAGGAGACATCTCCCATCACGCAGGGTGCAGTTGCACCTCCACAGATCACCAGTACCAGCTCTTGATACTGGTAATGGCTCAAAAGGGCCACCACTTACGGGCTTTTCATGCTCGTGCCACCTTTTGGGTGGCTTAATCTTTATCAATCAATCTTATATCGAGGTCCCTCAAGGTGGAACTACTAACACTCCCTAGGTTACAACCGCGCAAGCTGACTTGCTCCAGTATGAGTACCCATTAGAACATTAGAACAAAGGTAACTGCAGAAGATTTATTGGCCCATACGAGGCAGCTATTTATAACCACCCAATCACACTCATATACATACATGTCCAACCCACGTTTGAAACAATCGAGGGACCCCACCTCCACCACGTTACGCGGTAATTGGTTCCACAAATCAATTACCCTGTTACCGAACCAGTATTTACCCAAGTCTTTCCTAATTCTAAACTTATCCAATTTATACCCATTTATTACTGCTAAGTGAACAGTGGCCATAGGTGAAAGTGTTACAGAGAGTGAAAAAATATATATATAAATCACAGGAATCATAAATACATATAAATAAAATTATTATGAAATAAATAAAAGAAGGGGGGGGTAGAAATAGCCTAAGCTACTCTATCCCTTTGAGATGTATTTCTTTCTTATCTCAATAAACATGCTTGAACTTGAATAAAAGAATTCATTAGAAAGGTATTAAAGAAAGCGTGAACTACGACCAGGACACCAACCGACCTTACGAGTCTGACCACAACACAAAAGTTGTGGAGAAGCGGCCGTCAGCACACTACCTCGTGCAGTCATCCCAGGAGAAAATCTTCATGTAAAGTGCTCGTACCGTAATGAAGAAGTTTCAATAAAGTGCACGTAATAGCACAGAAGAACAGCTTCACATATCGTACATGAGGGAACGTGTAGAGTGTAGAGATCTATGTAGATATGATAGAGCCCAGAAGGCTCAGGAATCTGTACACCAGTTGATTGACAATTGAGAGGCGGGACCAAAGAGCCAAAGCTCAACCCCCGCACAATTAGGTGAGGTGGGTGAGTAGGGAAGTCTCCACCAGCACTGGAGAAGCACTCGCACGCTATTAGTTTGTATTTCTGGTAAATACTGTATTCACCTAGTTATTTTTGTGTGGGGGTTGAGCTCTGGCTCTTTGGTCCCGTCTTTCAACTGTCAATCAACTGGTACAGATTCTTGAGCCTACTGGGCTCTATTATATATACAATTGAAACTGTATGGAGTCAGCCTCCACCACATCACTGCTTAATGCTAGACACTGGGTTGTTTAGGTTACAATGGTATCTCAAATACAAAACTTGGACATTTAGGCAATCTCATTTTGATATAATAAATCACAGGAATTATGGCCTGTATTCATGATTTGGTTAAAGGAAACACTGTTGGGTTAGGCCAGTAATTGGATAGGTGACTACCTACATATACTTCACAGCCACTATAGGGACGTGAAGTAAACCATTAGATGAGTTTCTTGTATAACAATGTATACCTGTATCCAAAACACATGTGACATTGCACACGAGTTTATATTTTCCTTTAAAATAATTTGTTAATGATATTAATTTATTAATTTACTTTGGTCCTTTCCTGTTGCATTAAAAGCAGTATCATTACAATTGTGTTATTGGCAGGACTAAATGCTTTGTTTGCTGTTGTGGACAAAATTACATAACACTGTTTTGTTATGTATTATAATGTAACTGTTGTGAAGGAAAGGAAATGGCAGTGGCAAGTCAGCCACCTGCACTCCACTCAATGTAATACATCCCCTGTTAAGCTAAATCTATCCCCCCAGTGTAATTTTTTATATAACTACATTATAGCCATATACTACTAATATTATTTAAATCACTTACTATATGAAATAAATTCTTTACACATTTAAAGAAACACATTTTATATTTAAATAATTTTTTATGCACAGAACTGTACTGTACTTTTGAGTTGTGACCATGGAAATTCGACTGGCAAGTGAGCTCCCTCGAGTAAAGGCAATGGTTGGTCCTCAAGGATCAGCAAGACCTAGGCTAGTTACTCCTGGAGAAATCATATCCCAAGATACAAGCTTTATGAGGTATGTAAAGTTTGTTTACATTGCAGTATAGAGAATAATGGCAGATAATTATGAATTGGCATTTTATGCTATTCTGGCACTGATTCATTCTAAAAATGTTGTGTAGGCAGTCTGCAAATTCTGTTACTTTTGCCTTTACAGGAAATATTTTTTTTTCTCTTGTTGCTGGAGGAACTCATTAAAATTAGGATAGATATTACATGGTGAATTTTGCAAATAGATTTAATAAAGAAAGGAGCATTTGTGAATACTACTCAATTACAGTACTCATTTATTCAATGAATTTTCCTTTCCTTAAATAGTAATGTGAAGCAGTTACAAAAGTATTTCATATTGATTTAAGACATTTTATAGTTATTCTTAATTAGTAGATTATTAGATCATTAGTCTGGTCCTATTTATTTTGCTGCATCTAGTTTGTCTTTTTACCTATTTTTTACAATAACTACTGCATTATCCAGTGTTTCTTTTGGCCACTTTGTATCTTGCAACCTTGGTCTTAATGTTGGTTCTTTTTGTAAAGTTCAATTATTATAATAATAGTAATAGATAATTCTAAAGCCAGTCAAAGTTTTACATAAGACCCCATAGCACCCGGATGTAGGCAACGTAGTTCACCGTATGCTCCAACATCAGATATGCAAAGAAATCTCGCTAATGTGATAGATATATATAGCAATGAGAAAATCAACTGGAGCTCTGCGGTGACAATGAGTCGCGTCAAGCTCCAGTTGAAAACCATGGAAAATACAGTACATAGGAAAGAAAAGTACAAAACCTAAAGCCACATATCTTGTCATTTTCCATGAAAATTTCCATCTTAATCTGATCACATGGTTTCTCATTGTTGTTTGTCTACCTGTATATCTATGGAACAGCTTTGATTGGTGTTCAACTTTTGCAGCAATGTAATTTTCAAATTGCTTCTATTTCCCTCCTGATTTGAGTGTACTCATTCCTGACACTCTTTAGTGCCTTTCCAATGTCCTCTGTTCTGAGTAGATGAGCAGTATGGGTGGTGTGTGGTGGAAAGCTGTTGCGAGGATGGACATTAGGGAATGTAATTGTGTTGTTCCAACTTGTCAAAAGACTTGCATGACTCTTGCCACTCCTTCCCTGGGTGAGGCTATGGATGAGGTTTAGATAAGACTATAGGATTGTGTATCAATTTTAGTGAGGGAGACAAACAAGTGGGTGAGTGGTTATGAGAGTTGATGGTGCTAGGAGGGAGGCAAATCATGGTTTTCTTTGCTGGAGAGGACAGAAGAATGCCATGAGCACACAGTTTAAATTAATTGTTACTAAATGAAAACTTCATTATGGCAAAAACTAGCTGAATAAATGCCAATTATGTAAGGATCAACTGTGATATAAAGTGTACTCAATTTTCAGAGGTCATGGCACATATATGGAAGAAGGTGTTCAAGTGGCATCAGTGGCAGGATATGTGACTCGCGTGAATCGCCTCATAACAGTGACCCCTTTGCGGCAAGTATATCAAGGTAAAAATGGCATTCACTTTCCATTAGCATAGTCTGAATGTATGTGTGTATGTGCACATGCACAGTATTAAAGGTCTGGAATTCTTAAATATTATGTTTTGCATTCTGCATCATTATCTGTTTCCCATTTCCATGTGATGGGGAGGCAACAGCCTGAAAATAAATAAGAAAGAAAGATAGGGAAAGTTGAAAGTGTAAAAACAATTCCTCTGCACATCCCATATCTAATAATAACCAACATCAGTATTATCTCACACTAGCAGAACATCCTCAGATGTATATAATTGCTTCATACAGCTGGTGTAGTGCTTCTAGTTATTTGTCATCCCTCTTCACAAACTAATTCCACCTCAACTTATTCTTCAACATTTATTGTGTGCACACACATTTTATAGCGCACTTTCTCAACATATCTATATTCTTTGATTTTTCTTTGCCTTCCTCAAATTCCCGTCATTCATTAAATACCTTGAAATACACTCCATAAACTTACAATATATAACATTGCACTTCGCGCCTTTCTATGACTCATTCACTTCATTATCTATCTACCGACACTAAAAATTCATCTCAAATTGTCCTCGATCCCACCCCAAGTCAATGTTAAGTTGTCAAGAATTGGCAGTAACAAGAAATAAAAGGAGGGTAAACAAGATGCAATTACACTTTCACCAATACATTATCTATCAAAGTATAACTACACTTATGTACACAGTGTCGCTTTCACACAGAGTACTCAATATATCTGCAGTGTTCTTCAAAACCCCAGTGAGTCCACTATCTTAAAGTATACGTCGTCCACACTCGGTGGTAATCACCAGCGAGTTTACCTTCCTCAACGTGGGCCAGTCCACACACCATATCACCACAATGTCCCAATACCTCGCATCTGCTCTCCAGAAACACACTGGCAGAGGGCTTGAGCGACTCACTGACAGGGGGGTCACAAATAATCACTTCCAGGGGTCTAACACCCTGCCAGAAGTCACACTAGCAACATTTATCATCAGACGGCTGATACTGTTGTCTTGTAATTCCTCTTGACCAAATCCCGGGTACGTCAGTCCACACAACACTGCACAAGTACAACAGCCAACACACTACTTACTACAGATGGCAGCCACTTGTCCTTGCAGGAAACACGTCGGGAGTGCTAGACTGCCCAAGGTGAACTGCTTTCAACAGTGCAATACTTTCTCCACATCACCTCTGAGGACATAAGTCATTAGCCAGACAGAAAGTATACAAGGAGAACATGGGATGACACTCTTTCACCGGGGAACTAAAAATGTATTCTAATGCATAATCTAGATGGCGTTGATATTGTTACGTCACTCGCCAGAGGTCATCATCATCATTGACCTCGCCTCCTAACCGAGGTATGAAACGGACTCCTTTCACAGACGCCACACCTCTGCAAACAGATGGCATTGTCTTTGTCTTACTTAATGCCTTGGAGTTGGAGTGCAGGTCCATAAATGGCGCCAAAATCGCCACACCTCGCCTTTCACACCCAAATCGCCTTTCCATTGAAAAGGTTGATGTTGTAACATCCCTGCATACAAGTTCTGTTGTTCAAGCTTGTGTTCTTCTGTGCTAGGTTCTTTATTACTTATTTCCCCTAGATATCAACAGTTTTTACAATTTTCTCATTCTTTTCAAAGATTCTGCAGTGTTCGTGAGCATTTTAATCAACTTTGTTATTAGCACTCTTAAATATATACAGTAGTCCCAAATAATGGAAAAGGTGGCAAAATAGCACATGCTATTAAATTTAAGGTTGATGTAAATAAATTTTCCTGAGCAGGTGCAGTTGGTGACACAATAGTTGGACGCATTACACAGGTCCAGAACAACAGGTGGAAAGTTGATGTGAACTCAAGATTGGATGCAGAACTCAGACTGTCAAATATTCACTTACCAGGAGGAGAGCAGGTAAGCTAAGTAACCATCTGCAGACAGCTTTTGCTCTTAAGAGCTGATGTGACTTACATGTGTGTGGAGCCACCTCAGTGTGGCTAGCTACAGGGAGCTTCTGAAGTCCCCTTCTTCCCCTCAACTCGCGTATTTAAAAATAGCTTGTGTAAAGATAGTTATGCTGCTTCTGAATGCCTTGCATCACCTTATATATTGCAGTATTTGCTTTATAATTTTGTAATTCGAAGAAAAACATCTAACAAATTTCATTTTAGCGGCGCAGTAATATGGATGATGAGCGTGGGATGCGAGGATTGCTGAAGACTGGGGACTTAGTGTGCGTGGAAGTTCAGAAGATCAGTGATGATGGCTTACTGAGACTTGCAGCTCGATCCATCAAGTTTGGAAAGGTTCGTGATGAATGTAATCTTAAAGTTGCCACTCTGGTCAGTGGTGTGATGGGCATCCCTGTCAGAGGGACTCATCTTTCATCTTACTTGCTGTATATATTTGACTTCTTTCACTACCTGTTATCAGACATTTGAAGTGTTTCAATGGATTCATGGCAAACCTGAAACACATGTTCTTGTATGATGTAGTTACTGTTTATTTTGGATAATGCTGCACCCCAAGTGGTTATTTTGGAAGAAAATTTTGAAATTTTATGATCATTAATAAAAGGAAGGTAGGCTAAGGGAATGAATGAATCAAATACTGAAATGTGCATAAAAGATTGAACAGAAACAAAGGTACAGGGAGATTTTGCTTTGTTTAACCCTTTACAAGTGACAAAGCTACAGTTAGATACATATAGTTGAGTAGTTGTAATGTCTAGGTAAGAATGTGCCCGAGCCAAAGTTCTCTCCACAAAGAGAATGTATTGTTGCAGTCATGTCAGCATAGTTTTGGTTATGTCTTTGAAATATATTGACACTTGTATAACATTTTATGAATATAATAAATGTTGCTGCAAAAGTATAGTTCTCTCACTTTTATCTTCATGGTGTTTTCTTTATCATTTAAGGATGTCATTATTTAATTCAATGGTAATGCAGAACAATACAGACTGGTGATTTTCAGAATAGGAGAAAGTTGCCTTGATAAGCCTTCTATATGATACATGCATTTTGCATAAATAAATAATATCCATATAGTATTCATGCATTTATTGTAGTTGAACTCTGTGTTATGATGCAGTATATTCGCCTAGTTGTGCTTGCGGGGGGTTGAGCTTTACTCTTTCGGCCCGCCTCTCGACTCGCTAATATTCCCCACACACACACACACCCCTAGGAAGCAGCTCTGTAACCGCTGTCAAACTCCCAGGTACCTATTTACTGCTAGGTAACAGGGGCATTCAGGGTGAAAAACTTTTTCCATTTGTTTCTGCCTGGTCCAGGAATCAAACCTGGGCCACAGAATTAAGAGTCCTGCGCACTATCCACTCGGCTACCATACCCCCTAGTGGGGTACTAATATGGATAATTTATGGTATGGTACTTGTTCATCTCTTATGCTATATAATCTGAATGATATAATGACTACTTTTTGTAATGTCTAACATTCCTTCAATGTATTCATCTATTTTCTCCTGGTTGGTGCCTTTCCATCTCATACAAGGCAAGAACAAGGTCATTTATAATGTTGAACTCCACTTCAACTCCTCTCTTTATTATAATACTTACAATTGGTTTGTTTATTTTTCAGCTTTCACAAGGCACTCTACTGGCTGTATCTCCCTCACTTATTGTGCAGGATAAGCAGCGGATGCATGACCTTCCTTGTGGCGCACGCGTTGTGTTTGGAGCAAATGGTTATGTTTACATAACGCCAACAGTTCCAAAGGAACAAGCCTCAAGCTACACAGTAAACTTTGAAGAGGTGAGATTTAGCATTATTTCCCTTGTTTTATTCACATTTGAAATAGTTCACTATAATAAAGCTATTCATAATTCATTAGTTTTATTACTTTTTATTACTATTATATATATATGTGTGTGTGTTGGGGAAAATTAATGCTTCCATGATAGTTTTAATTGTCTCAATGCTTGTTAGCAGAGCTTGATTAAGCTATCATAGGCCTTGGGCATCTTCAAGATATAGGGTCAGATTTGACAACATACTAACTAATAACACAAGCTACTACTGACTATTTTGCTTTCATCTATGGCCAGAATATGCCTAAATAGAACGGTACAATTTAAATACAGAAATATATAAATTTTCTATACAGTGTATAGAAAATAATTTAATAACATACAGCACTAATAGATTTAAGTAATAAATAAATGGAAAAAAAGTACTGTACTTTGATATCAATTTAATAATATCCTGTAGAAAAAGGGGAAGAAAAGTTTGTTTAATTTTTCGTAGGCCTCCACTATCTTGTAGGCCCAAAAATTATGGGTACTGTGCCTAATGGATAATCTGACACTACTCATTATTACTGTCAATGACATTTATGATATGACCTGCAGAACTCATATTGTTTGCACTTACTGTACCTGGTTTTTGATACTGTTGCATCATCCATTGCATGTAGTGTAGTATGCCCTAAAGATTTTAGTAATAAATTAGCTATATCTATGATGTGGTGTTTTTTAAATAAATTACATCCTGACATGATCTGACAATGCATTATGTGGAAAGATAACCTGGCGCATTACCTAAAAGTACCTTGTGATCCAAGTTCTTCAACAACAGGGCAGAAATTATTTTTTTGGGGGAAAAAAAAAAAAGATTAGTGGTAACCCAAGTCTTATTGGAGTGCCAGAAGTAGGGATTTGACATAGCCTTTTAATGTTTTTGGCATTTCTAAATGGCCTAAGCTGATAATTGCCAAGTGTCTTCTAATGCACAAGCAGTAAAGTGACTTTAAAATCAGGTCCAGTGTTTTCTTGTTTGGGTAAGAATGTGCCTAGTGACATACTCTTCCAAAATAGCATTTCATCTATTGCACTTTGAACTCTTGCTTGGGGATTGTTACCACCTTCCTCCGTAATCTTTTAGTGTTTTCTTATGTGCCTCGGCTGTTGTAGTATTGATGCTTGCTACCTAACCAGTCATTTTGAGGTGGTGCAAACTGTAGCACCTCTAAAATGTGCTAACCAAATTTTCACTTGTTGCACTCCCACCAGTTTGGTTCTTAAAATCATTAAACAGAGACCCTTTGGCTGAATTTACATATATGTGAGAGACGTGGTGCTTAACCCCTGCACTGCGCACCTGTTTTTGGCAAAATCTTCATAGTGCAATTGTTAAGGACATATTTTTGTTGTTTTTATAAATGTTCAGGTAAAGTTAATGTCAAAATGTTCCCAAACTTGACTATTTTCATTTCAAAATGCAGAGTGATTAACATTAAAAAACATTAAAATATAGCCTAAGTAAAAAAAAAAAAAAAACACCAACTCCCAGAACAACTTTTGGCTGGCTGGCACAGTTAAGGGGTTAATTCACATACCCACCAACTCCTCCACCTACTTACACATTTTGCTGCACTAATTAAGTAGCTTCATAGTCTGTGTCCAGGCAGCATCCTTTTGTATAAAATTGATTTAATTGATGAAGACAGACCCAAGATATTAGTGATGTAAACTTTTCTTCAGCTTCAAGGCACCATATTAATCTTTCTTTATCCCAAGTGAAATGTCTCCTCTTCAACTTTTGGAGCAGACACTCATTATGGATGAGGTCTAGTGAGAAATAGATAAGGAAATTTAAATCATTGAGGATAACATGCAAAGTACACAAGCAGGCACAACACAAGAGTGAGGTGGTGCTGGAAAACTGACAGCCTCGGGCCACCATAAAGCCTCGCCTCACTATAGAATATATATATAGTTTTTCTTTATTAGTGTAATTGTTCTATTTAACATTTTCTCAACTCAAAGTATGTGCTACAGCAGATAAATGTAGAATTTTTTTTATTAAAGTTATTACTTGCATGTATTAGTGAGATAATGGGCTACATTGCATTTAATTCACCAAGTTTCTTGAGGTATAGGTTGAATATAGATAAATATCAGCATGTAGGTCTTGTTCCCTTTCCTTCCCCAACTAGTTGGGAATGGATTAAAGTTGATATCATAAAAAGGAGTTATCTATTAGTATTTTTGTAATAAAGTTGGCTTTGTTCTCAAATTGCAATCAGGGATCCTGGGTAGGACAGAAATAGTTGGGCACTTGGGGTTGGATCCTGAGGAGGGTCAATAACCTTGGGGGGGGGGGGACCTTGATACAAGTCTGAAGTATATACAAGCACAAGCTTCCTGTCCCTGATAATTTTTAATTATTAATTATTATATGATTGTGATTCCTGTAATTTTTTCCAGGTGCCTGTTGACATTCGGAAAACAATTGGGCGTTTACGGAACAGCATTAAACTTTTGGCACATCATTCCATCATGATATCCCCAACAAGTGTGATGACTGCCTTTGATTTATCTATTGAACAAGAATATGAGGTACTTTCCCCATTGTTTGTATAATTTGCATATCTTGGATAATGATAATCAGCAGAATTGCAATATTATGAAGAAAATATGGCCCCTAATTTATTGAATCATTGTAAATAATGGAGGTTTTTGAGATTAGTATACGTTTCTTGAATTACCAGACAAATGGACTCGGTGAAGATGCTGCTATTCAGTTTGTTATTGCTCTTAGTACCCACTTTTGACCATGGATGAAAACTTCTGGGCTTGACCACAGAGCCAACCACCTCAATGAACTTCAACTTGAATGTTAATCATATGTGAAACATCTCTGTGTAATAATGTCTGTCCAAAGTTGGAAGCCATATGCATAGACAAGCCTTGCCCAACTCTGCAGAGAAATGCTCTGGGGTACAGGACAGACATAGGTTGGTCAGGGTCAGCCTAAGTTAAATACTGTACTTGAAGAAATATCTGAATCTAATCCTAACTCCCTGTGCAATTTGAAATGAAGTCACAGATGTGTTTTCCATAGCGTTTACTCCTGCCTTTGCCCACACATGTTCATGATCTTGATAGTTGCTGGAACGTAATCCTATTTTTCCTCATTCCTTTTCCTAGGTTTTACAGGAAAGTAACCCCCAGGCAACTAAAGACTGTTTATCTTGGTTAGATTTTGCATGATCTAAGAAATACTTTACATAATATTACTACTGTATATATAGTTTGTAAACACTGTACATTGTTGGTCATTATGCTTCTACAGTATAGCTTAAATGAATACCAGATTAAACTGATATGTTTTCTATTTGTATCGTTTCAGGTAAAGGATTTGTTAAAGCCAGACATAATGCAGGATTTAGCCATGACAACAGTACAGATGATGAATGAGTAATACTCTCACTTGGATACAAATATTAAAGTACTGTATTGTAATATTGAATATAATTTATTTTTATCCCCACTTTATTAATATACTGTACAATAACTTATATTCTTTACAAATTTAAAATGCCATAAACATGACTATAAGAACCGCCATAAAAAGTATTTACCAACAACTTTCTGATTTATTCAGTAACATTTTATATGGAAGAGATCTTATGAAATAACTATTTCAGCATTATCAGTCTGCTATATAGGGTACTATTAACTTCATTATTTTTCAAAAATCCACTACAACATTCTTATCTGTACAATAATTGGTGTACAGCCTCTGCTGTACACCAATTTTGAAATTAAGGAGTATAAAACTGATAGTTCATCAAATATCATGTTGGCTCTTTCTTATTAATCTGCATTATCTACACTGGATCCCCTAAAATTCAGATTGTCCTTTGAGACATGCTCTGGATTTTCGAACAAAAATCGTTTTGGCTGTTTCACAATTTTCAGAATCTCGTACCAAACTAAAAATTATGACTATACCTGGGTGGACAAAAAGCAAAACTACATTGACTCTTTTATATGCACAGTGGGTTTCTCACAGCTCCAATTCTCTCGTAATGTTGCATCTAAGAAATCTGGGCATTATTATACGAGTAATCATTCGTACACTAATTTTCCCCATACTCTGTGGGCAGATTTTAATTTCAATTTGCCATGAGATGGATATCTGATTGTAAAGTGATTTTCCCACATTCTATCTCATATTTCAAAGGTAGGGTCTTGATCCCACACATACCCAATGGGGCAACACTAACTTAACTACCGGTAAACACATCTACCATGCCCAATTTTTTTTTATCGAGCTTTTCCACAAAATATAAGAACCCACTTCAATTAATAATTAAGGAGTATCTAATAAAGCATTTTTAATAACATTCCTGGCCAGTTTCAAAGCTAATGAACTTCTCAAACTTGCCTTTGACTTTGGTAAAGTCAGTTTTATGATTTCTTTCAAAATACTGTAGTTTATGAGGAAAGACAAACCCATCATGAGAACCTGCTCCAATTAAAGAATTATGATATAAACACTTTCAGATCATTATTAATAGTACAAATTTTTAGTGTGCTCTCTACTCGGCTTCCTTTGAATATTTATTTAAACAAATCTGAAATTTGAAGGGAAGACCCAGTGGACAGATTTGGTCAGTTAAGAGGAATCCATTGTACAGTAGACCATCCTAATGTCAGCCTTCTATATAACTCGTACTCACATTCAAGGGATAATGATGAATCAATTTGTTTTTTGTTTTTTGTTTTGCAGCCTAAAAATTATCAGAAAGGAAAAAAGCTATACTATGTAGCTTTATCTAGTTACAATAAGTAAAGCTGCCACTTGTTCAGAGTAAAAATTTGAATGTGCAATACACCTATATGTGAAGTGTGTTTACTTAACCCTTAGACAGCAATTATTGCCAATGGTTATGAATATTTAAAAAATTATTGTCTGGGTTTTACATGTATAATGAAAATATGGGTATAATAGGTCTGTTGATGTAAATAAATAAAAATAAAGTGATAAAACAATCGGAGGATAAAACGGGAAGAGTCAGCAGAGTCAAGCACCAGGTGTTGACAAGTGCCAGACACCGCCTCACAGAGAGCTTCCGTTCAAGTGGCACGATAAATATTCACTTATTTTTGTGTTTTTTCTTACATTCTGCATACAGATTAATAATACTATAATGAAAAATTTCATTTTTATTTTTTGTGCATAGACGGATATGACCATTAATTACTCCAAAGCTGCTATCTAGGGGTTAATAATTTACCATAGTACTGAGCCAGTTCAAGGTAGAGGAAACTGTAAGGCCAACTCCAAGAAGTTGCCTCTAAATTAATGTCCAAAAATCACAGCCAGTCTATAGTTCTCTCCAGTCTACTGCCAGTTTTTCCATTTGCTTTAACAAAATCTAGAAAACTTGTAAACATTCATATCTCCAAAAAGCCTCTAGTATAGTGAAAGGTATAGCAGTATACAAGTCTTAACAAAAAATAGCAGTAGGAGGTGTATACTGCAATATTCAATGACTTTAAAAACTTGATGTGCAAAACTGTCTAAATTTATTGTATACACTTACTAACAAGCATTAAGAAATACTTTAGTTGATACACCTTTGATAAAGATGTATATTTTTATCACTAGTGAATGTGTGTGCATTTTAGGTCCAATGTAAACCAGGCCTCCACCCTCTTGCCACTGTAACCTGCACTTCTCACTCTGCCACTAGAATATTTGGGGAAGAGTAAATTTATAACAGGCACAACATGGCTTCAAAGAGGGAAAACCATGCTTAACAAACTTGATTAATTCTATGACAGGGTCACCAACAGTTAATGAGAAGAAGACAAGAGAAGGAAAGATGGGGTGGACCGCATCTTCTGAAACTACCAAAAACCTTATGATACAGCTCCTCACAAAAGACTAGGGGCCAGATTCATGAACCAGTTGCACAAGTACTTAAAATGTGCACGTTTCCTCAATCTCTGACGGCTTTGGTTACATTTATTAAACAGTTTACAAGCATGAAAACTTGCCAATCAACTGTTGTTATAAACAGCCTCCTGGTGCTTCGGAGCTCATTAACTGTTTAATAATTGTAAACAAAACTGCCAAAGATTGGGAAAAGATGTACAGGTTCGTAAGTGCTCGTAACTGCCTTGTGAATCTGGCCCTAGGTAATCATTTTCTTTTCCACCACTGTATTGCTGTGGTGGAAAAAGAAACTTTCCTTTAAAAGAAAATAAATAGATTTACAAAATATACATTTTTAAATCCATAAAATATGCAATAACCGAGATACAAGGCACCTTATTTTGAACAATCTATAAATACTTATTCGCAGTACAAATTACATAACAGATTATGGTTCACTGGTCGGAGTTTTGAGAGAAAGTACATACAATATAAATGTCAAAATATGTCAGATGACATGAAAATACTATAAAAGCACATACTGTACAAACCTACAACATGTAAGAAATACAGCATCTAAACAATTACTGAAAGTTATCACATTATATATTTTATTGTCTTTGCAATTTAATCACTGAAGAACATTTGCCATATAATACAATAGACACCTGTTAAATAAGTGTAAAGTTTTAAATAACATTTGTGAAGTGCATTTGTTTCTAGGACCACCATCACTTTTTCCCGCCCCACACTAAAAATAATTATTATAAATATTTCCCCATTTCTCATTTTCGTGGGCTGACAGAGGCACTAACACAAGAAGCCTCTGTTTAACGCAACAGTAAAATGTGTTGGATGAAAAAACGATTCTTCGCGGCGGGGATCGTATTCCAGGGACCTGCCCGAAACGCTACGCGTACTAGTGGCTGTACAAGAATGTAACAACTCTTGTATATATCTCAAAAAAAAAAAAAAAAAAAAAAAAAAATAGGTAAGGATGCTTAGGGGGTGCCTTCTTGCCATGCCCTGTGGCTGGGGGAATTGATGCCCTGAAGCTACATAAACACCCTGTAAACCCCCTCCCCCCTACAAAAGTGGCAAAGGGAGTTAGGGGACAACAATAGTGAGTAGAATATAAAGAAATAATTAGGCTGAAGATATTTAAAGATAATCCATTCACTATACAGTATCTTAACCACTGCACTGCTCCCTTAAAATATGATAAACCTGTGGTGCGCCGAAAATAAATTGTTCGCCAAAAATTTGTTGTCCTTCCAAAAGTGTAAAATACCCTTCCCTGATCACATATGTAGAAAAAATTTCACAAATGTACTTACTTTGGCTGCAGTGGTGTCCGGAATATGTTGTGTGATGTTACAGCTCGGTGAGCACCCATGCCGTAGATTCCCGAAGGCAGTCGCACGCCAGTTTCAACATGCGCAAGTTGCCATAAATATTTTTTTCTGCACAATTACAAATGCATTTGTATGTTTTTTTCTGGTTAATCCTATGTATATTGAACATGTTTACAATATTCAGGAAGGAGAACATTCGTACTGTTCCAAGACACTGTTACATGTATCACAAATGTGTCCAAACATTTTTTATATTTTCTATATTTCATGTTCAGATATGTACATTTATAACTTACTTACACACTGCACACCCCTATCAACACACTTAGAACTGCACGAGTGTGTGATAAACACTGAAGCAGTCAACGGGGCATAGGGCAATTTTGCACTCAATGCACCAAGTGCAGATGGATCTTCGCTGGCGTTCCCTACGTTGCGTGTTCTTGCAAACAACACGGACACGTTTACCCTTGTCCCATGTGCCCGTACCTGGCATATCAACCTGTCCTCTTACAAATTACATCTGAATTTGACCATTTATCTGTATGGTCAAAAATGGACATAATTTGAAAAGGATAAAAAATTTAAAATAAATTTGGGATTTTTTTTTCAAAGCAGTAAGTTAAGGGTCCTCTGGTAGGTTTAGGAGGGCAGGAAATTCTCCTAAAGTTTCAAAACGTCATGAAAAATATTAATTGAAAGTTTCTTCTCCTAACCTTTCTGAGTAAGCCGGAGGACTCAAACAGAAAACTGGACAGTACATCACTTTTGTGAACCGATTTCATTTTAAATTACGTCCATTTGTGGCCATAGCTCGCATACAAGCGAAAAGCGGCATTATTTTTAAGAGGACGGGTTGGGCATATAACCAAGCTTGTGTACAGCAAGATGTTCTTTACTCCTGAGTCTGTCAGGAACTGCGCGAGACATTGTTACTGGCACCCCACACGTTGCAACACAACCCTCCACCCCATACTTCACGAAAAGTTGTGACACTAGAGCAACACAATGTACAGTACATATTGGGGGTCTCTTGCCAGATTTCACGAGATACATGTTGAAACAGGTCAGCACTGCAACGTCAATGAGGTGGAAAAAGAATTTCTTCGTCCACTTCACGGATTTTTGCACGCACTCAACGGCACCAACCTTCACGTCACATTTATCAACTAGCCACATATTTACGTTGTAGTCAATGACATAATCAGGTTTATACATTGGCAACCTTGTTGTAAAATTCAGTTTGCCACTGTCCAACATGGCACCAGTATGAAAAGTTGTCAACATATTCACCTCGCGTCTGTCCCTCCAGTGCACTGATAACATTCGTTCACACTTTTGCAGCTGGCAATCATCCACTGCAATGCCAAACACTGGCATTTCCCTCCTGTGGGCCTTGACAGTGCCACATACGCCGGTGTTGTGGTCAAGGGGGAATCTAGTCAGCAAGGGGCTGGTATAGTTGTCCATGAACAGGATAAGCCCCTTATTCAGCAACAGTTCCATGAGTGTTTTCACGACACTGCCTGAGAACCTGTGGGGGATCTTGACCTGTTATGTCAATGTTTGTACCTAAATACAGTATCATGTTCATGACAATAACAGTTTTGCAGTCGTATAGTGTGAAAAAATGAGTCCAAACTGGTACTGCTTTGATGGAATGTACTGCTTGAACGCCAGTCGTCCCTTGAAGAGGACTAGCGATTGATCAGTCACGACATTCTGTGCTGGTACAAAATAGTCACGGAACTTTTCACTCATACCATTAAGGCATCACTCATATTAGTCCAGGCACCTGAGAAGCAGCAGGAACTTATTACGTGACATGTACCTGTTGAACACCGGTGGGGTTTTTTGAACAAGGCTGTCTTTGCTCCAATAATCCTGGATAATGTGTTTATCTGCATGCCTTATCATCATGCACAATGCTAAAAACAAATACATTTCCTCATTTGTCATGTCTCTCTAACGTGTTATGCGAGAGGCAGGTAAAATGCCAGCGTCAATAAGGCCATGAGCGTATCTGTTCATCTCTGCAATGAGATGGTCCATGAATTCCTTATCAAAATATGCCATAAAATAATAAATTTCAACCATATCATTACCAGTATTGGGGAATAAGGGTGTCACACCAACATCGGTATTATCAAATGTTGGAATTTGTGGGACAAAACTTTAACAATCACAGAAGACCCCAAGAATCCATTTCGTACCTGCGTCACTGCGCGCCGCTTTTGAATCGTACAATATACCTATGAAAGCCCTGAGGCGCGTTGCGCACCACTGATTGAGCGCCTCAAGGCTCGTTGCACACTGTAGTGGTTAAACACAATATATCACAGTCCTTCCTCTTAAAATGGAAGTACTTATAGCAACTATTTGGTTGAATGTACAAAAATGGACTGTTGGGCCCAGAAAAGTTAATTTTGTGTTACGTACTAAGTTACCCAAATGACATAGTACAAAAATTGAAAAGTAACTGAAGACCCTAATCTAACTTATCCAAGGCATAATATATGCCATCTTAGGCCCAGTATAGTACAGTACATATATGCTATACTAGGAATGTTAAAATTAGGTTTTTATTTGTTCTATTTACAAAATTAATACAGTAGTACAAACACATGAGCACTGTTTGCTACAACACTCCATTTTTTGTACCCTCAACCAAATGGTTACTGCAAGTACTACTATTTTAGGTAGATGGGTTATATATCATGGAGAACCAGCATCACCACAAATCATCCACAGTAGCACAGTACTTCACTGCTTGATGAGACGAGATGTACAATGCTCCTCGTGAATTGTCATACATAAACATATCGAACACTTCCTACCTCTTCACAAACTATTGCCACCTAGCCTTATTCTCAACCATTTCTGGAGTGCTGTTTACACACATACACTGCTTCCTTACATATAAATTATGCTTGGTCATCTTGCCTTTCTGGTAATATACTTCAATATACTCCAGCACACACACATACACTAGCCATCTTTCATCATCCTATATTTCAACATAGCAAAAGCATATCGGTACACTAATCAATGTTGCAATTTATAGACTTCTACACACCACATTTTTCCATAACTATTTCATCCTTTATTCTAAATTCATTCCTCATATCACGCATAATTTTGTTATTTTCATAATAATATTACTAAGATCTGCTTTACTGTACCTCAGAATGAAAGAACCGTCTTGCAGACCCGAGTATAAAGCACACAACATTCAAGGCATAAAACTGAAGCAACAAGCCTAGTGTGAACATGCACCAAAGCCTAACAAGTGGCTGAGTAAGGACAATATGTGGACAATATGGACATTACAAAATAAATGTTTGCACATTGGAAGGCCATTTTGAATTAAAAACAGTATAGTACAGTACACTGAAAAAAAGTTTGAACTATGGATGTTAAATTAACCGGTGTCTATTGTATTAAAATGTTACACTACAGTTTAACACTATAAAGCTAAAAACATTTCAATTAAATGACAATTTCAATGTTATAAATATTTGTAAGCATTTATTACTAGGTATAACATACTTCATTTTAAAGGTCTTTTCAGATTATCACACTCCTCTGTCTCTCTCTGATTTATTTTAAAGGTATTATCCAAAACACTGGTATCAGATTTTCTTTTCTTTGAGTCTGTTGCACCCTCATTCTCTGCTTCAGGATCATCATTTTCTGCACTCTCTCTCTTGGCATTTTTCTCCCTCTCACATTTAACTTTATTCACTACATACTGATATTTTCTTGCACCATCAGCAGGCACAAAACCGTAAGATTTGCCGACTGCCCCTAAGGCATGCAGACAAACTGCTGCTGCTCCCTGTTCAGAGTATCTTTTGCTCTTTTCCCTGCAAGAAATATGGATTATTCAATTTGTCATACACAAAATTAAGTAAATTGCAGCATCATATTTATCAACCTCAGTATAAGCATATTTCCCCACTACTCGGTCACAGCAGTCCTGTTTGGCTTACAGCAGATCCGAGCCAGAACCTAGCCCCTCCTCACAGAGGTGTAGAGAGCATGCAACTATTATCATCACCCGCATCGGGAAAGCATCCAAAAAGTCGGTGAAGCTTTACAGACTTTACACCAATGAAAATCAGGGGATCATATAGTACCTCTGATTTTCATTGAATTTATTCTACACTTCTTACTACATGCATCTCTCTTCAGTATGTTGTAATTTTATTGTGCAGGTTTGGAACCTAACTGTGTATATTATGTATAGTATTATCAGTTGTATAGTGCATACAGTATTTTCTGTGTATATTATGAGATCTCTCTCATCTCCATTCCAGGAAGTCCCTGGAATTCCATTTGAGGTGGTCCCAGTAATGGGGCTTTTTGTATATTTTATAGTTTGATATCTAGCCTGACTTAAAAGGGAATGTGAGCATAGACCAATATTCGTCGAGTGAGTACCAGTGCCTTAAAAAAAAAAAAAAGTACCATCATTGGTGTGGCAAGCTTGTTTTGAAGACTTACTGTCCACCTTATAATGTCTGTGGTTGCTGCCTTAACTGTAAATATTAAGTAGTTTGACATTTTGTCTAGATCTTTTATTTAGTCACTCCATTCTATAGGGAGATCTGACTGCCTTGTATACTACACTCACTATAAGGACTTAGTTTTTTGTATGGACATAACTGAAATTTGTCACCAATAAACATTGTGATGTTTATCTCTGGCACATTGGAATATTTTGTTAGCATTTGATTGTAGTTTTTTTCAAGTAAACATAGTACAGTACTGTACTGTATAAAATTAGCTACATTTTGAGCTCACTGTAATAATTCTGAATATAACTTTAAGCTCCTTGCATGTGTAGCATTTCAGGGAGGCCTAATGCTAATATATTATAGAAGGGATATCTTGCATTTTAATAGTACTTATTAGGCCTTTACAAATAAAATAAAAACATATCATTTAGGGATTGTCTTAAACATGGTAGATATGTATACAACATATTGCAAGTTGATGATGAAGTATGTGTAGAAATTTAGATATAAGGGTTTATAAACCTAAGAACGTGTGCGTCATTGATAACAATGCTTGTGTCACAGCGCTCAGGGGGCTGTAGTCCAAAGGGCCCAGGTTTGATTCCTGGTCGAGGCAGTTTTGGACTGAAGGCTAAGTTTCTTTTATCTGAAGGCCCTGCTCACCTAGCAGTAAATAGGTACCTGGGAGTTAAACAGCTGCTACAGGCTGCATCCTGGGGATATGTGTGTGTATTAGAGAGAAATATATGTAGTAGGTATGATATAAAAAATAGGTCTGGAGTCAGTACATTAGACAACTGACAGTTAGAAAGGTGGACTCCAAGAACTAACAACTTGATCCTACAGACACAAATAGTAAATATACAAATACTATGAGCAGCACCTGATCAAAGTTAAAGATACTAAACTCATTATCAAAGAAGAAAACAATATTAATGGAGCTTCAGCTATTAAACACTACAACATCAATGAATAGTGAACAAAGAAATGTTAATATTGTACATCCACTTGTTAAAATTACTACTAGGATGACATACATTGTGAAGCATATTTAATCATTTAATCATTGATTTAATCAAGCTCCTCAAGTCTCCAAATCTGTCTACAGTATTTTAACCTTGTCTTTATCTCACTTATTTTTCACCTTATGAAAAAAATACAAATTAACCTTATGAAAGATAAACCACACTTGTTTATAGCAGTTTCATGATAATGGCCTTATAGATGAAAGTTTACATTAAATAAAGCCTACTTGAAGTGGGAATGTTCTCCCCAAATTGTGGTCATTTGTGCTGTATTCCAAGAACAGTAAACATGGAGGTAAGGCAATTCATGGTACTGTTGAACCGAAAATGGAGCAAGACTATATGAAGTAGCAATGTACTGCAGGATAACAAGTACCTTACTACAGAACTAGGACAAAACAGCTGTAGGCTCAGATAATTACAATGATGGACAAGTTGTAATTTATGATACAATTTTAATGTCAAAGTTTGAACATTTCTAACAAGGGACATATTAACTGAAAAACTATGTCAATTACTTTTATATATGGTGTATACTGTATATATATTGGCAGATATTAAAGTACAAAAAGCTACCATTTGAGAGAAAATCTAATAAATATTCACCTGAGTGTTGAAGCGTACTTGATGCCATTCACAACTACTGAAGCAGAGAAGAATTTATCCACAACAACATGATCATAGTGAGGCCCAGATAACTGGTTACGGAACACATGTGTCTGAAAATAACAGGTTGAAAAATTTCTTCATAATGCTAATATAAAGAAGTTGTATAAATGCATTATGGACACATATTTCATGCAAGTGCACTATTGCAGTACTTTATCTTTAAAATAGTTTCTTGCTAAAAATGACATTCTGAGCATGTATATTCTGCCACTCTCAGAAGTGATTCATAGTGATTCATTGAGTAATATTAAGGATCATGTTCAGTCATGCAAGAAGACATGGCACCAGTGCCACGTGGAGTAAACTTCACCCTGCAGGCATGCCCAAGGTGCTTGGAAGTCTACTAGTGAACAAAGTATCAAGCCTATCAGGCAAACATTACCTCAAAAATTCTATTCACAATATAAACCCAACAGAACCCTTTTGATATGGCATGCATGCTTACCAATGGAAAGTTCTAACCCACCTAGTGATCAATCGCCATCAATGATTACATTATATCGCCATTACATTATATCAGCATTAACTCCCAATTGTCCCTAAAACTTTGTATACTCTGTAATACAACCTGACTGCATAAGTGGGCAGACAGAAGTGATTTGCAGATAATTATTGGTTGCATTTTCCCAAGTCTGATATTTCTACAGTTAACAATGCACATCAGCTAACTAGCTTTGAGTAAGCACACCAGCTAGTTCTGGGGTTTTAATTTGTGTGTCCCTAAAATTCTTCAGTTACATTTGTATGTTCAGTTTCTATTTGAAACTCCACATTAGGCTCCTTCACCTTTCAAACAGCTTGTGTCTGCCCACTTTACCCAAACATCTTACATGCTACCCACCACAATTGAGGGGTCCATGCAAACATGTACCGTATTCTACACCCTCTACTGTCACTTCTAGGGCACCACATGTATGCTTTACACAAGCATGCATGCATATTATTATAAATGCAATAAATACCACTGCACAGTGTATATATAAATGCTATCCAAATTACAGTGTATGCTTGCTAGTTGCTGCCCACTCAACTTTGAATTACAAACCAATAGGAACCTTGCTTTTCACTATTTCAGTGGTACAAGCTTTGTAGAATATTGCCCTGTGATAGTCCTTACAGGCTATAGTTCACATCCATATGCAGTCCATCACAGTGTTTATATCTTTATAACAAAAATTCTAACTTAGCCAATACTTACATTTAAAAGCATTTTAGGAAGATCAGCATTATTAAAATTTCCTCGTATAAACTGTATAGGCATCTCAACAATCTTCTGGCCATTTTCTTCTCTCTCCACAATGTTGACATGGTCTGCACTAGGAGGCATGGCTGTCTTACCATTCTTGTGTTCGAAAGTCAAACAATTATGAGATTTATTCTGTTTATCAAGTTGTAACTTGAAGTATTCGCCCAGGCCCCAGATGACACTGTAGTATATGACAAAAATTAATAACACAAAATGTCATCCACACTTCCATGGAAATAAACATTCCATTCACCTCCTTATTACTTTCTTATTACTTATTACACTTTCCTTATTAATTCTACTCAATAACTCAGTCGATAGAGCTTCGGCCTCACTCACGTGGGGTCCATGGTTCGAGTCTCCTAGAGCCCAGGTGAATGGAATTAATAATACACTTTGTGAATTTTGTATACATTAGTATAAAAGGTTGACCTGGCACTCATAAATGTGTGAGGAGCATATAGAAGGATTGAAAAGAAATTTGAAAGAGTCTGCAAACAATCATCATCAGTGTTACACTATACTATATTACATTACACTGGTGCATAAGTTGGAGAAACAGGCAAGAGTAACTGGTAGGGTGCTCCAGTGGGTAAGGAAGTACCTAAGCAATAGGAAGCAGAGTTACTGTGAGGGGTGAGACCTCAGATTGGCATGAAGGCACAAGCGAAGTCCCACAGGGTTCTGTACTCAGAAATATCCTATTTCTGACATACGTAAATGATCTTCCAGGGAGTATAGACTCATTCCTCTCAATTTTTGCTAATGATGCCAAAATTATGAGAAGGATTAAGACATAGGTCAACAGCATGAGGATTCAAGAAGACCTGGACAAACTGAAGGAATGGTCCAACAAATGGTTGTTATGTAAGTGTTTAACCCAAGCAAATGTCTGTGCCTGTGGTCTGTCCTTGTGCCCCATGACGTTTGGAAGTTTGCCGCTTTCTCATCTGTGTTTGCCTATATTTCTTGGGCCGACATGCAGATACAGGGGTTTTGGTAGTCGAACAGGGTGCTGACAGCCAGGTATCTTGCTATTGTTCCTCCTCCTCGTCAGCCTTGGTCGTGTGTCACGGCCCGTGGTTTCTTCTTTATTGTGATACCTGCAGTGCTCCCTCCTCCCTGGTAATTCCCCTTGTTTTCCTTCTCCGTGGGTTGGCAGCTTCAGGGAGCCACAAGGGGCTTTCCCTCGGAAAACCAGCATTGAATGTAATGAAGTGTAAATTACTGAGTGAGCACCAGTGGCTCCCTCCCCCAGGGAGTTGAGGCGGGGTTTTACCATCATCACAGAACTGAGAATGGAGGAGCCAGCTGACCCCAGTCTGCCTCCGATCCTCCCCCCCAGTGAGGGAAGGATAAATTTGGGTAAATGAGCTTGTGCTTGTTTCATGAATTTTAGATCATCTGCTTGCATTGTTGTTGGAGTTCTCTTGGAAATTTTGAGGAATCAATATTTCTTATAACCAACAGTGATCAGTTTTGTTTTGTTGACTTTGTGGATGCTCTGCCAGTGGTGGCAGACATGATTAAGATTCACTAACAATTTTATTATAGTGCCACCGCTCTCTGCACCTTTTTAGAGAACAGGTTCTGGCTTGTGGTCCCCAGGCAGGCTTGAACAACCTCTGTGACTGATGGCACCTGGTAGTATGACACAATCAGCATTGTAGCTTCTGGGAGCCCATCTCCCAGTAATACCCTGATACTATACACTGAAAGTGAATGGTAACACTATGATTTGCACACAATAAAAGAAACAATGCAACAGTTTTAACCCTCATGTAATTAATTATAAGCATTTCTAAAAGAAATATTGATATCATGCAAAGTTTTTTCCTATAAAAAATTACCAAGTAATGCAAAAGAAAGGCCATTAATGGTCAAATGCATGGAAAAATACTTCTTTGCTGGACATTTGAACATAGCACTATGCCTCTCTGCACCATCAATAGAAAATATTGTACTCTTTGGAAGAGCATTAGAAAATTACAAGGCATTATTTGCAATTGCCCACAAGACATACTCTTTCAAAAGGCATTTCATAAGTCATTGTGTGCAGCATGAACGAGTTGTAGTATGCTTATGTGATACTGTACAACTGTACAAATGATAATATGGTTATCTGTTAGAGAGAGGTAGAATGCAAAAATTTGGCTTTACTTGGGCTGTACAGCAAAGAGTATGACCACTTGGCAGCCATGGTGGATCTCGAGATGTGAGGTGGTGGAAAAATTGTACAGTACAAGGCTTATCAAAACACTTGTCATTAAAATAATCTATTTAAAAAAAAAAAAAAAAAAGAGCTGAAAGACTGTTTCAATTAAGTTATATTTATTATATATAGGGGGGTACCACCACTGGTGCAATTATAGGGACCCACAGCCTCAGAGAAGGGAACACAGAGCACTCAGGGAAAAACTTGACATTTAACTCTGAATACGAAAGAGTGTTCACTTCTCCAACCACCCCCTTTTTTTTTTTATTATGATGTACACTTTATTATGCAAGGTTATACAGTTACATATCTGATTTTATACAAAAAATAAACATTAAGAGGACACAAGAAAAAGTTCGCTTCCTAGAGGCTGTATATTATATATAGAGGCTATATATATAGAGGCTTTATTATATATTATTTTAATGTTTTCAGAATAACTATCAGATGCAATTACAGTATTAATTTTGCATATTTGCTTACGTTATCTCCTGTAGAGTCTGTGTTTCCAGGAAAGCCTTGCCTCGAGGAGTATCCTGAAGGTCCCGCAGCATATTCTGAACAGTGTACTTGCTGTAGGTGAATGGATTATCATAATCTATGCAGTATCTCAGGTATGCCTCAGCCTGAAAAAGGGATATTACGGTGATTATTCTAACTGAAAAGGTTTTTCAAATAAGGAACTGCGAACCACTTACTTAGTATCACAGGCATCATTAATAAATAACAATATAAAGAAATCTTTACAGACAGAAATACAGTGCAACCTCGATTCACCTCACTCTATGCAATACACATTTTACAGGCCAGATTTACTCACCCTCTTCACTGAACAAGTGTTTGGCAAAGTGGATGGCGTGTGCATTTGCTTAGTACGCAGGGCCAGAGTTCACAGACCTGTGGCGAAGTTGATAGGCCTGGTTCATATGCACAATTTTGGATAATGGCACTACTTTTAACAAATAAGATTGATGGGGATGGATCCTGAGAAATACTAGCAATGAGGGTGTAATCTCTTTACACACAGATTTCCATAGTAATTGTCCATGATATGATCAACAGAAAATAAAATTTTGCTTAATGAAATTTGTTCATAGAGCATGGGAAATATAAATATACAAATGGTAACTTTAAACCCGTACACGGCTCTAATCACTAACTGTGATTTCCTTCCGTGTGCAAATCACCATATTCACTTTATTCTTATGGGTTTTAATATTTACTTTTTTCAGGCACACCAAGGTGTAGGACTTGTAAATAGGTGTGCAGTTTGAGGATTAATATTGCGCCATCACATTTGTAATTATTTTCGTTGTTGAACACAACACTAGGAGAATGCCATTGAGCATTTTTAAAGCTAAATAATTTGGAATAATTTTATTTGGAATGTCACAAGTTTGGTTCAGCCAGGTATAGGCACTACCTTTGAAAATAAGGTTTCAAGGCTGAGGCATGGGAAATAATCTAGGTATGGTGAAATATCTTTACAGGCAAACTCTTCTGGCAGGTATCCATCATAAGATGATTTGAAAATAAAATTTTGCTCAGTGAAATTTGCTCAATGGAAAATATTAGGCTATGAATGGTACCTCCTTTAATATTGCTCTGATCACATCTTTAAACATTTCTGTAGACAAATGAAACATTAGGAGAAACAGGCTTAGCAATGTATTTTTGTCTTAAAAATTATAAAATTAAAATGCCTCTTGAAGGCACCTCCGGTTGCAACAAATCTCTGGATGCAATGAATAGGGGTTGGTCCCATATAGTCTGCCAAATCAAGGTTGCAGTGTAGTGTATCATTGAAGATATCAAGATTTGATGTGAATCTCTGATGCTAGTGCAAGTGAATAACAGAGGCATTGTTTTCTAAACCTATTATGCAAATTATACACTGTATGCAGAAACTGACCACTGTGTCAAGTGGAAGCAGGCCTTCAGGTCTAAGTATAGAACAGTTCCACATGGCAGTCCGTGCAATCATCACGCTCGATGCTCCTGTCTCTCGTCGAAATTTGTCAATGTCCTCATGACATTTTATCTCCTTTGACCCACCACTGAAAAATATTATTATTCTTACTACTGTATTATGAAAATATGTTTTTTTTCTTTTCAGAAAACAAGATAAATATGAAATATCTCAAGTCACTTACACCTTAATGCACATGATGAAAATGACCTTTTCAAGAGAAGTTAATGCCATCATTATTACCTTGTTTCCCACTTTCATGGAGCAGAGAGGCATCAGCCTGAAGGAAAAATCCAGCATTGAATGTAATGAAATGCCTCTTTCTGGTGGGCTCTCCAATGCTCCAGCCTGGAAGTAACCAAGCCTTGGGGAGCACACCAAACCTCTGGGGACTCAAATCTGGCTTTCCTCAAAGAGGCAAAGGACTGCCTGAGGATTAGATCATCAAAGAACAAAGAAAATTTCAACAGAAAATTAAAAATATGCTCAAAAGCAAGATCACTGGGTTAAATACACTAACATGATGAGGGGCCAGATAATGTGAAGGTAAGAGGTAAGGTAAAGAATGATTTTGGTGGGTTGAGGTTAGGTCTGTGGTGAGGTGAGGTAATATGATATGAGGGGCATGGGGATGTAGCCGAGCCCCGTACAGGTGGGGCACACACTCGCACGTTTGCCCCCATACAGGTCTAAAAACTGCACAAACCTAAGATCAGTAGAGAGCCTTGAACCATCGGAACAAGTCAAGCTGCCAATCTGCTAGAGAGATGAAGCCTTGAGAAGGGGGGAAGAGAATTTGGACACCAAGCCTGAAAGGTGGGAACCACAGCCGAACCCTCAATAACGGATCCAGGAGGAGGACCTGGTCTGTATATTTCTCCAGCTTGGCCAACACAGTAAGAAGCAGCTAGACCAAAGGAAAGATGCACAGGTAAATCCAATAACTCTTATCCAGGCGAAATGCTTCAACATTTTTTTTTAAACGGAATCACATACATCAGCAGTCTCTGATTTTACTTTGTGGCAAACAGTTCCACCTGTGAACAGTTAAATGCTTCACAAGGCCAGAAGTAGGATGTTTTCTCCACCGACCACTTCACTGAAATTGGATGGGAAATTTGAAATTAATTGTGCACTCATTCACTGCTGGGTGAACAAAGGCGTACTGTTAAGGATTGGCACCTAGTCAGTCCTCCCCAGCCAGGATACGAACCCAATCCAAATCGCTCACAAAGCACTAGGCCAAGTGTGTCACCACTGTCACGGGGACTGCCACTGTGCCATGGGGTGCAGTGGCATTAATAGTCTAATTAATGCTGATAGACCAATAGTTCTAGCACTTTAATTCTGGCCAGAATTGCAACATTAATTCACTATACAGTATTAATGTTTTTTTTTTTTTTTAAATACAGGTAGGTGAAGGAGAAGACGGCTTCTGACTTGTTAGCAAGCTTAGAGCTTTATCTTTCCATAGCTCATCTTAAACCTTAACCTACTAGATTTCACTGGAACACAACCTACCAATCATTTTACAACCAGTCTCCAATTACTGTTGGGTGAATAGGGAGAGTGTTAAAGAGCAGTGCCTAGTTGACTCTCCCTTTCCAGGGATCGAACCTGGTTGAAATCACTTGCAAGACGTGGGGGAAAACATATTACCAGTCATTATAGGCCCCTGGTATTATAATGATAAACTAACAAATTAGTACTTTATTCAACATTACTCACTTTGCAATAACTGGGATGGCAAGAACATTAGCAATTTCTCTGATCATGTCATTATGATTGGGATGGTTGGGTCTCTCCTCCTTAGTGCGGCCATGGATAGCAATAGCAGCTACCCCACATTGCTCAATAACTTTACACAAATTTATTGTGTCTGGTAAAGTTTTTAGAAGACGAATCTTGCAAGTTACTGGGATGCTAAGGCCTTGAACAAGAGTGGTGAGTATTGATTTAACCTGAAATAATTAAGATAATTAATATTTGTTTAAAATATATACTGTATATGTAAAGAGGAATACATATTTTATTAAATTACAATCTTGACAACAGAAAGGAGAGTAAATATGCTATAAATTCAAATAAAGAAATCACTGAATGTAAGTTAATGCCCTTATCTAGTGAGCCACTCAGTATATGCCCTAATGTATAGCACAGAAGCTGCCAAGCCTTGATGTGTCGCACTAGGCCTCCGACACCTGCCTGAGTTTACCAGGAGTGAAAACAAAATTTTGGCTCTCTCTCTCTATGAGGCAATGGGAAGCTTGAAGATCAGAGATCAAGAAAACATTAAGAAAAACCCTACCAGAAATTATAAGTGCATCAAAACAAGAAATGGCTTGAAAGAATTAGTAACCCTGAGGAGTACAAGAAAAACAATCACTGACATAGGGGGTTAACACCCTTAACTGTACCACATAAGCAAGTGAAGTTGGTGGCTGGCTGGGACTGTATGCACATCACAGTGCACTGTGCGCACTGGGACTCGGGCACATCAAGGTGATGGTGGTTAAACTGTGGCAAGAATCATTGGTCTTGTTTTCTCCAAATTTTCTTTCTTCAAGCAGTACCCTGGTTTGCCTAACCTTTTTGGTGCCTCCTACTTGGTTTTTTGTTTATCTCTAATCCCCAGGGTAGGGTAGCCTTGGTCTCAAGAGCCCTGGTGTACTTCTTAAGACTTGGCTTCACCATTGCACAAACTATGGGGACCTATTGAAAGGGGCCTTCCAGAAATACAATTTAATAATTAGTATCTTGAGATTACTCTGATCTTACTCTATAATGGCAAGGATGCCACATACATCAAGAGTTTATTCGAGTAAAATAAAACAATAGGGGTTGAAACAAATAAGAAATAACATACGGTAATTTGACATCTACTGGACTTAAAGTCTTGCACAAATGTAAAATCACACCATCTGTCCTGAAAGTCTTATACTGTATATTCCTAAGCTCAAAGGGTATTTCCAGCTGAACTAGCAAGTACTTTCCAGCATTACTTTTACTTCTCTACAAACTTGCGAGTAACAAACCTTCTCTGGCTGAGTAAGGAGAGCTGCTCCCATGCCACCCTTAATGCTGAATTCCTTTGGGCACCCCATGTTCACATCTAAGCCAGCCACATACGGTTCACTGTTGACAGGACAAGGGTATAATATAAGTGATTACCAAATTGTGCACATACAAAATTATACGCCCATACTGTATAGTGTTTGGCCTATGCATTGCTTTATTTAATTGAATATATTTATGTCAAATAAAGAATCTTGCTCAAAAAGGAACACTACATTTCTGAACTGTAACAGCATTTATTGTGCATGCTTTTTTATTAGTTTTCCATCTCCATCTTCTTCGGGATGGGATGGGTGCAAAGTTGACCGACCGATAGTAAAGTCGAGTTATCTATGGAAATTCCCTCCCTGAAACAGTCTAGTTACTAGTAGTAAAACTTTCATGTTCACTTTCTATAACAATAGGTCAAACAATATAGTGCTGAATGTAATGAAAAACCATTTTTTGGTTGACTCTCAGTAGTCATGAAGCACTGGTACAGCCAAGTCCAGACTCATACCAGACCTCCAAGACCCACACTCATCTGCCAAGAGCTCTTTCTACAAGGTGAGGGAAGCATGACGATTCAAGATCTCACCAAATTGAGAAATCCCTCTAGGTTAAACAAAAACCAGTGACTGCTTGAAAGTATCAAACCCTAAGGCTACAAGGCAACTGAACATTACCATATATGAATAACCCCAATAACCCTGCTGGCAGGCCACATCATGTGAGATTCCAATCAGCCACCCACATCACTTACGATCCTATCTAATCATGACTCGAACCTCTCAAGTCCCCTCACCTGCTGTTTCTTGATTTAGCTAGTGGTGATGGCTATCATAAACAACCGCGTCTAACAGCCTGGTTGATCAGTCCAGCAACCAGGAGGCCTGGTCGACGACCAGGCCGCGGGGACGCTAAGCCCCGGAAGCACCTCAAGGTAACCTCAATGTAAGGTATCATTGAAATTCCTGTTATACAATGGACATTGTTTTTTTTTCAATTATGCTTCCTCAATAGCCCCCAGAGTTCAAGTTCAAGTATGTTTTTTGAGACAAGAAAGAAATACATCTCAAAGGGATAGAGTAGCTTAGGCTATTTCTACCCTCCTAGCTCCCAGAGCTGACTTTCAACAGTGCCTCAATAGAGGAGAGAACGGCTGTGCTAAAGAAACATTAGAGTAAAACCCAGAAAAGTTGTAAGATGGGCTTACCCATGGGAGAGGAAGGTAGGAGCAACAGGACTCACTGCACCCTAGTTGCCCAAGCACCACAAAAGTCAACAGCACACACTGTGGGGCAAAGCACATCACAGAGCCACCCAAAACCACAGGGCCCATGGGAAGGAAGGCACAACTGCCAAGACATGGCAAGCCAGACCCCCAGAAGAATGAACAATTCAGGTATACGCCGAAGTACTAAACATACAATGAGAAAACTAAACACATCGAACATGACAAAACACCAATCAAGATGCAAATCTGCAACCCAGGAAGTAGGAGAATGGTTCAAAACTTAAAAGGTTAAGAAAACTCCATAGGTTCAATGCCCAGGAAGCCAGGGTAACCAACCCCACAAAGGGGTTAAAGCTAGGCATGAAAGCCATACAAGCATACAGCTAACTACTATCACTACAGTACCCATAAATAGGCCTCACACTGGGAAACAAACCACACACTACCTGAAGCCAAGATAATGTGAAAGGCCTCAACTCGTAGAGGTGGAAACCCCAACCCTCAAGGAAGATAACTCTGGTGGGACAAGGGAGGATGCAAGCCTGCCTCTAGGGAAAATAACTCTGACTCACAAACATGAAGCAGGAAATGCAACAAAAACAAAACATGACAGTAATTGCCAATACAACTTGTCCGAAAGCATGAATTTGAATGTGAGACCAGCAAACACGTGTGACTTGGACAGCACTATGTGAGTGAGTGAGGTGGCTGGCTTGCAGGACCCATGGGTAACCAGGGCTGCTATTTGGTGGCAGTTGGATGCATCATAATTAGGGTGTTTACCATGCAACAATGAATGTTTGGCATGTTTTCCTCCGAGGTTGTTAATTTCCTTCAAGTAGTTGATTGTTTTGGTGAGCTTTATACTTTCTGGTGGATCGTTTCTTGATTTTGGGTTGATCTCTGATCCCCAAGCTCCCTTTGCCTTGTACAGAGAGTCCAATTCTGATCTTAGCTTCCTGTAGATTTGAGTGGATCTTGGAAGCCTGGTGAAATTCCCCCTAAAGTTTTGCCACCTCCAGTGTTATAGCTCAGAAATTCACTGAGTCTCTCCCAGAAATCATAAGATACTCTCACTTGTCTTGATCTTGCAGAAAGAGTAATTGCATTTACCAACTGATAGCTGGGGAGGTGTTGCTTTGGAGCTAAATGCATGCACATCTATTTGACTACATACACACAAATATGTACTAGTACCAAATGCATCTAGTATTGTACTTTCTTTTCGCTTGCCCACTCATTCCCCGCATCTCTTTTCCTTATCCCCCTCCCTCTCTTCCCATCCCCCCACTCTTCTCCCTTTTCCAACTTTCTCCCTCTCTCCACTCCCCACCCCTCTTTCTCAATTTTCTCCCTCTCCCATCCTCTCTACCTTTCTTGTCCCACTCCCTCTTTCACATCTCTCCACCCTTTATCCCAGTCTCCCACCTCTTTCCTTCTCTTTCTTCAAATTTCCACTCTCTCCTTAAACATCCCCCCCCCATCTCCTTCCCTATCTTCAAACATCCCCTCTTCTCTCTCTCTGACTCAGAAAATGCAACACTGAATTAATGTTTATTGTTCTAGTGAAGAATTCTAGGGACTCAGCCAGCCACCTTTCACTAATTATGTTTGGGGGGGGGGGGGGAAATAACAGGCTTAACTCCCTCTTAATAGGACCATCTCCAACTAGCCCATATCTGTCATGTACCAAAGACCACTCACCCTGCAAAGTTGAGTTAGACTAACCCCAAGCATCTGCCCTTCAACCTTGAACAGATGGATAGTGACAGATTTGTATATACTGTGGGTTACACACATGTACATAGTATTATACACATACTGTAGGTTACACACACACATATACATAGTATTATAATCATACTGTACATATAGTATATTATATATCAACCCATCCTTCTGTTTAGATAGCACCTATTGAGACGGTCGTCATTAGTGACGAATTTGTATGTACTTAGCTCTTAGATAGTAGTATACTGACTAGAAAGGAATTCTTTTAAAATAAATGTACTATATTAGGCCTCAGATATTGTGTATTAGGTCTAGGAAGGTTAGGGTAGGTTAGCTTGTCAAAGCAACACAAGTAAAAAATAGTTTTCCAGTTTGTCCAACTCAACAGATCAAATTTCTACTTTCTAATTTTGTTGTACGTTGGTATATATACTACAATCCTCATCGTTACTATAAATACTACCAAAACAGGAGGATGGGCTGTATATATAGACATTGACTTCGTCTTACACCATCTTGCCAACTTTGAGAGCTCTCTGTGCATCACTCGTTCCAATTTGAAAAATAACTTTTGTTCGTTCTCTCTCACAGGTACGGAAGAAAACTGTTCCATCTGACTTGTCAATGAAGTCTACTGTACCCAACTCGCCTGAAATAATACCAAAGACAATGTCACATTTATAAAACAAATACAAATTTTGTTAATTATCAAATAATACTCTACTTCATAAGCATTCTTGGTCCTTAATCATTACATTTCTGTTATTCACAATTAAGCTGAACTGTTTTTCTATTCCACAGCCATCTTATAAAACAGACTACAGTACCTCCTTTATCTTCCTTGACACCTTTGATCTTCAGTCATTCAAGAACCATGCATAGATATATATATTTTAGACTTAAGCTTGTAGTTTTCCCTTAAATGGTAACCAATTTGCCAATATTGTCTATGATACAGCTAATCTATAAAAATGAGATCCTGCAATAAATAATCGATTGTTGGTACTAACAGTTTAAAATTCTGTGTCAATTTATATTTCATATAAATAAATCAACATTGAATGTAATGAAATGCTCTTTCCTGGTTATTCCTCAGCAGCTTCCCGGAGCTTATGCACTGGTACAGCCAAGCTTTAGGAATCGCACCAGATCTCAAACGCTGCTGACCTACCAAGAGCCACGACCAGAATCTATCTCTTCGAGGTGAGGGAAGTTTGCAAATCTAATGAAAACTGACAAAACTGGAGGTTTTGTCTATTAAAACTAACCAAGGAGGTTAGGCAAAGCAAAACAAGTGACTACTTGAAAGAAGAATCGATCCCTTTAGACAGATAATTTAACAGATTATTGCTGCAGAGAAATAACCCCCGCTAACCTGAAAGCACCTTGTAACCATAAGATTGCAGCCCAGGTCACCCAGAATACCGACCAGCTGCCTACCTCACTCGCAAGCCATCACCAATGAACCCCAGAACCCAGTCAGAAAAAAGGGGAACAGGGTAGGCACAACAAATACCGAGGACCCGCTAGAACAAATGGATTCATTACATTCAACACTTTATTTCTGGGAGGATCCCCCTTCAGTGATTAAGGTGGGTGGCTTACTGTGACTCCAGGTGACCTGGTCTCCTATCTGGTGGTGGTTGGATTAATCAAGATACCAATAGGTGTTGTTCGTCTTGTTTGTCTCTGAACTGATTCACTTCTTCCAGCAGAAGTTTATTTAAATTTGCCTGTCTGTCTAATGAGAATTTCATGGGTTGGATTTTCATCCCCTAGCTCTCCACTCTCTGTAAAGAAGCCAGATTCTGCTTCTGGCTCGCATTAGGTCAATGTGGTTCTCCGAGGCCTGGTGCACTTCACAATGTTTAGCTTCACCAGAGTACAAACTATGGAGATGCTACTGAGACGGCGACCTAGAAAAAGGTTATTTTAAAAAGTTAAACAACCAATATAAAAATTTCTAAAAACAATAAAAACACTGCAATAATACAAGCATGTATTATACTTACTGTTTTCTCTCCTAATAGAACGCAGCATTTTGAAATCAACGGTCTCCTCTGTGTACACTAGGTCTGTGCCATAGTCAATTGCTAATAACCTGAATGGCAAGGTACAAACCCTTACCATTGGTGCAACTATGATCTTCCCAATATACTGATTATTCATCTTTACTGATTTGCCTGAAAAATTAGCAAACATTTCAAAGAATATCTTCATACATGATGCATATCTATTATTCCAAAGGTCTACAAAGAAATTTCAAAAACCTTCAAGTGATATACAATGAGACAGTAAATAATTCACCTTATTCCTATACTTCACATTCTAAACTTATAAATTGACTGTCAACTATTCACTTTCGATTACACGACTTGATAATTTTTCAAGATGGACAGAAATGCCATCATTCCCATTATTTTCAAATTTGTGAGTTGTGTCTACACTAAAATATTTTTCATGTTGGAGCTTTTCTCACAAAATAATTCCTAAGATATTTTATTAAAATTAAAATGAACAATATTCTCATACTGTATAGTACTTAGATTTATACTCCTAGTACCTTGTATCAGCAAATGTCTTTCCTCTCCATCTAGTAATTAAATTTTTAGTACATAAAGAAAAAGCACTGGATTGTGTCATTTTAAAACAATAATATATAAAAAAAACAAAAATGCCCAACATTTTGCACAAGTAACCTCCCCTCCACCACACCTGCCCATAGCCTCCCCTCCACCACACCTGCCCATAGCCTCCCCTCCACCACACCTGCCCATAGCCTCCCCTCCACCACACCTGCCCATAGCCTCCCCTCCACTACACCTGGCCATAGCCTCCCCTCAACCACACCTGCCTGTAGCCTCCCCTCAACCACACCTGCCCATAGCCTCCCCTCAACCACACCTGCCCATAGCCTCCCCTCAACCACACCTGCCCATAGCCTCCCCTCAACCACACCTGTCAGTAGCCTCCGCTCCACCACACCTGCCCGTAGCCTCTCCTCCACCACACCTGCCCATAGCCTCCCTTCCGCCACACCTGCCTCTAACCTCTCCTCCACCAGACTTACACTCACCTGGGAAAATCACTTCCGCAGACGCTTTGTGTGTTATGTGTATTTCACACGGAGATTGTTTTTCCTGTGCCTGCACTGTTGCCTGTGATTTGGATTACTGCACATTGTTCACATTAGTGCAGACAATCCTTGTTGTTGTAGGGTTAGAGGTGGCTACAATACAGGGCAATATGCACCCCGACATTCCCGTGAGTTGGAAAAAACTCTGAAGTCCGAAGGCTAAACTATACACTGACAGATGGCAAAAAAAAAAAAAACTGCTGCGACATATGGCAGATAAATACACCACACAGTGGACGCTCGGTGACACAGGAGTTCCCCTGAAGCCCTGAAGTGATGAGAGCCAATACCCACCCAACACAGGAGGCCAACTGGAAAACAGTCTATAGCCACCCACCACCCTCGAGGGCACACCAGGAGCCCAAGTCCCAGCTAAGCTGGTGTCGGACACCAAGGAAGAACCAGCCACAAAACGCAAAAAGAAAAATTTCCCCGAGACCCCTAGACGATAAAAGGTGCCAGGCTTCGGAAGCTGGCTGTTGAAGAGGACTGCCAAACGACAGTAATGACCCAAAGGGCAATAATGTCGCTCCGTTAACCGGTGGCCCCCAGTCGAAACAGGTGTAGAGTCGTGCACTGGTGGTCAAGGGTGAACCAGGAGACCCAGACAGTCCTCCTTCGGCCGGAGTGAGGGAGCTCACTCAGCACTTCTCACACCTTGATCTAATACCACTCACAATATGGAGAATTTTATTTATTTATAATATACCTATATCTTAAATTAAAACTATATTATCGGAAAGTTATATTCATTTTTAAATTATCTATACTATACTATGCTTAAATGTATTTAGTATATGCAAAATTATGTTTGTGTGATACGGATATAATACTAATATTTACATCAAAGGCAGAGAACGCGGTCCTAACCAAATTGGAGGTATCTGCTGGGTTATCTATTTTATCGATAATCCCAGATACCAAACCCAAGACATTCATGTAAACCATTTCTTTGTATTTATACCTCAATAAACGTATTTTAATTTGAAAACATTCATAGAACATATGATAATATTAACAACAACCAAAATATTGAAGGTGAAGAAAACAACCATTTATTATTATATGTATTAATACATATAATTTATGTATTATTATACAACAATAATAATAATTTATATAGAGTATATATGAGATATGAATGCATTTTATATTCAGGAATTCATATTTTGTTAGAAAGCCATTAATAACTTACATAGTTTTTGGCCTCAGGATGGAGGTTGGCTGAGTATTATTTTGCTTTCTATGTGTGGAAAGGGAAGGATTAAAATATCAAAGGCGGTAACGCGCAACGCTTTAAACCATGTTGATACTCTACTTATCACACAGCACCGCTCCTGTGCCAGGTAAGTTACGGGCTCACCATAGCCCGTGCTACTTGGAACCTGTTCCGAGTAGCTGAATCTATAACAATAACAATCTACTCACAGAGCACTCCCTCTCTCGAACCACATAAACGAATGGTTCACAACACCACCCTACGGGTGCAGCTGGAAGTGCAGTTGTCCTGACAATGGGTGATGGCTTTTATTTTGAGTGGGGAGTCCTGGTTGATACCTGGTCGATACCTGGTTGATGGGGTTCTGGGAGTTCTTCTACTCCCCAAGCCCGGCCCGAGGCCAGACTTGACTTGTGAGAGTTTGGTCCACCAGGCTGTTGCTTGTATAAACAACTGGACCTCTACCCTTCAGACCTAAGTATTTGCCTTGCTCCTTTGCACTGAAATGTGTACAAGTCTCCAAACTTGATACATTAATTGTAAATGACTATCATCCTTAATTGCTCTCAATTCTAAGACATAGCTGTAACATGCTCGTGTCCGAAGCTAGACACAAATACAACAAAATTACTAATGATGGTAACAGAGACCATCTCATGAGGTCTTCGAATGCATGATAGAGCTGATGAGTTAGCTAAAGAATCTGCCTTTAAAGGAGCCGTTGAGTGTAACCTTGGATTGTCAATGAGAAATCTGAGAGCAATAGTACACCAAGAACTTCAACAAGATCTTGTATATCTGAGGCAAAGTGAAATCGACACCAGTAATTCCATCTATCATCATACTATCATGCAAGAGGAGCCACACATCTATGGATCATCCAATAAAATCAGGAGACTTCTGGATGTTACTACTGCTCGGCTTAGACTCGGTTACAAGTATCTCTGGGAATTCTTATTATCTGCCGATGTAGACCTGACCAAATGTAAACTGTGTCAACAAAATTATTCGCACACCCTCCGTCACTATGTGATGGAGTGCGAATAGATACATGAATTAGGAGACAATTCTATAACCAATGTTCCAACTATGTGTAAATATTTCATTCAAAATGACCTGCTACAAGAAATTTTAGCCAAATATCGTTTCATTTTCATTTTCAATATTGTTTCCAAATCATTTTTGTCCCACCCGGGAATCGAACCCGGAATCTAAGATTGTGAGCCGAGAACGAAGCCAGCTCAGAACTATATGCAGTATAAGTAAATAAATAAATAAAAATACATTTAATTACTTCAATTTTAACAGTAGCGCAGTTGTCTACGTCAACGGCTCAGAACCACATTCATTCTCCGGCCAGGGCAGAAACGGTTGGGCACGTTTTTTTTTCACCGGATGCCTCTGTTCATCTTGCAGCCAATATGTACCCGGGAATTAGGCAAATGCTGTAGGTTGCATCCTGGGGAAGGTCACAGTAATTGTCCTAGGGGCGACCCTTCGATAACCGCTCCTGTCCCCCGATAACGGGAATTAAAACAATGTATAACACAACACAACACAACACACAAATGGTTCACAATACTGCACAACATTACAGACATTACCTAGACACTGTCTGCGTTAGATAGCGATCCCTCTATAATGCTATCAACCGTTCTCTTATTCAGATAGCATTGAATAAGAGATAGCATTAAAGACTCGGGTCCTAGCCTCACCCATGGCCCGGGGCCTCAGACCCTAGCCCGAAGACTCGGGTCCTAGCCCCACCCATGGCCCGGGCCCTCAGGTCTGGTCTCCACCTTAACTTGTGGATCAGATCCTGGCGCCAATCCTGACAATGTGGCCGGTCTGGAGTCTGGCGGCCAGCAGTGGCAGAGGCACCGGCGCCACAGACTTAAGCTGATCCTTAGTGGTGTTGAACACCCACTCCAAGTACGCGTCCAGCTCTTGCTGCTCTGAAAGGGCCAACAAACAGTTACAATCAAATACGGGTTAGGAGGATGTGCATAAATAGATAAATTTGATTTTACAACGTTTTATATAAGGATCAATTTATATAAGTAATAGATGGTGTTTATAACTAATATAACTCGCGTTTATACCGACTGGATAATACGAGGTAACTCCGTTTAGCCCGGCACCCATTACAAAAAGTTTCCCTACATTATTAGGGTTACCTTGCTCGAGGTAACCCTAATCAAGGGTAATCCATTAGATTTACCCTAGAACTATTTGTCCCAGTGAAATGAAAGTGAACTATCCACTGGTGATGGCAATGTTCAACCCTCTGTGGTGGAAAATGTTTTAACAATATAAGATAAAACAGTTTGGAAAAATAGAAGTGGGGGGCATGGTTAAGAATAAAATCACCTTTGATGTAGGTGCACAAGAGAGGATAAAGGAGCTGTGTTACATTGTTGGGAGTCTGTGTCTAAGGGGCTTTTGTTTCTCAGTAAATTTGCAGAAAACGGTAAGGTATGGTATGGTTAGGTGTTTGAAAACTCATGGAAAAATATGGTGGGATGATAATCTCTTGGAACGTTAACGGGTTGAAGCAGAGCTGTGAATACACATTATTATTATATTCATAGAGGAACTCCTGACTTGATATGATGGAGAGAATTCTAGGGAGGATCAGGCATTTTGCCCCCAAGAGTGTAATACTAAGGTTTGTGTAATATATTTTGTAGTATGTACTATGTGATGACCACTGAATTGAGGTACATGTATTTGTAATGTATATTATTAGTTGTATAATGTATGGGTTTGGAGTCCCTTGAGGGACTTTAAGTAGACAAGAGTAGAAATAACCTAAGCTGCTCCATCTTAGGGGATGCCTTTTATTATCTCAATAAACCTACTTGGAACTTGAGAGACTCGCGTAACATAGGGTAATAATAATTCATTTGCAGGCGATGAGTCACAATAATGTGACTAAAGTCCGTTGACCAGACCACACACTAGAAGGTGAAGGGACGACGACGTTTCGGTCCGTCCTGGACCATTCTCAAGTCGACTTGAGAATGATCCAGGGCGGACCGAAAAGTCGTCGTCCCGTCACCTTCTAGTGTGTGGTCTGGTCAAATAATTCATTTACCCAAGGCAAATGAGGACTTGCCTACCGTAGGATGAAGGACTCACCTATCCTGGGGTCGACCATGGTGAAGGCCCGACTCAGCTCGCTGACGGAGACGTCCATGGCAGAGTAGCCGAGCTCATCCAGCACCTCCTGGATGTAGGCGTCCTGTTCATCCCGCTGCTGCTGGAGCACCTCCGTCACCAGCCCCGTCCTCGACCCGCCGCTTCCCTGATCACCGACACTCAAGTTACCACCATTTGGACTGGACGGTAGAGCGACGGTATCGCTTCATGCAGGTTAGCGTTCAATCCCCGACCGGTCAAGTGATTGGACACCATTCCTGCCTGCCCCCCGTCCCATCCCAAATACTTATCCTTACCCCCTTCCAAATGCTATATAGTCGTAATGGCTTGGCGCTTTTCCCCCTGATAGTTCCCTCAAGTTACCACACACACTATGGCGATGGAAGCGTACGTGTCAGATAAAGGTATACCTCACTAGTGAGATAAAGATGCAATTCACCTGAGAGAAAAGATTGTGGTATTTGATGACCGCGGGATCCTTGAGCGTAGAGGCCCTTGCCGCTATGTCCATCACAACCTTCGTGTTCTCTGCTGACTTAAGAGGGAAGACTTCCTTGATGGCAGCTTCCACTTCCGCCCGACTCACTACACCCTGTCACGTTGATAGATTGGTTAACTGCTTGATTGACAGGCTGCTTTCCTAACGATAAATGGTGGGCTGATAGCTGGTTAGATGATTTTTATTATTGGCGTCGTAAGTACCATTCATTTTTATCTAAATACTGAACAAATCCGAATCTGAAACACTGATAGTGACCCAGGACACTGATACAATGACCCGGAACACTGATACAGTGACCTGGAACACTGATAGAGTGACCCGGAACACAGATACAGTGACCTGGAACACTGATACAGTGACCCGGAACACTGATAAGTAAGATGGTAATAAGACTGACCTTATCTAGGGGGTCCCGAGCCTTCAGGGCCTCGTATAGAGCGATGATACTGTCGACCTGGTGATGGTACACCTGCTCCTCCACCTGACCACACAGGATGCCCCAAAACAACCCGATCTGTCAAAGATACACCGCACACACACGTACCTAAATGTAATTTTGTTTCATATATATATTGAACTGCTGACAGTATCTCTATATAATAAGGGCAAGAGCCCGCAGGAACCACTTCATCAAGAGCGTTTCCCAGCCAAGATTTTGTATGGGTATTCTAGGTTGGTTTGCTCTCAATGTGTAAATGAGATGTAATATCCCTCTTTTCTTGTCCTCTTGAAGTATGGTGCAGTAAGGAGGGATGGTGTATGGTGCAGCAGGGAGGGGTGAAGTATGGTGCAGCAGGGAGGGGTGAAGTATGGTGCAGCAGGGAGGGGTGAAGTATGGTGCAGCAGGGAGGGGTGAAGTATGGTGCAGCAGGAAGGGGTGAAGTATGGTGCAGCAGGGAGGGGTGAAGTATGGTGCAGCAGGGAGGGGGTGATGTATGGTGCAGCAGGGAGGGGTGAAGTATGGTGCAGCAGGTGGTGTACTAACCTGCTCCTCGTGGGCCAGTCGCTGGCAGGCGTCGGCCAGAGAGTAGCACCACTCGGCTCTCACCTCCTCCAGGTGGTACCTGTCAATGAGTACCGTCACTCACACCTGCACTCCTCGCCTCCCTCAGTGATGCACGGTGCATAATACACGGTACCAGGCATAAAATATGCATATTAATATGTTTTGAAATATATAATCAAAAAATTTCAGGGACTTTCTTCAATGCTACATATAGCCTAGCCTATATTTGATAATCAAAAAGTATGCTGGACTTTTTTTTATCGTGACCAAGAGCGACCCTTAATTTGCAGAAAACAATGCCAATTAAGGGTATCAAAATTGTAGAATGGCCTCCCAAATTAGATTAAAAGCTGTACTTCTTTCATCCAGTTAACAAGATAATTTTTGAAATATATAATTTACATCAAGTAACAAATTTCACTCGCATTTCTTGAGCCTAAATACGTTAAGTGTGTGTTTTGGTGTTATTATGAACATTAAATACTGTACAGTATCTATATTGTTGCTAAAACTGCTGATTTTTTAATAAAATATTATATGCATTTCATCATTATTAGTTAAAAGTTACTTAGATATAATTTGCACAATGTCTTGAACTATGTAGACGTGTTAGTGTATGTCTTATTGAGTATCAAGTGATGAACCACATTACACGTAAATAATTTAACAGAGTTATAATGTTATTTTAGTGTATTGTTTATTTTGATATGTTCCTGTGTTCACCTGCCCTGTGTTCACCTGACCAGTACTCACCTGCCCTGTACTCACCTGTCTCTGAAGTAGGTGTTGACGAACTCATCCATGGGGTCCTTGTTAGCCAGCTTCCTCTTCTCCCGCCAGATATCATCGATGATGAGCGCGAGGTCCCGCTTGCCCAGACGACGGTTCCTGACGCTACCCTCGTACCTGAGGTAGGCTGGCACCCCGGCCTCCACGCCCTGCACCACACCACAGTGTCAAGGGACAGATTCACGAAGCAGTTACGCAAGTACTTACGAACGTGTACATCTTTCCTCAATCTTTGACGGCTTTAGTTACATTTATTAAACAGTTTACAAGCATGAAAACTTCCCGTGTACTGGCCCGGGTCCCTGTGTACTGTCCCTGTGTACTGGCCTGAGTGCATGCTAACCTTGCAGTCAATGAACTCGCTGGACGTAGAGAGTTGGGATCCCGTGAGCTCGGAGATGAGGACGTCCACCAGCTGGTCGCTAGTTCTGCCGTGGGACATCTCGCCCCACCGACTGATTCCGCCCTCCACGTACTCCGCTACTCTGTCACCCAGAACAATGCCAACCAGTCACTGTACCACGAAACAGTAACTGTACTACAGCCCCAGAAACAGTCACTGTACAGAAACAGTCCAAATGGCATCTTTATGTCAAGTGGAAAAGAACAAGTTAACGTACGTCAGCGACTGTTGACGTACCTGTTCCAGTCTGGTCTGGGCGTGGCGGCGCGTCGAAGGGTATGGTTTTCCAGGCTGAGCTGATCCCTCTCCGTCACCGCTGCTTCGTGGGCACCTACAGTCACCACAACCTCGAGTCAGGGGTCTGGTCATCTACAGTTACAATTGTTGACCAGACCACACACTAGAAGGTGAAGGGACGACGACGTTTCGGTCCGTCCTGGACCATTCTCAAGTCGATTGTCGACTTGAGAATGGTCCAGGACGGACCGAAACGTCGTCGTCCCTTCACCTTCTAGTGTGTGGTCTGGTCAACATACTTTAGCCACGTTATTGTGACTCTTCGCCTGCATACAGTTGGAATTATTAATGTTGTGCAAACAATGAACTCCCCAAGCTGTGTTCCAGGGTTGAGTATGGGTCACCTGATGTAATGATAGCTCTTGAAAAAGGTAAAATTAATTTACCCAAAGGGTAAAATCACCCTTCTTATTATAAGGAAAGGTTAACTTACCCAGAAGGGCGTCGTGTTGCTCCTTGAGAAGGTCGTGTGCGTACATAAGTTGCTTGTGAGCGTTGGTGAGGGTAGCAAGGCGCCGCTGGTGGCGGTCGTAGTCTGCTCTAGGCACCACCTCCCGGTACTGACGCTGCATGTCCTGCAGCAGGCGGGTCTTCTCGCTCAGCTCCTCCCTCACACGCAAATAAATAAATGTAACAGTTCAAGCAAGTTTATTGAGACAATAAAATACATCTCAAAAGGGTAGAGTATGTTGACCAGACCACACACTAGAAGGTGAAGGGACGACGATGTTTCGGTCCGTCCTGGACAGTTCTCAATCGACTTGAGAATGGTCCAGGACGGACCGAAACGTCGTTGTCCCTTCACCTTCTAGTGTGTGGTCTGGTAAACATACTTTAGCCACGTTATTGTGACTCATCGCCTGCACAAGGTTAGAGTAGCATGTCACGTGAGCAACGTGACAGTGTCAGACCTCGAAGGAAGGATTAAGACAGGAATTTCCTTAAGTACTTTCGTATTTAATACTACTACTTCAGAAGGATGGATTTACAGTTCAGTGGGTGTGGATATATAGGCAGGAAAGAGGTGAAGCGAGGTACAATGTCTTTCATGAGATAATGAGATATTAATAAGGTATTAGTGAGATAAATGTGCATCAATGATCCTACTCAAAGCGCCCTTTAACTGATCAATCAAAAATGGATCTAAAGTATACAAACCATAGCTAATGGTCAAATTACATGATTTTGTAGTCTGTATTAAAGTATATTCAATAATGTTCGTATTGAAAGTAATTTTACTATTCGTTATTGAAGAAGCCATCTCCCAATCAATTTGTTGAGAACTTTCTGACAAATGAAAAAACAAAGCATTTGACAATTGGCCAAGTCTTACAGAGTAACACAGTATATGGGAACAGAACAGGAGATGGAAGAGAACTGAATGAAAGAGCATTACTGTACTCAATAACTTAAAACCATCGAGGATCGAACGCCGACCTGCAAGAAGCGAGGTCGTCACTGTACCGACGAAGTCAAGTGGTTGGACGGGTATATAGTGCATGTGTTACCTGCACCTGTGGAGAGCGATCTTGAGGAGTGTGGGGTCCCAGGCGGGGTCCTCATCACCTTGCAGCGTCAACACCTTCCTCCTGAGCGCCCCGGCCTCCACCTTCGCCTGCAGCACCACACAACCACTCCACATCCAAACTCATAACAAAGCTTTTTAATGAAAGTATTATATGTCATACTCGGCCTCTGGTATATCATACTCGTCCTATAATATGTCGAATGGGGCCGAGGTGGGGAAGGACAGTGGGAAAGGGAAGAGCTGTAGTTAGGATACTTGACGAGAGGAAAAATACAAATGTTTATTATTATCATTAGTATATTAAAATCATCAACACCTGGCAATACCTCCTCCTTCCCCTCCTTACAGCTCCCACCTACTCTGCCACTTGCAGCCTCCGCCTTCCCCCTACCACCAGTTCCCCACCTGCAATCTCAATCTCCCCAACCACCGCACCTCCCCATCCCACCTGCAGCCTCACCTCCATCAGCTGGGTCTGCATCGCCCGCCTGTCCTCTTCCACACACACAGCACCACGCCGCTCCTGTCCCAACGCTTCCTCCACCTGCGTGTACACCACCTGTGTTGTATTACACCACCTGTGTGTTACAATCATTATTGTTACATTGTTACAATATTGGTTTGACGTTGGCCTTTCAATCTCATGGGTAAATATTTCTCACCTGACCCTGTGTCCTTCACCTGACGTGCTGACCTTCATCTGATCTGCTGCACCTGACGAACAGCTGACACTAACCTTGGACACCTGGTCTTTGAGGTCGGTGATGTGGAGGTCTGCCTGGAGGAGACGGTGTTGGAGGTCGTGGTTGAGGGCGCAGAGGCGGGTCACCTCTCCCTGAAGGCGCCTCCCGGAGGGCGTGTCCTTCTCCTGCGTCTGTCAAAATAACATATCACCATCTTCTGTGTAGTAGTAGTAGTGCACAACAATCATTAACGTATCAATGAGAGCCCAATAAATAGATCATTCCTACTGATTTTCTCAGTAATAGAAGCAGCAACAGGAAGCGAGGTATCGGTTACTAATATAATGAAAGCCATGGAGGTGGTGAGATGAGCAAGAGTGTGGCGGCGTCACCTGGAGGCAGATGGCGAGTCGTGCCTGCAGGTAGGTGAGGTAGTGGCAGTAGCCGTGGTGCAGGAGGGCCAGCAGGCGGGTGTAGGGCCTCGCCCTGGCCACCAGCTGTCTCAGCGTCGCCTCCACCGCCTTCAGACCCTTCTCCTACAGGATACAAAACTGCCACTCATATGTATAAATCCCTTAAGCATTAAATCAATTAATCTCACTCACTTATTATTTCGAGAGAAGTGTTTTGCTCTGCAGTCCTGCCTTTGCCTTACTCTACAACAAATCCCATGAGCTTCGTACTTTCCCAGATATTCTTAAGACGGTCAGAATAATACTAGTCCATAAAAATGGCGATTTCTCCGAAATTAATGTTAGGCTAATATAGGCCTCTTAATATAATTAATGTTAGGCCTCCACCCATCCTTATCCAAAACAGTTGAAAAGCTAACGTACACTTTACTACTACCTAGATAAACATAATTATACTTAGTTTCTTGCCAATATGGCGTCAGACTACATAAAAGCACTAATGATATTTTAATTAACATGCTTAACGGGATTCAAGAATTAACATGACAAGAATGAGCATCCCATTTTTTTTTTTTATATTTACGCAAGGCTTTTGACACCGTTAACCACATAAACTTCTTAGACTGCAACGCAATTGAGTCAGACGTCACTACCTTTAATACTTACAATCTTACATCACTGAGAGACTTCAGTATGTTCACTGTGAATGGTGCTAACTCTTCCACTCTGCCAACTATCATTGACGTTCCATAGGGTAGTATTCATAGTTCACTCCTCTTTCTCACATCAATGATTTTCCTAATGCCATTCAACACTTTAAGCCAATCCTATTTGCTGACGACACAACTTTCACTTTCTCTAATACTCGCACAAGGGCAACTAGGTGGGTACTCGCACATACCCACACACTCTTATCTACCCACACTCGTTCCCACTCACACGGCTACACACAGGAAAACACAGAATGCTTGTTTGTCACAAAATTCATAATTCAAATCAGTACTCGCCATTGTAAGAACAGGCTTGTCGGTAGTAGCATCAACAGTGCCGCCATGTGCAAGAGTCACGGGAGCCTGACGAAGGCCAGTCGGCGAGGAATGGCAAAAGAAGCTAGCAAGGGCAGCCCGCAGCTCCTCTTCCATCAGCAGCACCGCACGAGGCTTGCTAAGCACGCCCACGCCAGCCACACCACTCTGTCTCCACAAACAGTTAACTGTTAAGACATGCAAGCACCAACTCTCAAGCCATACATTATTAATATGCACGTGGAATATAATAAGCATTGTTATTATCAAGATAATCACTAGGAGCCATGAGGAGGATTCGAACCCGCACACTTGGTACTGCTAAGCACAAGGCCTAGATCACTGCACCACGACATAATAAAAAAGCACTGCAACCTGGGATTCAACTGAATCTATTTTCTCACTGATACATCACGTTAATGAGATTTCATTGTGCATTATTATTATTATTATTATTAGTGTTAGCAAATCGTATTTACCAGATATGATTTGATAGTGTAGTTCATTTATTATGCACCCTGCATCTATCGTGTGAAGGCGTATTTAAAGATTACCGAGATCATGTGCATATAATGGGCAGAAACTGGAGCCCAAAATTCGTATAGCTAAACAAGTTACAATATCAACCCATGCGTCTGTTTTAATCGTACATTTTGTACCTATGATCGATTGTACCAATATGTAGAAACTGACCCCCAGTAAACCACTTTTGTGATATTTTTTATGGAGTCCGGGAAAAATTAAGCTAGAAACCATTCTTATGCTTCAGAGAGCGTGTATTAGGATTGGTCAGGATAGGTTTTATTGCCAACAAATACAAAAACTTTTCCAGTTTGTCCAAATTTAATAATACAAAAGTTTACTTTCTGGTAGTACATCACGACCCATTTGTACTTTCGACCACATATAGATAAATACTATAGGTACTTTCAGTTTAGGTCCAGGGGACAGTTAGGACAAGGTCCAGGGCACAGTTAGGACAAGGTCCAGGGCACAGTTAGGACAAGGTCCAGGGCACAGTTAGGACAAGGTCCAGGGCACAGTTAGGACAAGGTCCAGGGCACAGTTAGGACAAGGTCCAGGGCACAGTTAGGACAAGGTCCAGGGCACAGTTAGGACAAGGTCCAGGGCACAGTTAGGACAAGGTCCAGGGCACAGTTAGGACAAGGTCCAGGGCACAGTTAGGACAAGGTCCAGGGCACAGTTAGGACAAGGTCCAGGGCACAGTTAGGACAAGGTCCAGAGCACAGGAGGGCTCGTGGCTTCCGGAAGGGAGAAGGCGAGGTGGCAGACAAAGATAACCTCGTCAACAACGGTAATAAGGAATCAATGGCGAGCCGTTCTCCAGCCACCTCTTCCATCCCATGTGCTCTAGCTCTTCCTAACGCGTCGCTCCCTGCACGCCACAGGTGCACAGGCACCTGTGGCGTGTATAGCGAACCATGTATGAAGGAACTAATAGGGTTTTACATAAAGGCAACCCGGTGCCTGGTTCGCCGCCCCACCCACATTAGAGGCGGGACCAAGGGTCCGAAGCTCAACCCCCCCAAACACAACTAGGTGAGTACCACTCGGTGCCGTGAGGCACTTCTCGATAGTGAAAGGTGCCACCACCCAGTGCCTGGTCTTCCATCACCTCACCACCGGGTGCGTGGTTCCTCCCTTAACCGATTAATCAATTTCGCCAACAGGTAGAGAGGCTACAGTGTCAACAAAGATAATGGTTGCGTCGCTTTCGGCCCATTCCCTTCACTTCCGCCCTACTCTCGGTCCCCCACTCCCCTTAAAAATTGTGTGTGTATATATATATATATATATATATATATATATATATATATATATATATATATATATATATATATATATATATATATATATATATATATATATATATATATATATATATTATATATACTGTATATATTTTGACTTGGAGTCAAAACCCACCATTCATTAAAAGTTGCACAACAGATGGGTGCAGCAGTCAGAAAAGCTAACCACACTCTTGGGATAATCAAGCATACTTTTGACTATAAGGAAAAAACGGTAATGGTTCACCTGTGTAAATCTCAGGTGCGCCCCATTTGGATTACTGAGCCAAGCAATGAGACTACATTTTCAGAAGGACAGCTGGTCTGGAGAAGGTGCAACACCGGGCAACACAAGTCATTCCAGAGCTAAGTTATTTCTCGAATAAGGAACGGTTGAGGGCCACAGGGCTAACAACACTGCAAACCAGACGTGACAGGGCTGATCTCAATGAAACTTAAAATACTGAACAAGTTAGATGATGTTGATCCGGATATCTTCTTGAGAAGGTCAGATATAACACAAACAAGGAGCAAAAATTAACTGTTTCAAGCTCAACAAAACCACAATGTATGACTGAGAGCAGGAGATGTTCTCTCGCATACATTAAGATAGTGCGTTCCGGCTAATAGGTACAACATCATACACACACATACAAACTCCCGGCTTGTAATGAGGTCTCCCCTAGGTCGAAATACTGATTTACCTGAGGGCTACTAACCTTAGTGGCCTCGACGAGGACAGGAAGCCGGCGGCTTGTCGAAGATCCCCCCCTCCCCATTTTTCTTGATCTTTTCCAGGCACATTTTAACTTATCACATTTCTGGCATTTACGGCTTCTGCGGCTAGGCGAAGCCGTACTGACCCTCCCCAGGATGCAATCCCACAACAGTTACCTAACTCCCAGGCAGCTATTTACTGTTAAAGAGGTACTATAGGTGAAAGGAGACGTGACCAACCATTTCCTTCCCGCCCGGGACTCAAACCCGGGACCCCCGATTATGAGTCGAGAAAAGGGGGTCATCTCTTAAACGTCACCTTGCAATCGACTTGAGAATGGTCCAGGACGGACCGAAATGTCGTCGTCCCTTCACTTTCTAGTCTGTGGTCTGGTCAACGTTACCTTGCTTGTTTGCTCCTTTAGCAAGGATTACATTTGTTTGCTTCACAACAAGTCCACACTTAACTATCAGAAATGAGCAGTTGGTGCACTATGCATTTAATTAAACTTATGTTCCCACTGTAAACAACGTCCATGTCTATGCTTGGCGAGTTGCTATGGCCAAAGCTGTTTGTCACAAACCCGTGTTCAGAATATTGGTAAACCTGCATAACAGGAGATGCATTTTTCCCCCCAAAAGTGCTATGAACCCGAGGCCGTATGGGCCAAAACATTTCTGCAGTTCAAAATCCAGCTGGAGAAAATGATCAGTAGAATGAGGGACCTTTGGCATGCCGCCGGCTTCCTGTCCTCGTCGAGGCCACTAGTGTTAATGGCTCTCAGGCAAACTCAAGGTAAACAGTAAGTCTTACATTAGGCTCTACTTCAAAAGCATTGTTACACCTGCACAATATGGACTCACCTGCATCACTTCCTCACAACTAATCATCTGTTCCTTATCTTCTTTTACTCTTGTGCGACCTCTTGCTCCTTTACTCGCCACTGTTAACGCTGTAGCTTTTGTTGTTGAAGACTTTCTTGACGGTGCATTAATTTGCCGTTTTCCCGTAGCTGTTGTTATAGTAAATGTTGTGTTTGGGGCATTGTGATCTCTGCGACTGTTGTTGGAGGTGAACATCGTGCAGGGTGAAGAGGCACCGGGAGCGGTCTTCAAGCAACGCGGCCAATGGCAGAGTGGTTGGCTGGCCTCACAGGCAAGCCGGGCTCTCGCTGGGATGTGACACCAAGTGTTTGGTTGGTGAGGGGGGAGGGAGAGACGAGTCTAACATGGTCACCGACTAGTAATTACCTAAGTGTAGTTACATGATGAGATTTAGGGATTTATCAGGGGGAAAGCGCCAAACTATTATGACTATATAGCGCTGGGAAAGGGGGTCAGGATAAGGATTTTGGGATGGGACGGGGGGACGGGGGGGAGGAATGGTGCCCAACCACTTGGACGGTCGGGAATTGAACGCCGACCTGCATGAAGCGAGACCGTCGTGCTACCGTCCAGCCCAAGTGGTTGTTACAGGATGAGAACTGCCTCGCGGTGTCCCCGTCTCTTCAGGTCGTATGGCGCTTAGAAACCACTGACAGTTTTGGCCTCTACCACCTTCTTACTTGTTCTAACCGTCTAACACTCTGTCTGCAAAAGTGAACGTTCTAATTTTCTTCGGCATTTTTGTTTCCTTAGTTTGAACCTATGTCCTCTTGTCGAATCCAGTTATTATTTTGTATGTAGTGATTGTGCTCATGTTCAGTATTCCTACCTCTAGTTGAGTGCTCTATCACTAATTGTGGGCGCTCTATTGTATAATATTAGGTTAATGTATTTCTCCCTGCTGCCACCTTTATTATGATCACATTACCCACTTACTGTTCATATAAACTTTATCATTATTCCTGTGATACAATTCTTATTCATCATGACCTTAAACAGTTGTTAACAAACACAATTCACTATTAATTAGGATAGTTCCCAGCAAAGGCTAATTACTGTTATTCACATTAATTATACACATATTTCATTTACAGTTAATTTACTTATAACATTTTATATATTTTACGGTGTATAATTTATGTATTAATTTACTAATATTAATTATAAATAAATAATTTTCCCAACGTGAGTATCAATCAATACCCCAGAAAATGCAGTCAACCCAACCTTCTCTCTCCTATAAAATCTGTAACTCGATCGTAGAAACCAGTAAATTCACGCCGGATCTTCCTGTTCGAAAACCATATATTGTCTGTCTGTTATCTTGTCAACGATACAGGATCTATAATCAAAATGGTCTTCTCAGCTTCAAATTTTATAGATTGGAGCAGTTTGTCTTTTATTATTATCGGCTAAAACTCCTGTGCTCAAAGATGACTGAAAATCATTTGAAGTGGAAGGCTGAGCTCAGATGCACATTCTCTCAGAACCCAAGGTGAAACTCCATCTGGGCCTGTTTCTGCCTAGCTGATTGAAAATTATTTTCCACTTCATCTCGAAACACCTCTATGTACTCTATGGTATTCTCTGGAATTCGAATTGCGTTTGGTTATCAGAAGACTTCGTTTTGCAGAAACATACTTTTGGAACTGTTCATTTAGTGTTTCACGCATTTCCTTTTCATTCTCCATGAAACTGTTCCTCATTTGCAACCTCTGAATTGTATCCGTTATCTGTAATTTGCTTTGAATGGATCTATAGAATAAGCCTGATTCTGTTTTACACTCCTCCGCAATCCCCTTTTTAAAGTTTCTTTCTGCCACTCTTCTCATTGCCATGTATTTCTTGCTTGTTTGTATTGCTGGCACCTTTGAGGGTTAGGGGTCTTCCTATACTGATTCCAGTTTTTGTCTTTTGTTCTCTGGCCCTCTCACAATTTATTTTGACCCAATCCTACTTTCTAGTTCTGCATCTGACTTGGTATAAATTTTCGTTTACCGTCATCATATATCTTAAAATTTGGCATACATCTTTATATCTTTGCCTAACAACAAGTCTTTCCAGTCAACCTCATTAAGGAACTTGTTAAGTTCCCCATATTTCCCTCTCCTGAAATAAAGTTTTTTAATAGTTTCATTTCCCCCATTCTCCTCTAGATTATAACGCATTGCTTATTTTATTTCCAAAAGGACATGGTCGCTCTTACCCAAAGGAAGAATACCTGTTCTTCTTTCCTAGTAAATATCAGATCCAGCATTGATGGAACATTCCACTTCCCTTATTCCGGTGGCCTGACTTACATGTTAATTGATACATTATAATGCCTCCAAGATGAGGTTTACGAATCTGCCAGTCCAAGTGTCCTCCCTTTTTGCTTCATAGGCTTCACAGTCTATTGATTTCAAGTTGAAATCACAAGTACCAACAATTGTGATGAAGGTACTATCTTGTGAAAATGTAACATCCACCACCAATGCAACACTAACCACATCTTCACTACACATTATCATTATCTGCACTACTCACTATCTTTTACACGGAAAGCCATCTTAACTACGCAACTTCCTTCTCCTTCGCCACCTTTCTTACCCTTCACTGCATTCCTTGTACTTTCAATAAGGTAGAATAATAATAATAATAATAATAATAATAATAATAATAATAATTGTATGAAGATTTGCCCTGTTGTTCAAGGGATACTCAAATTAGGATGAGAGTAGGCTTTTCTAAAACTGACAGATGACAGTGGACAAACCTAGTGTCTCTCCTCCTAAGCTGAAGGAAATAAAGTTGACAGGGGTTGAAGTGAGAACTAAATAGATGCAAGTTAGCATTAGATATGATTAGAAAAAAAGCAAGTTAGCATTAGATATGATTAGGAAAAAAGCAAGTTACATATTCTATATTCTGCAAAGGTTCAGTGATAGTGGCAAGTGGTTGCGAAGAAAAAATTTAGTATACTGTTGACTTAAAAGGCATTGTTTTCATGGTGAAAAAAAAACATTTATCACCATAGTAGACTTTTTCAATGGCAAGAATGCAAAGTATGCAGTTATACATATATAAAAAAACACCAAGCCGGGAAGATTATGTAGCACCATGTGATGTATGCAAAGGGACAGGTTGCACTTATCTAGGCATGGGTGATCAGATGATGATGCAGTGTCAGGATCCAACACAGCCGTTGCTGTTGAACCAACAAGGGGCTCCCTAACAAGAATACTATCTTACCTGGAGACCACCCCAGCAGGCAAGTGAGAAACAAAAGCAAAGGGAGATTTCACCTCAGCATGGTGTGGAAACCCACCATTACCATGCTGTGGCGACAGATTTCTATGCAAGTAAATTAGAAGTTTCGACTCCAGGCCCTGGAATATCACTACCAGGACAGCAGAGAGAGGCCACGATAAGATGGGGAAAATGATTACCGAAAAGCACCAAGCCAGGAAGACTATGAAGCATTTAACAGATAGGGTACACTTCCCTAGTGTATGTCTTCTTTAAGGCACCACCCATTTGAGCAAAGCAAAATGGTTTGCACCCACACCCCCGCCACTCATTCCGATCTAACACCCAGTCCATGCACACACACAGTTCCCTTAGGCAGGTGATCTAATGCCTCAAACAGGAATCCTATTTCAGCAGGAGTCTTTGTTTCATGCCACCCCAGCAGGCAGCAGAGGGGGAGTAGAAGTGACCCCTTGCCAAGAATATCCAATAATTGTGAGTTACTAAGCTTTCACTGCTAGCTAAAAGGAGACACTAGTAGTAATTCACAATTTACTATTATACTTTATTATATATGTTTATATAGTACAGATATATATATATATCAGGCTTTATAACATTTGTAGTATACCATGTAACTGCTACTACACCAACTTGCTTGAATCACACAACTATGCTTCAACATGTTCAGGTTACTTAAGACTTGCAGGTCTCTCTCTCTCTCTCGTTTTGAGGAGTTTTATGCACCTGCAGTTTGAACAGAACTCTCACACGTTTTATCATGGCCCTGGTAACAAAATTTTCATCATCTTGACAAATTATCAAACACAAACTCCTTAAGTAATTAATGGAATAAACAAGATTAACATAAAATATTGGCTTTCCTGTAAAGCAAACTTTAAATTTTTTTAAAAATCATAGATGAGACCTATCAACATCACAAATATTAGAGAAGTCTCAGCACTTACAGACGTTTACTATACTGCATATTCTACAGGCTGAAATTTAACTCTCCTTAATGACAAATGTACCTTAATGATAACACATCTTTATACTAGTAAAACACAGATATTCCATCAAAATCATGCACCAAGGTGTCTATATAAAATAAAATGTGAAGCAATTATATAACTAGAAATGCAAATTGTTTACCCTCTACATTACTCGTCTAAATGTCCAGTTGTCCCTGTGCCTCTTCTACACAATACAGTGAATAACAAGATATTATTATATATCAGTAGAAAGAAATTTGGCTATCTATAAAGAGCCATTTGCTATACTTTCCCAACTTCTGTATAATTATAAACTAAACTTAAACACTTCAGTTGCAGAATCCACTTATACTACATATTTTGGGTAATATTTATGACTGGTCCTAAAGCTCCACAAATAATGCAGACTCGGCAAAAACTATGGGTTAATGAAGCATATGCTAAATGGACATCTTCCAAATACAGTACATAAACTTTTATCTTGTGGAAAACTTAAAAGTGATAAAAATAAATGGTTGACATTTACCTCATTCAGCATCTTTAAATCTTGAAATGACAAAATTCTGGTGAAGTATTATGTAAATTTAATACCTAACACTAACGGATTGTGAAATCTAACAGACTTATTATAATGTCCATCAAGAGTCAGCTGGGTAAACAAGAACTGTTGTCTGCTTCAATTTTTTACCAACAGTTAATTGTTTTACAAATCACATAATGCTCTACAGAACATCACTATGTTGAACCAAATATCTTCACCAAATATGATTACTGTATCAAATCCACAGATCTCCATTACTCTGCATTTCAAGTAGACTAGCATAAAAATACCAACATAGTCTGAGAAAGACTGACTAAACTTTGTTTAACTCATTACAAGATTGGTTAAGTTAGACATATATTGACGTCCATTTCTCACTGGCAGGATTTTTATTCTAAGACCTGGAAATTGTAGACTAGTTTACGATCTGTTAAACCACATGGTTATTTAAGTGAAGATAAAAAAATCATATTTACTGAAATATTTGATAGAAAAATGTGAAAATCTTGAGCCCTTATGGGCTCAAAATATGGCGAGCCCTAAAGAGCTCACCATAGCTCATGTTACATGGAAATTTTCTTCCGAGTAGCTGTATCTAGGTAAGGTGAATGAAGGTAAACAAAGTATTAGATTTCAAAATGACTTGGGAATTAGCAATGTCTTCATATTGCTATTTTCACTCAATTTATTAATTGCAAATTAAAAATATATATAAACCACAGAACTTATCAGAGCTCAACTCAAGTGACTAAGTAGAGTTTAGCCAAAGTTAAATAAGCATCCACCAACTACAGCTATTAGATATACTAAACAAAAATTATCATATACAGTAATCTGTATCGAGATGCAGGTGATCATATTTTATGAAGAAACATGATACAGAATAGAATTCCTATTTACTATGACAAGGCAATGTCTTATGTTAATTATATGCAATACATAATTATTTCTGGTACAAAATACAGCACAGTACTTTAGACGGAGCTTTTAATCTAGTTGTTGAAAAGCCTAGTGCAAGAACAGCAACATACATTAAGAGTGTATTGTGCGGTAAGAGTGTTACACAGGCGACATAATTACCCCCCACCGTACATCAGTCTGCACGCACGTGTCCACGTGCATCTGTTGCACTTGAGAAAGTCCTCAAGTAAAATGACATCCATAACAGAAGTTCCTGTTCCCATTCTGTTTTTAGGAAACATTATTAACAGATATCGCTCTATGATCATATTTAATATATTTCCTTATACTTGCTGCAGAGCCCTTATATAAAAACTAAGCTACATGCACTATCATCAACTCTTGGATTGCATTCAGTAAGGACCAAAGCTTTACAATCCATACACCCATACTCAACCATAACTGCCAACTGATATTCATTCTTATATACCTTATACTGTAATAAATAAAAGTAACAAATATCTACAACAAAACAAAAAAGTATTACAATACGTTTGTCATGCAAAGAAATAATGACTTGCAAAACTAAGCTACAACAAAAGTTAATTTATTTATGAAATATGTTAAACTGGCTGCAAATTATACAACAAATTAACAGCATCAATTTACCTTCCAACTAAAACCACAAAATATCCAACAAGCATTTTTTTTTTAAGGAAAGTCCTAAGCAAATACTGTACACTAAAAGATCATGCACAAGCTGTGGAAAGTATCTTTAACTACAAACTTACCTAAATCATTTTACTTAATGCAAAAAGGACAAATAATACCCTCCTCATAACTAAATTATTAAAATATAATTAATAATAATCTTCTGTAACTAAGTGTTACAAGACCTCTTGTAATGTTACCGCCAATGGTCACCCTGCACACTACAGTACTGTAGAATCTGCGTAACATCAAATTTGAACCATTTCACTTTTATGCCTATTGATGCAGGTATGGAGGTAACGTGTACTTGACTATTTATCAAGATCAACAGCTGATTCAACCTCAAATGTTATATTTTAAAAATGAACTCTTCATGTATGGTAGTACTACATGCACAGTATCTAAGAAAAATTATTTTTGACCTCTGAGAAAATGGCAGTAAATGGTGAAATGTTGGCAGACGTGCCAAAAACCAGTGGATTGCCAATGCACGAGAAAACAAAAATCCTGCATAAACATAAAAAATATATTACAATAACTGTTTATGATAAGCATTTAGCACTAAATGTCCAGAAATTTTGCAATTTCAATATTTCTGTAATACAACTTCAATTTTGGCATTATGCTTCAGGGTTGGCTAGAGGTGTTGTTTACCCATAGCGAAATCCTTCAGTCTTTTATTGCCTATGCATCTCAAATAGACCCAATTTCACACTGGGAAAATGGTAACGCTTACAGCAGCGTTCCAAAGCCAGTGAAAATATAAACAGCACCTGACCTGGGACAATCAAAATCAGCATTTGCCTTGGCAGCATGAAGGGAGTGTGGGGCATGGTTGATATGCCACAAGAATAATGCACACATTCGTAAATGTACCCATACAACTTCATTTATACTGTACAAGTACACACAAAAATATTAGACATATTAAAAATACCAAGTAAAAGTAATTAAGCATATATGAATAAAAAAAATTATCAGCCATTCTGGCAACTACAAGAGAGTGAGATGACAACTTTCAATTCCAAAACCAACATTTTATTGGTTTTATGTAAAAAAACAAATATTCTACATGTATGCATTTATGTATGAATGAATGATTCGGTAAGTATAAATAATATATAGATAGAATTCTCCAAGCACAGCAGTGAAGGTGTTAAAAGAAATAAAAATAATATATTAAGATTACAATATAGCAAATCTTTAGTTCTCATCCTATGTCTCCATATTGGTGGAGTCTTGCTTCCATGCACGCTCCATTCTCTTACATCTCTCACTTGACATTTTTTTCAATACTCAACAGAGAATGTCACTACAATACTGCACTCATAATAATTGTAAAATGTTAAAACTTGAGAATACAATATTTAAAAAACTAATGCAGTTTATAATGCTAAACTTTCTAGCAGGCATAATGTGCAGAATTGGTAGTAATCAAGCTTTCAGGTAGACTGTTGATGCACAAAATGATGAAATTTGCCTCAAGTATAACAAAATTAATAATCCTGTACTAATCATATGCAGATAATTTATAATATATATTTAATGATCCTTTAATCATATCCAAATCTAACTACAGTATTTTGAGAACAATGAGATGCATGTGCACATACATACAAAAAACTACAAAGCATAAAAACTGTGTCTGTACTTAAAAACTTATGTTTACAACATTTAAGGAAAAATTCTAAAATTTTCTGGTGATTCTAATTAGTAACTTTCTTCCCTAACTAACACTTTCTTTCCATCTGACTTGCAGCCATTTTTTTAGTTGAATATAATTGAATTTATTATTTTGTATGTAATCTATGCACATACCCAAACACCTCAGCCCTTCATTTATCCTAATATAATATTACTTATACAGCAAGTCATCTAAGGCTTTATAGTTTATGAAAATACATAATAAATTAAAAATCTGAAGATTTACTCCAATTAATTCCAACAATGCCTACATGACATTAATGCAACACCACACACACACACTCCACCCATTGCCAAAACCACTCAATCTCATCAAACAAGCTTCTGGCAAAACTGGTCAATGCAGCAACACAAAATTGGAATATGGCATCATTATCCAATTTGGACTAACAACAAACTGTAATCATTAGCACAACAAAAGATCAGGGTAAGCAGAGCCACGCTGCAATTCTAGCAATATCCTTAACCAATGTTATGAAAAAATATTTTCTACGACAGCATAACTATATAAAAGCTATGCACGAATATGGTCCCACTATGGGATGTGTTACTGTTTGGCTTAATTATATAAAAAAAAATATGTTTATTAACATAAGAAGCATCTTATTTAAAACAGCAAAATTTAATGCTTCCCAATCAACCACACTAAATGCTTACTATTATAGATGTGAAATCTTTAAAAATCTTGTCTTTCTACAATAAAAAAAAAAAGTCTACAACTTAAGATTGATGTATACCATAAGAATTTAACTGCTACTCAAAGTTTAGCATTTCCAATGGCTGGCAATGATAAAATGAACACATCAGCAATTAATTCACTGACAATTAAGAACAATAAGTTCTGCCACGGCACAGGATACATCATTGTCATACTTTGTAAGAAGCTGTTGATTCACATCACGGTTGGTGAAGCCCATGTCTTCTAGTTGTTGCATGGGAGGTGGTAGTGGAGATCTTTCTTGCTGTGGACAAATAACTAATTTCAATAAAAGTAGCTACTTACAATGACTACCAGTATATCTAACTATACTTTTCTAAAGCATTAGGTACATGAAATTTCCCACAGTTGTTTTCTTTTAGAGACAATGAACTTGTGTAAAAACAAGACCTGTGGTGAATATGAAGAACACCTTTCCGAGTGGTGCACTCGGTTGTTTGCTAAGATGAGGTTTTTTCTCATTCCATTGAAAATGATAATAGAAAGTCAAGCCTAGTAAACAATTTGAATAGCATTTAGGGATTTTTTGAAAGGCATCTGCCAACTCATAATAGCACTAGGAAGGCACTGGAGAAATACTCCAGTGCAGAATGATCTCTAAATATTTATTCATAATCACTTGACCCACTTCCAAGTCCTACGTGGAATCACAGGGTCTGACGAGGAGCAGTCTTGATAACCATCACGTTGACCCGCTATCTCACACCATTACAGGTGACAGCCTGAACATTGGGTTCCCCAGCTCCGGTCTCCTAACATTCTTTTTCTTAAGAATCTCTGCATACAAGAATTGGGGACAAATGAGAGAATGGGAGTAACCATCTGTACTGTTCAGAAAGATGTTTTTCATATTCACTCAAAAATCTTATTTCTGAGCTATCCATTTTGGCAGATAAGGATAGATTAGGAGTAAAATAATAAGGAAAACTAGAGTACAGTAATAATGAATTGAATATTACTCGCCCATGCTGCAGAGTGGTGCTTGAAGAAGTTGCAGGAGTAGCATCACCCTTAATAAGACAATACACTACTATATACAATCCAAGTAAAAATAAATGACAGCCTCAAGAAAGGGGCTGTGCTTTAATCCCATCTAAACTAATGCCATTTTCTGAATGAGAGCGTGTGCTAGCAACAGTGTGGGAGACCTAACGTTCCGAACCATAAGGCTGAGACCGCAGGTGTAACCCCAGCCCTCAAGGCTGGCCCCAGGCTGGGCTTGAGGAGTAGAACTTCCAAAACCTCATCCAAGTACACTCCAGGTATTGCAGGTAAATAGAAAGGTGGTCAAGCTTGGCCAACCTGAGGTTGATACTTGTTCTGATATTGATATTGAATGAAAGTTTGAAGCCTAGCTGGTTTTCTTTGTCAATATATCTATAGAGAATGACTTTGCTAGGTGTTTCTGGCAGTTCAGCTGGATTTTGGTCTATAGTTATTTGGGGAATGTTTCTTAGCTATACCACACACTTGAGCTTTAGAATCTTACCCAGTGTACAATGTCTGCTTTTGACCCATCTTTGTGTTCTGTTTTGCATACTGTACATTTCCTCTTCAGATTTGATAGCCTTCTCTGATTAAGCTTTGTTGTGAGATGGCATTGAGAAGCTACTGAGGGGATCCCCTCACAGAAATAAAGTGCTGAATCCCAGCAACCAGTCCCTGGTCCAGTCCAATGGTTTTTGCCACATCTAATTCCTCCAGGTGTCTCCTTTTCTTGTCTACTGAAACTTCTAGTCTGTCTAGTCTTGCCCATGGCCTTCTGTTCTCACTTCTCCTTGAACACCCATCTGATTTTGGTTTGTAGACTTCCAGGAACCTCTTGCTGAGTTCTTCAAACACATTTTTGGTCATTTTCAGCGAGTGTTCTCCCTGTTCCCGCAGTCTGATCATATGGTCACAAACTATTTTCCTTCATGCATGGCTCAGCAGAGCCCAGAAAGGGCTCTGAATGAATGTTTAACATTTATTTCCATTAGATGTCTATCAAGTTTGATTCTAAATGCACAAAGAAGCATCTGGTAAAATACGGGAGAGGTTCCCAGGGTCAAAGATTCACATTTCCCCTTTAAAAAAAAAACTTATGACTTATTTACCTTGGGTTGCAGTGGATTACTGTCTTGAACAGTCGCTTCTTGCTCTGGAGTTTCTTCTGGTGGTGTACAATGGGATTCTCTTGCTGCATCATCTTCAAGGCGATACACTCGTCCTGCAGAATCTGCTGGTGGTGACAGCATCTCCTGTGGAAAACCAAGTTAGTCTATACACCACATACAAGGTGAAGTATAGGGGACCACAAGAAATGAGATGGTGTGGTTGGTTGGGTCTAGGACAGATGAGGTGGAGTGTAAGGGGGCTATGAGGGATGAGATAGAGAGTGGGGGCAGCTGTTTTAACTGTTAAAGTACCACAAAGAAAACAGACAAGTAATAGACAAGTTCGAACCCTCATCATTGCCCTTGTGGATTTGTTCACTAGACAAGTACTGTAATATTAATGTTCCAAGAGAGGGCATATTACCAAGGATGTAAATAACTGACAAAAGTTATATGGCCTGAGTACTATCCCTCATTACAAGAAGTTTATCAGGGCCCAATTAGATTAAAATGTGGGTATAACCTTGATTGGGCACATCCCTTAGGAAAACGCATGCCTAATTTCATAAACTAACCAAGCAGCTTGGAATGGCTGTTAGCCATACAGAAATATTATGACCACTATACAGCACCAACTAAAAAACAAAGATTATTCTCTACTTGTTAAAAACTTCAGATTATTTGTTGTGTTGACAGTAATAATGAGGCAACAGATGTGCACTCAGTTCTAATATAAATGAATGCATAAGAGCAGCAGCTTTTCAGCCGGCAATGACGGGAGCTTCTCTTGTACTGTATTCACATTGCATGATCCACCTTAGGTATTAAGAGATTAAATATATACTCCACTATTATTTTTTCTCTATTTGCTATATAAAGCAAGGAAAATTATTCAGACATAATTCAAATAATTTTCAAACTTGGCAAGTATTTCAACACTTAACTCTTTCATAATTTTGGTTTTGTCCTGCTGTATCACTTGGATATTATTATATTTTTTGGATGGGGTCTGATTATTAAATTACTTATAATTTTAAGCCTATTCCCTATTAACCTAAAATAACTATCCTCTTATTATAAAATATGAAAACACTTTCCTAACCCATAATTTATACTATCCAATGTTACAATCTTGTTTCCTTACTTCCCTCTCAGCTTACATTGGACGAGTTATAAAAAAAATGCAGCAAGATGGTGCCCTCTCAAAATGGCAGTCAGAGGGGTCCCAGAAATTTATTAAATCCCCCTTACTGCTTGACAATACAGTATTAATGCATGCCAACCTTGCTCCTGTTTGTTAAAACTAACTGCCCTTGTGAAAGAGTCAAACAGAAAGTAATACTACTTGTGATAACCAGAAAGAAAAGAAGGCTTCGTATTGGTGACACAGTAGAGAACAGGAAGTGTGTTTAATCCTACACAAAACAATGATCGGAAACATATTCCTGACCTGGTTTATGCGAGTTATTAAGGTGCGGGCTGTGTTCCACACTCCACGCACCAGGTCCTCAGGGATGATGCTTACCAGTTCATCTGGCAATGCACCTACAAGGTCAACAGGAAGCTCCTGCAGCTCGGGAATTTGGTTTGTGGCTGCCTTTTGACCCTCATCTTTCATCCTGGAGTTGTGTCCAGGTTCTTTATGCTGTAAAAATAATAAAACATTTAATAAAATAAACATGGAGGAATAAAGTCAGAATAATATATAATATTTTCATTATCCATTCAACCTTTTATATATATAAAGCAAGCTGTTAAGATGCAAAAATCTCTAGATATCGCTGATTATAGTTATACAAATATCAACATATAAACAATATTACCCCAGCATTAAGTCTTGCCAAAGAACTTTTACTCTAATAAATAGCTTTCTTCATCTTCAACCCACCTTTCCTCAATTGATTATAAACTAATTTTATCCCACTACCACCTTTCTGGTTTCCACCACCACCACCAGCAGACACAATCATCACTACCATCCCCCCCTTTCACCACCACAAATCGTAAACATTTCGCCTAGCTTCCACTACCACCATCAAAACTGCTAATACCACTGCCCAATCCTCCACAACCACCTCTTATTAATTCACCCTAACTCAATTGTAACCCACGATCTGTCTTGTAAGATATTTAATAGAGAAGCAAAACCTTTAAGACACAAAACCTACTCTTCAGTCAAGTAATAAAAGGCTCCAAAAGCTCTTTAAGGGCTTAGGCAGATATACATATTAATGTATATTTTTAACTATGTGGAAATACCCGTCCATTTTCCAAATGTGAAACTTGTCTAGTTAGCAGGCTCTATACACAAGCTCAAAACCTACACCAATCCATTTAAACTATTGAGACTTTTCAGCACAAGTTCTGAAAAGCATTTACAATGTACAGTACTTCAAATCCTGTTATTTCCAGCATTAAATCTTCATTCCTGTATCACAAGCATATAAATATGCATATGAATGACTAACTGTGTATATAGGCATGAGTCAATATCACACCATTTAACATTATTTAGCCGAGCTTCACTATGGTGTGATGACAAAGGGTTACCACTCCACAAACATTTATATAAGAATTCACTCCAATAAAAACAGTGGAAAATAATCATAGGCCTACCCTTTAACTTAATATTGCTTTTCCAAATCAATCAAATGTCTTAATATTTAGGTCCTTCCTTCAATCCATTTTAATATTACTTGTGAACATTAATAAAGTAAGTTTTCAAATTATTGAAAAAAAATCTGGAAAGTACTCACTTGAGCCGAGCTTGGCTGTTCACACACTACACCTTGTGTATCTTCCGACCCAGTTACCCATGTTGCTTCATTCTGGTCTTGTTGCGAGGGACACTCACGATCAGAACTAACAGTACTGGTCCTAGCTTGATGGACAGTGTAAGTTAAGTTAGTTCTCAGAGCTTCAACTGGTATTTCCATAAATGGCTTTGTTTCTGTAGGAGGATGAGTAACTGGGATCTTGTTTCTATCAACTTCACTGGAATCATCACAAGCTCCTGAACCTCCCTTCTGAGACCTAACAGCACAATCTTGTGTCAGCTTTCCTGCTGGGAGCATCTCAATAACTGTCCTTGAATAGCCATCTTCCCGACTAGTATTTGACGATGCTAAAGCTTCAACCCCACACACTGCCTGATCATCTGCTGCTTCAGAAAGAATTGCAGTAGTTCGCTCATCTTCATCTGCTGTAAGAAAGTCAGGAGACTCAAGGCGGTCGGCTTCAGTATAAATGCCTTGGGCAACTTTAGATGACTTTGCCAGTTCAGCTTCCACAAGATCTGTTGGAAGTATGCAATCAATATGATAAAAATACACACTTGTGTATTTATGAGATGTATGTAAAGAAATCACTGATTTATGTAATCAATTACAAAAAATTCAGCAGATGCAAGAGAAACTGTTACATGAAGGAAAATATTGATGGGAACAAATATTACCAGAATTTTATAAATGTAGCCATATTACATACGTGAAAGGCATGCCATTTAATATACACATAACACACAAAACATCTGAGCAGAATTAAGGAACAGTCAACATAATATAAAAATGACTACACAAGAGCAGTCTTTTTGATTGCCTGCCTCATAGCTTTTTTGTACAATGTGTGTTTAACTTCTCTGACATTCATGTTTTTTGTTGTATCTCTTTTTAAAGTTGTGGATGAAAGATACTTCCACAACTTCTGCTTTTAGCACACTTCCATTATTGACTGACCTCCAGAACAGGAAATTAGCATCTTCTTAAGTTTCTTTAACTCATTTGTTTCTCAGCTACTACCTGTCCCCCCTTTTGTTTGATTTTATCTCAGTTTATTGAAGCTGTCCTTATCACACCTTCTCTATTCCCATCAATCTTTCCATTAAGTGATCATATTTTGTTTGCTGCTCTTTTTATCCAAGGTTGCGATGTGTGTTCCCTTCAAATGTCCCCATAGTTTAATCTTCTTAATTGAAGAATAAGTCTTGTTGCAGACCTCTGCACTTTTTCACAAGCTGTGGATTATGCCTTACTTAGTACTTAGCATGGTCGTGCTAAGTACTATATTCTAGTATTGATTTCACATAAGCTGTGTATATTGTCTTGAAGGTGTCCTTATTTAGCATTTTAAATAAAAATTCTTACATTTACGAACTCCACCCATGTTATTCATTTTTAAACAAAAATTATGAATTGCTTCACAAATTGCCTGAAATTACTTTTTCTTTTACCACCTCTAAGTGCAATAATGCCAATGCAATATGGCCAATTACTCACAGTGGGTTATCAATAATAGTAAAAGCTGAAAGCAGCAGCATGGAATCAAAGTGAATTCCAACAGATTATGGACCGTGTCTAACTCAACCTGTTAGGCAGGGAATTAGAGCAGAGTACTGGTTCCATCAAATTTATTTGATATGTGGCTAGTAATGATGTGGTTTCCTGTCATGGGAATGACAGATTTATATTTGAGGGAGAAGGAATCACTGATACAACCATGTTTAAATTAAAGTAACTACCGATAGTTAATTACCCTTAACCCAATATAAATGGCTTAGGAATTGTCTTTACTTCGTGATGCATCGTACGCAGAGCTATAAACAGTACTTGTCCTGCAGATGATACTCGAGCCTCGTAATGTGCCTTAATCTTAACGCTGCAATTTGACACTTCACTACACAGCTACCTATCACTGCTGTGTTCAAGGAGGGCACTCAATAAGGAACTCAAGAAATTCATTTGCACATGTTGCAAAATAATCCCACACAGAGCAAAGGTCCACAGTTATTCAATATCCTCCCAGCAAGTATAAGAAATATTACCAGAACAAGTGTAATGCTGCAAGAAAAAAATGAACAGTTTTCTGCAAACAGTGACAGACCAACCGGACTGAAATGGGCCTTTGGGCCAGTCCAAGCAACAGCCTGTTGGACCAAGCTCTCCCAAGTCAAGGTTGGCTCCAGGGCAGGAATGGAGAGAACTCTCGGAACCCCACCCAGGTACAATCCAGATTCACATGCTCTATCTTTCAACTAGCACTCATGAGAGCCTTTACTTTATTAAATGGGGTCACACAAATTTGCATTAAGAGTACTGTACGTCCAGTCTACAGGTGGGACACCCATTCCAGGCTTTGGCAACTTTATTTAACTGGGATACCTTAGGGTGTCATGAATGTTAGAAATGTCACGCAATAAAATTTTAAGTTCTTATGTTAATAGGCAGCTTAAACACACTTACACATCCGCTCTGCTTTGTAGCTATAGATGCTCAATCTAGACTGCTTGGCCTTGATACCACAGCAGGAGTCAATTAACAGAAGAGGCCATGCTGACGTTCTGTGAATTTCAACTCTGCAATGAGGGTCACGTGGTTTGACTAACTTACACCACAGCTACCCTCACTATTGCCTTCTCTAATAAATATTTGGGACTGCTAACCTTGTGGTTCTATTCAGAAAGGAACCCACGTCTAACAAGTACAATTTCTAAGGAGTGAATGTCCTTGCTCTCCCAACAAAGGCCAACACCTCACTAGCTCATTTCACTGAACCTCTATATAGATACACCAATCAAATATAGCTTCTATTATAGCTCATCTGATTGGTCTGATGATAGATTCATATAATATCATCAGAAGTATGGAGCCCACTTTCATCTTTCCCAGCCCACCTAAGTAAGGTCAAGATGACCTGACCACAGATCAGCTAGCCATTAACTGCCTCCACCAACACTAAACAAAATGGAGGACATTCACCCATGCTAAACAACAAACGAATAAGCTTTCATCATCTTGTCACAAACAGACATCGCATGTCTTGCTTCGAACTTTACACGAACTGTAAATACGATTACCTATTCAGGGACACCCCCATGAGGGTATTTCAACTTGAGACAATGATAATCATACTGCACAAGACACAGCAACCTGCAACTATGGGTGTGCAGGTATGGCCGAGAAGTTTCCACATACTCCAATGTATGTAGTCAGATGTGACTTAAGGATACTATACACAGGAAATGAATCATTCAACATTATGTTTAATGGTGGAGAAAGTGGTTTTATATATTTTAACCTAATGTTTGGAGCTTTTTCCCCCCCGCACTTTAAATTTGACACTTACCCACATGTGACGACTTCATGTTGAAACACTCGGGCAAGTTGACAACATAATACTCTTGGTCTGAAAGCTCTGTATCAGATTCATTTAATATAGCTTGGTCCTCTGAGTCTAATTCAGAGAATGACCCACTAGAGATGCTCAGTGAATCAAATTGTTGAGTCTTTGGAATAACACTGAGCCCATACTGAAGCTTGGTCCCTGCTTGTTGATCCTTCCCATTCATAGATTCTCTCAGTGACTCGACAGACTCCTTCGCCATTTCCTTTAGTGGTACCTGTGAGAAACAAATGCACATATTGTATTAAATATGAAACATATAATGTGTGTTGTTGTTCAGACACTGCTGATGCAGCAGCAAATATTTATTTGCATGTTGCTTAGTGTCACAGTTCAAGCAGATGACTATATTCTCTATGTGGATTTCAGTTACCTCTTATGACATGCAATTTAAACAAGGATTATACAATGAAATTGGAAACAGGGCAACAATATTTCCATAGATAAACTTTTTACTGTCTTAGGTTTAAGCAATAACAGCCATACTGACCACAGCATGTGCCTGAGGCAGAAAGGGAATAATTTCTGGAGTTGAAATCCCAGAAGAAACCACTTCAGCATCATCTTCAAATGAAATCAGGTCCTGCTCAATTCTCTTTGTATCCACAGCATCAGATACCACATCGGGGCAGGACAAAGTCATACACTGCAGGCTCTGATAAGACAAATATTTTATCACATTTAAGAAGAAAATATAAATTTTGTCCAAGTTTACCACTTTGTTTTAGTAATTATGTTAATATTCCTACACCCTCTTGTATAATCCCTTGACATCAAGTGCAGCTCTCATCAACAATTTACCATGTTCACACTGCTAACAACATTACATCTCTACTAGTAATCAGAGTCAAATAAAGCAATATATACCTTTGACAGTTCCTTTTGAGCTGGATCTTCAGCATCATAATAGTTTTCAACAATGCCAACCTCAAGGTCTAGTTGAGATGAAAAATCTGAATGGGTACAAAGATCCTCTCTTGGCTGTCCACGGGGTTCACAAGCTAAACCAGTAGATACCTGTATATAATTCTCCTCTGCTAGAGCCCCTTGTAGCATGTTATCTTTGGACATATCTGACATATCTGGCAATTCCTATGGAAAAATAAAATAAATTGAGGCAGTGTACACAGGCACATATCTGTAAACCAAACTTAAGTCAACTTATACCCAACTGATACACTTTTTCATATAATAAATGTCATCATATGCAATACATTTAAAAATGAGAATTACCTTTACATCTGTAGCTAAGCTTGGCAGCATAAGACTCCTTTCAACATCTGATCTCTGCTCATCATCAGAATTTTCTAACGATTTAAGGTGTGGTCTATCAGAATTTGGGTCTCCTATAACATGTATTGCGCACCACATCTGGTTTCCAAACACTCGTCCTTTCTGACAAAATCTCCAGTGTGTTGCGTACCAGCCAGGCTCACCTAAAAACCATAATTCAATTATTCAGCTATAGTTTAATTAAACACTGGTCCAAGACAAGTATGCTGGACCAACACTGGACCAGCAACAACACTGATATACAGGCAATGAGTCACAATAACGTGTCTGAAGGTATAACCAAACCCCACATCAGAAGAAGCAAAACTGATGACATTTTGGTCCATCCTGAACCATTATCAATGTATATTGATGGTCAAATACAACTTGATAATGGTCCAGGACGGACTGAAATGTCGTCGATTCTCCTGATGTGTGGTTTGGTCATCATAACATTGATATAATTGCTATTCAGGAACCAACATTCACACACCTACATCTCAAAAACTTTTTTGAAAGAATTGGCCTAGCAAGGGCAAAGTTGTGCCAAGCCAAACCAAACAATGCCTGCCTGTTTACCGAGTAGCAAACACTGTAAATTCTATAGCAACCTAATCTGTCTTTACTTTAAGTCAACTTAGTAAATAGGGATCCAAACACCGGTCTAAAACTCAACTGTTAAATCCAGCAGGATGCTGAACCTGAGGTTCTTACATCGAGTGGGACTGTAAACAGAATAATGCACATTCCATGTGAAAACAATAAATTCAAAGCCATTAATTCTCCAGTCTCCATTACCATTTGCAGCGACCAGTCTTCATAACTCACTTGGTGCTGTAAAGGTTATGGAGATGTCACCCTCTTGTCCTGGTTCCAGAGGGGGGCACACCACCTTCTTCAGCGACGGTTTTAACTTCCAGCCAGCAGGTGAGCCACGGAATCGTACTTGAGTCCACTTACACAAAGTTGTCTGAAATAATTGTGTTAATTAAAAGAATCAATAATTGCATAATTTTTTTATATCAATCTAGTTTATACAACTATGAAAGCAAGATGGTCTATTTCAAGCAAGCAAGATTTTAAAGCAAGATGGTCTATTTCAATTATTTTAATTTGTTCTAATGAACCCATTGAATGTTCTTTCAACAGCATTAATTAAGCAGAATTAAGCATGTCTAAGTATTTAGTACTGTAGTGTGATACTAGTTTTCTGAGGCCCTACAGCAATCAATAACCCCCAATCTGAAGTGCATTAAATGGTGTTTGGGCACACACTGACTTTTTATTTCAGAGTCATAACATATGGGACTGATACAATCATCCATGTATGGCATCCATTTCACTCTCTGGAAATAAGATATCCCTATAGCCAATACCCAGATAACAGTAAAATTAAAGACCGTACATGAACATACATACAAAATGTTAATTAAATTTATATAGTAATGCTATAGTGAATATATTTTATATAATTCTGCAAACATTTTAGTTAGAAAATCCTTTCTTATAAATTTTGTATATTACAATACAGGAAATGTATTTTTTGCAATTCTATCAAATGTAGTTAGGAGAGGAATGTGGGAAATGAAAGGAGAGGGAAAGGGGAAGGATGAGAAAGGGAAGAGAGAGATGGGAGGGGGGAAAAGGATGGGAGAAATGGGGAAGAGAGAGATGATGATAGGATGGGAGAGGGAAAGGGGAGATGAGGTGATAACAAGAAAGGGAAGGGAAGAAGGGGGGAGAGAAGGGGGGTAAAGGTTTCAGAAATTCAGTCTAGAAAAGTATTATTAAAATATTAAAATGCCTGTCACCTCACAATCATCAATAGTGTACTGAGAAATCATGTCAAGATTAGCTAGGGTGTCTGCAGAAGAGCATATTATATGTCAGTAATATGCTCATTTTGGAGTAGCATGTGCCTTTTTCTGTAAATAAAAGTACAGTACTTTACAGTAGACTCTTAATTATAAGTATTATTTGCACCAGAAATCCAGATACAATAGAAAAATTCTGTTTTAGAAGGCTCATTATTATAATTGACCAGAAGAAAAAATAATGGATGTGTTCCAGTGGGCTAAGTCCATGCAATCACTAAAGAATATATTTAAAACTATACAAATGTGTGTGATTTTTGTATCGATTTTCAGTGTGTTCAAATTGTGTTCTATCATTTGCAATAATAATATGATACTGTAATGTTTAATAGAAAATTAGTAAAAAAAATTACAAAATTTAGATGTAATGGAATTCCAATTTCAACACGAAACATCAAGGAAAGAGTGTGTCGGAGCCGGAGAACATTGTACTTGGATTATTTTTTGAGGGGGGGGGGGACTTTTATGTTTGACACATATGAAGTTGGCAAACAGAACAGGCTTTACAAGCCTAAGGGAGGCATCATTCCGAACATTATACATCACCAAAGAGAGGTTAGTCTCAGCATATGCAGCACGTAGTTTAGGTTCAAGTACGTATACTGAGACAATTAAAACATCTCTCAAAAGGACAGAGTAGCTTAGGCTCTTTCTACCCTTACCAACATGTAACTTAGACAATAATAAACACAAGGTAAGAAAACCAAAGTATTTGCCAAAAGACTGATACTGGAAATTAGAAAATGTGAGCTATGGAGAAAGGATAAGAAAACTAGACTTAATAGCATTAGAAGAGAGAACAAGCAAGCAAATTATATAGGATCACAATGTACAAAATGATCAGTGAAATAATCAAAGTGGATAAGGATAACCAGTTTTGTATAAGATAAAATAGAACAAGAGGATACACAAGAAAACTTTAACCACAGAAGATCCAAAGAGATTCTGAGGAGGACACTTTTAGTGTAACAAAAATTAACACCAACAAACTTAAGAGGAATTGGTAAATGTTAATTCTATTCATAGGTATAAAAGTAGATATAACAGAACCATAAAATGTTGGCAAGTCACACAAGACAACTGATGGCCAGGTGAAAAGGACGCAAGAGCTGGACCTCATTTCCTGCGAACACAAACAGGCCAGCCATGGCAGACATAATGGAAACTGCCTCCATTCATAGTGTCATGGGTAAGCACAAAGACTACCAAAATGTCAGGGGATATAAATACCGAGGACATTTAAATGCCCTGATTTACTTTTAATACTGCCTAATACTTTTAAACATTCACTTTTAATACTATATAATAGGACTTGCTTGCAATAAATACTAACTTTTTCATTCCAGGGCATCACTCCAGAATTAACTACTCGCCAGGTCTTGACAAACTCTTTTCCAGGAGGCACTTGAGAGCCATCAGGATAGGTTATGTCCTTAAGGTAAAGAGCATCATAGCCACGTGTGGCACCACCTCCATTCCCTTCAGTAGGAGAGTCTTCAGCTAAAGCTTCCAGCTCCTGTAAAGCTGCATGCAAGAGAGATGCATCCACAGGGAACCCCTGAAAGATAAAACTTGCTTCATTAATACACATACGCCTATGGTTACTATTTAAATAGTTCACCAACCAATACCTACTATGAATCACTCAGTCAAGGAATCTCAAACATGTGCCATCTTGAGGACTGGACTACTGTACAGTGCTACCTTGTGTGCTACAAGTTCACAATACTTTTGATCTTCAATAACTGAAGGTGTATGTAGAGCTATATTTTTAGCATAAACTGATGCTAAAACTTTTTCAAGGTCGTGCACTATTTAGTGAACAACTTTGTCTTTGTAATAAATGAATGTATGTATGAATGTATGTATGTATGTATGTATGAATAAAACACACACACACACACACACACTGAGTAATTAACATGATTTTTCCATATATGTTCAATGCATGGATATGATTAAATTTACCATCAGTCATTAATGCAATACTGTACTATAATGCACTGTAATATAAACGAGGACAACATGCAGTTCTCTCAGCTGTACCATATTATCAATGCTGAGTTTTTTTGATTTTCCAGCTTTCCAGTTTCCAGCTCTACGATCACTGCGTCTCTGCTGTCTGTGTTCTGCTGCAATAACTCTATGATGTTTGTCCACCATCTTGCGCAGCTTGTTGAATTCCTCCGGAGAACATGACTGTTTCTTCCTCAGCCCTTCCATCTTAGCCAAGACTTTCTCCTGTGTACGACTGGCCTTATCCATCTCCTCAGGGTACCTGCAACATCAACCAATTAGTTACTCCATTTCAATAGAATGATAGATTACAGGAACTTATTCATATATGGCAAATAAAAAAAAAAAACTTCAAATAGCTCTACTTGCCAGGAGTTGCCAGTCCATAAAGAAACATCCAAAGAATATATTTTTTATTGCCTTCATATACAAACTGGAAACATAATGTATCTAAAGAAGTGCCAGCATTATTTTTTTATTTTTTTTTTTTTGTACAATGAAAGTCAAATTTCATTTCATTTAAGTGAGCAAAGTAAGGTTACATCAGCTCAAGAACAGATCATACACTGATTATAGTAAATTATAGTAAACACATTCAAAGAGTTTAATTTATTATATAAAAAAATGCCTACCACATTGAGAAGAGATGATAGGGAGGGTAAAACCTCGAGGTATTTGTATCAATGGTGACCATTGGATATGTGCAAATTTGGGAAATAAAAATCACTGTATACATTTAATTACTTAAGCACCAAAATCTGAAAGATGCAAATACCATTTCCTTACTTTGAACCAGACCACATAGTTGATGATCAACTTTCGTTTTCAACTCCGAATAATCTCCAGTAGCTGAGGCAGCAAAACCAACACCTGCATTGTGATTTTACACATTTTACTCGACAGGAAACTCAACATAGCGAAGGAACTCGAAAACCTCAGTTGAAAAGGTAAATTAGAGTGGCTAGCAGTCTGAAAACACTAGAGAAGAGAACCCTAAAACCAGAGTTGAAGTAAGCTATACAAGAAGGGACATTCAAAGCAGCCAGCATAAAACCTAGTGAAACATTTAAAGCATGACCCTAAACATGCTAAAACTGTCTACAGGAAGGCAAGCAAACATTTTAAAGAAACACTGCAGACACAGCAAGTCATGCATCAATAAGAGTGCTAGGCAAGAGAACCCGAGCTACTCAGGTTGCCATATAGTGACTCTTGGGGTAGTTGAGTGGCGAGTTGGTTGGCTGTTCCGATTTTTGTTAGTTGGCGATCTCTAAGCATTTCTCAGGTTGTGTTTTGTGTTACATTTGTATCTTTAAGCAGGTAGTTCACCTTAATGGTGGGCTTAAGCATCGACAGCTTAACAGCTCCATATGACAGCTTCTCCTACCCTGGCTTTGCACCCTGGAGAGACCACTCCAGACCGACAACCATAGTTAAACTCCATAGTCTCTCGAGACTGATGGATGCCTACTATTATCTATAATCCTCACCTGTTTACCACCCCAATAATGGTTGGGGAGTTATGATGGGGAGAAAGACAACATTTAAAATACTGTACTATTGTGGTGGGCAAAGATGGTAGCAGGAGCCTGGTGCATTGATAGTGTCCTTTCAGTGCCAGTGACAAACTAAGGAAAGCCAGTGAGGAGATCAGCTAAGAAAAAATTCTCAGCCATGAATAAGTAGATAACTCGAGTAAATGCCATATTTCAAGAAGACTACAGATAGAACAAACATATGATACATTTCCTAACAAGGAACATCTAATGAATAACATACTAGTTAAATACAATAGTTTGGAACAGTATCCCCTTAAATAGGATCTTTAATTGTTAGTTGAATCTAATTACACTTACTTTAATGCAAACTTCTTTTTATCTTTCTCTTGCAGTTTCAAAAATTTCTCTGTTAATTTTTCTTGTTTTTTAAGAATTTTCTCCTCGACTTTCTCTTGCTTCTTGATAAATTTTTCTTCCAATTTCTCCTGTATCTTGAAAAATCGCTCCTCAACTTTTTCTTGCTTTCTGACAAGTCTCTCTTCCTCTCTGGCAAACTTTTTACGCTTTGCTCCAATATCACCCCCTTCAACCTTTTCTGGGGTTTTCTTCATTCTTGACTCTGAATGTGATTCTTTTATAATACTATCAAGATCTTCCATTTTATCCTTTTTGACTTTATGGTCAAAGATGTGCAAGTCAAGATTTGCCTTTACTGCATCTGCTGCTAGGAGTCGCTGGCTCTCTATTTCTTTCCCGAAACATGCTGGATGAGGAGGCTTCTGTATTGCTTCATTGTCTAAATGGCAATAAGATATCTCATCTGAAAATATACCATTAACCTGCATTAGATATATAATCTGAAAATATATCATAATATAGGAAGAGAATGTATTTATTTGCAGTATATATAACTTGCATGAATGAGAAATTAACAACTATAACAAGACATTGACAATTGTGAACAACTTCTATGCAATATAAATGCTGCTCTGATACAGTAAAGCAATGCAACTGTCTGAAAGTATAGTACTTTTTTTCCACTTAAAAGTTTTGCTGTCATGGTTGATCAACTCGGTAAACATGCCCGTACAAGGAGTCAGAAATAAAAGCACATTCAAGCCTTACTAGTTAGTAAATCCACGCTATTTTCATGAGCAGATGGAGAAGGCGTGTTTCTCACATCCAGTAATACATCAGTGACCTTTTCGACAACCTGCTGGCTCACCTCCTCGGAGAGCTCTGAACGAAACTGAAAAATTCAAAGAAAAATTAACATTTTATGTATAATTAAAAAGCTATTATACTACATTCCTAGTGCTTTTTAATACCAGTAATGATATACTGTACAAAACCTTTTATTTCATCTCACACATTATGGCATTGCTGTCCATCAAATCATTCACTACTTTTTGCTGGTTTACTTTATTATACTTGTACACTTATTAAAACCGAGTCCCCATTCTCCTACTGATGGCTCTTTCCTCTGGATACATCCACCTTATGTGGCACGAGACACTCAAAACATTGCGAGGCCAAGTTACAAATTATTCCTCCCTACCAACTGTGATATGGCAATTATCCCACCACCATTTACTGAAGTTATTGAGAATGAAAATCATGTAAATTGCACGATAGAGGACAATATTCTCTAAAGACTCTTGTGGGCATTGCCTGCCAGATATCAAACCATCGGCCCCCACTACCAGCAATAATATCCCTCGTCATGAGTAATATGTCACTGTTTTGCTACCCTGGCAGGGAACGGTGGGCGTCAACTCACCATCACCCACAAATGTTTATACAGTACTCTTTTTAGCTTTCCAACCTCAAGTTTTGTGCTACGTCGTTCAATTTGGTATCAAACTGTTTGCAATAGAATGCTCTAAAGAAATATCTGCATATAAGACCGTAAGTCACACTTTCCTATACTTTAGACACACCGTGCATTGTACGGTAGCCGGAGCGTTGCCTGAGAGCTCACCACTCCCTGTTTATTTCATTTTCAGCTTTCTCACGTCAATTTCGGTGCTACATCGTATCAAATTGTTCACAATTAAATGATGTAAAGGGATAGTTGCATATAAGAACATACAAGTCTCCCTTTTTTCCATACTTTCGATGAAAACTCAATAACTTTTAACTTCAACAATAACAATAACTTTTTCCAGAGGCCATTGCTCCCTGTGCCTCTCTGGGAATAAGTACAGTACCGTAAGTATGAAAATAAGTACCTTGAATTAAATGCTCCAACCTAAAAAAATATTTAGATGCTGACTGAAGAATAAAGTTCTAGGCAGCCATATTTTTGGACAGACTATGTCAAAGATTTACATTGAAGAATATTAGCATGAACAATAATCAAAAACTCATTCAGTTATTCTTCTCACCGAAGAATAAAGTTAAAGAATAGTTAGTTGGATCTTAGGTCTTACCTTGGACATGTACGAAGTGAACCACTCTGGTGGCTGTTCCGTGCTGTGCCTCTGCTTCTGTGTCACTCGTGGCCGAGCCCCTCCACCAGGTAACTGTCCACTACCTGCACCAAAAACATCTTGACTGGTGGGAATTTGTAAGGGTTCATTCTTAACCCTATGACTCGATGCATCAGACTTGAAAAGTAAATTAGGAGAAGGGATTCGCAAATCCTGAACAGGAGGCCCCTCCTTGCCGTGAGCATGTGAAGGGGATATGGCCGCCGTTGAGGCTGTTGTAGCAATGTTGGTGGGTGCAGTTGCAGTGTTCAGGGGCATGTCAATAGTGACAGCCTCATCACTGTTATACCCCCACACACCTTGCACATGACCTGGTATTGGACCTATGGGTACAGATACTATCAGAATTAACCTTCTTACATTTAAAACCAGGCTTTTTCACTTTATATTAAAACCAAAATAAGAAAAATCATTACAGGCAAGCTTAAAAAAATAAATGTAGATTAAATCAACAAAAATTAAGAAAATAATAACTAGATATTTGAAAGAAAAGAAAAAATTCACATTTTATGATGCCAAACTTAGAAAATGATTGTTGTTGCCAAGCAGCACTTCTCATGATTTGACAAGCGTCAAATTTGAAATAATTTTGCTTGACCAGAAGCAAACAAGCCAAGGCAACCAACCTAACCAATCAAGGCTGATACTCATTAGGCTGAGAAAGCATCAAGATTTTGGTGCTTGTGAGTTCACTAAACCATCAAGACAGTCATTATGACAATCAGGTCTAACACTTCAAAATTGCAGTGCACTATGTGTAAGGACAGGGTGTGCCAAGATGTTGTCAAGAACCAATAACCAATGATTCACCAGTCAATCCTAAGATTTGTCCTTGCCTTTGCAAGAATTATTTTCCTATGTGCACCTTTGGACTGGCACGTAACCTATTCATTTACTTGGGTAGATTAATTAGCGTACAAAGAGATGAATATTTTTACAGCCAAGTGTTTTTGGTTCTGAGTTTCTTATGGAACAATCTGGAAGATGGAGACAGCAGCTGGTACCAGGAGGTGCAAGGATGATGTCATCAATAGCCAATGGGAAGAGTTCAAGACAAAGGTGTGGCTGAAGGTAGAGCCCAATGATTGGCTAGAGCTCGTGTGAGGCATCAAGGAGTGAACATGTTTTGGCGAGTGTCGTCTTTTGCTGCTGAAAGTCTATTTGTCAGGAAGAGTGACAATAACTTCTCTCAATCTGCTAATCAATTCTATGCTATTAATTCTATTTCCAGACGTTATAATCCTTTATCACTTACATTGTAGGATTCTAAATATTACTTTTCCCCTAACAGTACTTTTAGTGAACATAGTACAGGTACACACACACAAATTACAATAACATGCTATATCAAATGAACAAATCCACAAGGGCCTGAAGTGCGTAGGTTCGAACCCTTATCAAGGTCCTTGTGGATTTGTTCATAGTAGTATAGGTATTTGATTGAAATTCTGGGTCAAGTTGTGGAAGGTCTCAAATATTTGTAGATGATTTGCAGTATTACTAAATGATTACTTCTGTGAATGGTCTACAGTGTTTGTGGATGATCTACAGGCCACAGTACTTGTTCATACAAACCAAGCCATCTTGTAATATTGCTAATACCTGGTAAAATGCTCCTTGGTTTGAAGTTAAACAATTTTATGCTTCTGTCTTGAAGAAGAGTATAATAAATTTGCTCAACCATTCAAATATTTTCCTTATTTTATAAGCAATGTGTGTGAATCAAGTCCTGAAAGTTTCATTAAATTAACGAACGTGATGGCTTCTAGATACCCAAACTCAAACAAAAAGAGCAATGACCATTCACTCCTATTACTGTATACCTCTGTCTGGGGAGAACAATCCTGGAAACAGCTTCCTCTCAGTCCCAACAGCCTTCGCCACAAAACCTGATTCTTTCGGTGGTGAAGAAGCTTTGAAAAATGAAATCCCTCCTTCTTTTGGAGGGGACGAGCTGACTCTCTTTATACCAGAGGAGACAAGAGACAGCACAGTGGGCAGGCCACCTTGTCTTGTAATATCTAATACCATTTTATCATGGACTTCTGCTTTTTTCTTTGCAATCTGAAAGTTAAGATAATTTAAAATGTTAATACAGTACAATGTAGTCTACTTTATTTAAACCCAGCAAGCAAATAATATTTGGAAAAAATATCACACTAGAAGTTACTTTTTTTTGCAGGGATATTCCTGCACGGGCCCTAAGCCTCTGGCTGGCTCACTAAGAGTTGCTTGTTTCTGTTTTACTAAGGCTGAGTACGAGTGTTTATGGCTCGTATGGTCGCTTCAGTAAGATTTTGCCCCATGTGTTTAATATCAACAACTGCTCTGTTGAATCTAAGTTGAAATCTTAATGGGTTTGTAACTCTGCACTGTGCTAGATAATGTTCCAGTGGTCTGTCGGGCATGTCTCCACAGTGCTAACATTCCATCTCATCTTCTGGAACCTTTAAGCCTATTTCCCATGCACATGGGTGACTAATTTCAAAACTTAATTACATCAAAATCATTACACCATTCAACCTTACATATGCTCTACAGTACTTCCTACACAGACAATTTCCACAGCCTTTAATGAGCTTGTCCAACCTCATGTTTCCTTGTCACACTATAAAGGAAACCCTTAAACAGTTCAGTTAAGTGAAAGTCCTACATCATGGTTCACCTGACAAAAAATGGTTTACACAACTAATCTCAGATGGCAATTCAAGCACAGAAGGTAATCACAGAGAGCAATTGGCACTGTGTAACTGTTCAAAGTCTTCCTGGCCGTTTATAACCCCCCACAAATGTGGTAAAATGGCTAAAAAAAGCCGACCCTAAGGGGTTGCATGGGGCAATATCAATAGATACTTTCTTTCATTACCATAAGATGTGTCAAAAATCTCAAGCCAAAAAAAAGTGACTTCATTTTCCAGATATTGTGCAGGCAAAATGTATTTTACCAAAACAGAAATACAGTGAAAACTATAGGATGTCCCTACCAGAGGTAACTAATTACACTTGTCCAACACAGAGAGAATGGAAGTCATTCCTCCTAAATATGAATTAAGTTTTCATAACAGTTGTGACACAATGTGGAAATTTTTGTTTTATCAATATCAAATTTGTTTCTTCATTGTGAACAATAACCTCAAAACTGTATATATCAGACAACCTATATAACTTGTAGCAGTGGATACATTTATACAGAGAAACAAGACACACTCCATAGTAATATTCTAGCAATAAATAAATAAACCCACCTTCAATGCTTCACGGTACTCTTCATCAGATTCTATAGGAAGCTGAAATGACAAAAAATGGGTTAAAGTTAAAAATGGGTTAATTATTACATTTAATATAATCTTTTCTACCTACAGAAATGTACAGTATTACAGTCTTATCAATATTTCAAATCCATTCTTTCCCAGTAAAGTGTGTAACTCCTGTCATAAAGGAGTTTAAAAGCAGAAATAGAGGGAATAAAATGCAGAAGTACAAAAATAGTACTGTACACTGTATTGATTTTGACCAAAAAATAGAAAAGCTGCTTAAAGAATATGAAACAGACATTTACATTAGAGCAACAACTTCCAAATGAAATAACACCCACATCAGTTTGCTAAGCTCTGGAGTGTCTCATCTGCAGAGTGCATGATACCTGGTTGATACCTGGTTGATGGGGTTCTGGGAGTTCTTCTACTCCCCAAGCCCGGCCCGAGGCCAGACTTGACTTGTGAGAGTTTGGTCCACCAGGCTGTTGCTTGGAACCCACATACCCACCACAGCCCGGTTGGTCCGGCACTCCTTGAAGGAAACAATCTAGTTTCCTCTTGAAGATGTCATTTGTGATACAAAAGAAGGTAGCAATTACAGAACCCTCCAGATGAAGAGAATGTAAGTGTGAAAGTTAGATAAGATAAGTCTAATGCTCTGTGTCTCGGTCATTTCTCTGAATCATTAAGGCCAAATAAGAATACAGCACACATACTCATGGATTTCTATGTAAAGATTGCTTGAATGTAAAATCCTTAACACTATAGAATAAAACAAAAATCTAGGATAAACATATAATTGATTCTACATTTCCTTATGTTTTCAAGAACAAATAAAAAATAAAAAAAACAATCATTAACTCTGGGTAGGAAACAAATTTTAAGTTTAGTCAGACATTAAAATAATAATGTACTGATTATCGCAAACAATTGAAGTTTTAACCCTTGATATTACTACTGTATATTTGGTGCTGTACAGTATAACAATGTCAAACACAGGTCAAGAAAAGTCCCTCCCCCCCTCCAATTCAAAATATCCCTTTACAAAATATTAGGTACAAGAGTGTCGATACATTACGTACCTTGTCGCCTTCATCATCATTGTAACTGACACAAATATTCTCCTGGTGGTTCATACTCAACAAATTCTGAAACTGAAGATATCTATGTTAAAAAAAAGATGTTTTAAGATTCCTTTGGCATTTCTAGAATAACTGCCGAACTCTATATTCAACATTTCCATACAAAGTTACAATCACAGAAAAACTTTACACAAGCACAAGTAACTGCCACTCAGTTCTCTGATAATCATCAGATGAGTCAACCACCAAACCTGCTAGCAGATGCCATCACCTTACACAATAGGATTCTAAAACTAAACCATGTCAGGTGCTTCCTGACAAAAACAAAACTCAGATCATGAAAAGAGGATGCTAGGAAAGGAATGAGTAAATTAAAATATGTTCAGAAAGGCATTTTCTTATGCAGTACACCAGGGGTTTATCTGTCTAAAGTAATAGTTTCTCAGTCTAGAGCAGTATTTCTTAACTGGGATTCTGTGGAACCCTAAGGTAACTAGAGGGTTCCACAAGACAGTTATAAATAGGCTACTTCTAATCATAAGCAAATATATTTCTGAGTCACTATTCTGTTGAATTTCTCTAATTTGACCACTAAAAAGAACAGAGAAAAATCATCTCCTTATAGTTGACAATGAAATCTGTGTCTTTATCTAAAGTATAACCTAGAATTATTTTAAGGGTACAAAGGTTGAGAAATGTTGGTCAAGAGTATGCATATTCCTGGTACTCTCTCTGGTGTGTGTATGTTCCAAGTTTGCTCTATTGTCTAGAAGAAACTCGGGACGGACAGACGTGGATCCCCCTCCCACCAGAAAAGATTAGAAAATCTAATCTTTCCTGGTAGCATCCATTATTTCAATGAGTACAAATTATTTTGATCAATATATTTAAAAACCTTGTTTACATCACCTTTGTAATACCCATTTATCCCTGTATATACTTCAATTATGTCATCCCTTACTCTTCATCTTCCTGGTGAATGTAAAGTAAGCTTTCTTAATCTCTCTACGTTTTCCACACTGACACTAAAAAAAGTTCTACATTTGTACTGTTAATCATCTACATTTCAACATTTAAACCTCTACAACAACAACACACACTTTCCACATCTTGACATTTTTAACTTGGATCTTAGACTAATGCTTTCAAACATCAGAGGTGATACCTTTGCCTTTATTTAAATAAAACTTTCAAACCAGCAGTACAATCAAGAGGTGCGAGGATATGTATATGTTTATCTCTCAGAATGTTTGGTAATATGTTTATTGTTTGTGATGTGTGTCTATGTATGTATTAACATGATGTACTGAACGGGGTGAGAATAGCTTGAGCTACCTCATCCCTTTGTGTGTATTTTACCTCAATAAACTTATTTCAAATTTCAATTTCAATCAAGAGGTGACAAAGGAAGAGGCACAGGACAACAGCGTCTTTCAAAATATCCCAACATCTCAGAGTCTAATAATACTCACGAGGTAAGACTTAAACTTCTTCCAGTCTAGCTGAGCCAGGTCCTGGTCCATCAGCCCCACCTCGCCCACCGTCTTCCCGTAGAACTGGATAGAGAAGACCACAGCATCCACGTCGGGTTTAGGACTGGGCTTCGTAGGGGCATCCATGATAGTGGTGGAGGTGATGGGTGCTGCAGCAGGCGCAGCAGCAGCTGTGTCGTCGACCGCTGGGATGGGAATTAGCGTCGCTGGTACTCCGTCGCTGCCATTACTGCCAGAGCTACCTTCTCCTCCTCTCAACTCGCCTTTTGCGATGCTGTCGATGATAGCTTCCTCCGATGTAGGGTTGATTCCGTACTTCATGGTCACAAGCGTTCATCAACTGTGAGATTCTAAGCGATGGGTCGAGGAATTTGCAACATAAGACCGCTCGGAAAAACGAGAAACTGCGTATAGCTTATGGCTGCAGACCTGCGCCTATGTACAGTGATGCATCTCGTGTTCGTTTTCTTTCACAGCTGTAGGGCATGGCTGAATGCCTTATATACAGTTTCACCCTGCTTGGTGAGCTTATAAACTAAACATTAGTTATTGTTTCTATTTGTATATAAACATAAAAATACATTATTTGCAATAAGATATATATATGTGTTTATATATAAATATAAACACAGGATTCTTCAGTAATAAAGATGTAAAGAAATCGGACACAAGCTATACAGCTGACGGACGGCGCATGCGCACAAGCATCAGCTGTTACCTGTAAACAAACAAAGACCACAACAAATAATAAATGTCAATGTGTCACCTAACCAAAAGAATAAAATGTATACCACCAAATTACATGTACCACACGATAGATATCTAAAGTCAATACAACGGGCTAAAATAAATGTTGTGAACGGCGGTATTACATCACGTTTTCCTACGGCAAGCCGGGGTCATGCGCACCTGAGTGGGCTTGTTGATAGTTAACTAATGGTGCAATCTGCCTATTTCTAGCTGCTATCCACGTGTATGTCAGGATAGTCTATACAACAAAGGAGCATACAGCGGTTATACGTGATATATACACGGATACAAAGCAACGACAACATGCGGTCCACAAACAATATTTACCTGATGGCAACTAACTCAATTAGTGGCTTCGGAAGAGACAAGAAGCTGGTTTACCTCAATTTACCTAAGAGCCACTTAACATTCTAGTGGCTTCGACGAGGAAAGGAACCCGGTGGCTTGTCAGAGTCCTTGATAATCTTTTCTAGTTAGATTTTAAAATTTAGCAGGTACGACTTCGGCGGGTAGGCGGTTCATGGATTTATATCACTGTAGGTGAAAAAGCATCTCCTATTTTCAGTCCTATATTGTGGCTTGTTGAGCTTGAAATCATTGCTCCTTCTCAAGAAGAAGTGCCACATCTAATCTTCTGAAGAAATTGTCTGGATCAACATCCTTTAAATTGCAACCCGTCCTCAGACAAAGTCTATTCCATCCAGCGGTCGACCCTAAAGACGCATTCATAATTGTTAACATTCTTTTCATTCAAAACAGTTATTTTCTCGTAAATTAATATTTTATATATTAGCATACTATGCAAATTTAGGCATTAGTTAGATTAGGTTACGTGTTTAAGTTCTGTTGGCGATTATTTGTATTTGTAGTACGTGAGTGAATTAAGCATTTACAGCGTTATAGTTTGAACAAAAGTCGTCAGCGAAGAACTTGTTCCAAAAGTCGGTTTGGTGCCTTCTTTTGATAATTACTTACTTGTTCCGGAAGTGTTCGGATATCATCAGTTGTGAGTCGTGTGTAAACCGCAGCCCGTCCTCCAAAGACCCAAAAGTGATTCCATGCACCCACCAAACCCCCTGTTTATGAATGAAAAACGGTTTACACACGACTCGCAACTGATTTCGTTCGAACACTTCCGGAACAAGTGCTTCAGTGTTGAATTTTGTTCGAACCACAACGCTTGAAATGCTTCACCCACAAACTACAAATACAAATAATCGCCAACGGAACCTAAACACCTAACCTATGCCTAAATTTGCCCGAAACGCATTGCGTAATAGTGGCTTTAGGCATTGTATGTACTAGCTCTATCTATATATCAATCCATTAATGTAACATCACTTGTATGTATGTACCTTACCTGAATAAACATATTTATTATTATTATTTAGTATGCTAATATATAAAAATATTAATTTATATGAGAAAATAACTGTTTTGAATGAAAAGAATGTTACAAATTATGAATGCGTCTTTAGGGTCGACCGCTGGATGGAGGACGGGTTGGTAAACCATTCTTCATTCATAAACAGAGGGATTAGTGGGTGCATGGAATGGACTTTGTCTGAGGACGGGTTGGTAAACCATTCTTCATTCATAAACAGAGGGATTAGTGGGTGCATGGAATGGACTTTGGCTTTTCTTTATGAGGACGGGCTGCAAATTGTTCAGTATTTTTAAAAAATCAATGACATCCGCCCTGTCATGCCTGGTTTGAAGTGTTGTTAACCCTGTGGCCCGCAATCGTGCCCGAGTTGACTTTGTTCTGGAGCGATTTTTGTTGTTTGGTGTTGCACTTTCTCCAGAGCAGCTATGTCCGTCTGAAGATGAGGTGTCCATGCTTGGATACAGTAATCTAAATGTGGGGGGGGGGGAGCGCACCAGATATTTATACAGTTGACTCACTGCCTTCTCTTCCTTGAAGGTAGTCCTTGAAGTCAAAAGTACGCTTGATTATTTCAAGGGTTTGATGAATGTTTTTTTTATTGCTGTTCCTAGCTATATAACATTCATTGAGTGGTGGATTTTGACTCCAATGTTCTTTTCTTCGTCAATCTGCTGAAATGTAATGTTATTAATTTGGTAGTTGTGGCGTGGATTGTTATGCCCCACATGCATTTTTGAAAATGGTAACTTGCTATTTTTTATTATTCATATATACAAAGAGTTCTCTCATTCTTGTAAGGCCATTAGCACGCATAGCGTTTCGGGCAGGTCCTTAATCAGAATTTTTCACAAGAATACGACCCACCAAATCCTTTACCAACCAGGTACCCATTCACTGCCGGGTGAACAGAGGCCACAGTTAAGGATTGGCGCCCAGTCAATCCTCCCAGGCCAGGATACGAAACCAGGCCAAAGAGCTCGCGAAGCACTGAGCAAGTGACTTACCACTGCGCCATGGGGACCACAAATCCAAATGGGATTTATACAGACAATTAAAGGACTCCCAGTTGATGTAGTATTCATTGACTACGCTAAACCTTTTACCTGATGTACATGAGGGCCACTAACTCTAGTGGTCTCGACAAGGACAGGAAGCCGGGGGCTTGTCGAAGGTCTCCCCATTTGCTTTGAGGATGTTAAAACAACTCAGTTTAGGCACTTACGGCTTCGGCCGGTAGGCGGTTCCATTAGTGGTGAAAAGCATCTCCTGTTTTCAGTCCTACATTGTGACTTGTTGAGCTTGGAGACGTCGGTCCTTGTTTGTGTTACATCTGACCTTTTGAGGAAATTGTCCCGATCAACATCCTCTAACTTATTTAGCATGTTAAAAGTTAAATGAGATCCGCCCTATTATGCCTGGTTTGTAGTGTTACTCCCCTGTGGCCATCAACCGTTCCTGGTACGAGAGATGACAGTTTTGGAATGACTTTTGTTGCCCGGTGTTGCACTTTCTATAAAACAGCTGTTTCTGAAAATGAGGAATACATGCTTGGATTCAGTAATCGAAAACTGGGGCGTACTAGATATTTATGCTGTTAAATCATAACCTTCTTTTTCTTGTAGTCAAGAGCACGCTTGATTATTCCAAGGGTTTCGTTAGCTTTTCTGACTGCTGCTCCTACCTGATTTGCAATTTTTAGTGAGTAGTAGATTTTGACTCCAAGGTCCTTCACCAATCTGCTGTAATGTATTGCTATTGAAATTTAAATTGAAATAAGTTTATTGAGGTAAAATACACACAAAGGGATGAGGTAGCTCAAGCTATTCTCACCCCGTTCAGTACATCGTGTTAATACATACATAGGTACACATCACAAGCAATAAACGTATTACCAAACATTCTGAGAGATAAACATCTACATTTCCTATGTAATGCTATTAATTTGATAGTTGTGTCGTGGGTTGCTGACACACATGCAAGGTCTTGCATTTGTCGATATTAAAACCAGTCGAAATTATTTGCCAGTCGTCTGACCATTTGTGAAATTCATGTAGATCTCTTTGTAAAGCTTCAATGTCATTAACTTTTCACACTTTATCATAAATCTTTGTGTCATCTACAAATTTGATGATGTGGTTTGTAATATTCTCGTCTATGTGTATATGACATAAAGGGTAGGCTTCAATATGGACCCCTGTGATAGGCTCTAAAATGGACCACTGTGGTAGGCTACTTTCCACATTTCTCCATTCAGATTCGTTCCCATTTAGCACGACCATTTGTTTTCTTCCTTTCAACCATTATTTCATGGTTGAGGAAGTGGTTGTCCCGCTGAACTTTAAAGAGTAACAGAGTTTTTGCATTTACGGCATCAGCTAGTGGGTGATTCCATGATAACCCTGTTGGTAAAATGCATTTCCTATGTTCAGTCCAACATTGTGGCTTATAATTTTTAGTAATTCATTGTGTCGGAAGACAGGAAGTCAGAGCATATTCATACATGTTAGGCTTTTAGATGTTAGATGTCAGGTAATGAATTTATATCCTGTGTATTATTGAATCTAATAATGCGAATAATCCAATAATATTGAATCCAATAAACTGCGAATCCAGATTCGTAGTTTATATTGTGAAGTGCATTTTTGAGATTGCATATTGCTACTTTGCTGCGTAGTGTGAAGGTTAGCTTCTTTGGTGTCCAATGGTGTTATGTTCATATTTGCTGTGAGGAAGTAAGTTGTATAGTTGGGTATATTGTAGTCTTAAAGCCATGTTTCCGTTTAAATAATGAACGGTAGCTTAGGGCCTATTGCTTCTGTAGTGTATTTGTATCATCAAAATGTTTATTGAGTGATCTGACATTTTGGTTGATAATACTGATAGGCTAGTATTGTTTTGGAGTTTGTTTGTTTTTTTGCATGGTTTGCTGTGAAGTAACTGCAGTAGTGTTCATTGAAGTTAGAGAACCACTTTAACTCCCTACAACAGCAACACACTGCAACCCAAGACGAATCAGACCAACTTAAGCTCCTTGATTCTGTCATCATCTCATCACAGGATTTTCCCCATGAAACTGACAGAGAAGACTGTACTGCCATCGTGATCCAGGAATTGCGTACTAAGTTGAATTATTCAATCGAAGCAAGAGACATTAAGTCAGCTTATAGAGTGGGTACCAAATCATCTGGTGCAAACAACAGAAGGATACGCGTGAAGTTAGATAGCTGCTCCCGCAAGTCAGACCTTATCACTGCTGCAGTCGCTAGGAAATCCAAGGTTTATGTGAACGAATGTCTTACCAGATTCAGACAAAATCTCTTATTTAAACTACGTGGAATTCGCAATAGATCCACTGCTATTAAACATTGTTTTGTGCGCGATGGTAAAATAATAGCTAGGAAGACTGACTCTGGAAAAACTTATGTCATAACCACTGAAGCACACCTCACTTCTTTCCTGGATGACTGTGGGATATCAGCTGAATAACCAGAACATAATTTGTAGTCTCACATACAACCAAAGTGTACTTAAGCTCTGCCTTTCCTTTCCAAAGGTGTTTATTTTTATTTTTATTTTAATTTTTACTTTATTTTTTGTTTGTCATCTTTGCCTGTTTTATACTCTTAATTATTTGTTCTTAGTTAATCCCCTTGTCACTAAACCTAGGGCTTTTTATTTCCCTGTTAATTAACCATTACTAAGCTAATTATCTTCAAGATCATTTTTTTTTTATGATTATTATTTTTCTTATTATTTTTTATTTTACATTTATATTGTCAGTCTCTACTGATTTTTTGTGTTTTATTTTATGTAACTTCTGTGTCCTCCCTGGCTATCTATTGGATCTTTATTTTACTTCTAAATTGTTACTATTTTATTGTATCTGCTCTTATTCTTGTGTTTTGCTTTATCGTGTATCTTGTATCGTGATCCCTCTGCATCTCTATGCACACTGATATTGATCCTGATCAAAATCTTCTGTCTCATATCTATACCAACCAGCACATTGATCATCATTATTGTAAGTATTTCACAGCACACCAGGCTAAAAACAAACTCCAAAATAGCACCTATCTATCAGTTTATAACCAAAATGTTAGATCACTTGGTAAACATTTTGACGATTTAAATGCACTACTCACAGCACTAGGTACTAACCTATCGTTCATTATTTTAACAGAAACTTGGCTAAATAAAGACTATACCCAACTCTACAACTTAGCTGGTTATAAAGCCATTCATAACTGTAGGCCTAATAAAAAAGGTGGTGGCACAGCTATATATTACCGAGATACATTTATCTGCAACAGTGTTATTAGTGACAGAGATGACTACTGTGAATATACTTTTGCTCAGTTTACAATTAAATCCCTTAAATCCTCTTTGACTATTGGAGCCATCTATAGATTTCCCAATACTAACATAGCTTCTTTCTCAGACAACCTAAGGAATCTTATTATAAACAACAATCTCAACAAAAACCACATCATTCTGGGAGGAGACTTTAATATTGACCTGGTCAACAAAACTGCTCTCAAGTTGACTATTTCCTTAACAGCATGAACTCCTGTATGCTAATCCCCACTATCACCAAACCTACCCGAGTCACTCAAACATCAGCCACTACCTTGGACCACATATGGACAAACATAACAGCTCCCCTTGTATCTGGTATAATCTACGACAGAACAACTGACCACTATCCTACCTTTCTCATAGCTAACATGGACATAACACCACCAAAAAGCAAGAAACTTTCATTTAGGCTACACAGTGAATCAGCTTTAGACAATCTTACAGAGGCACTTCACAATATTAACTGGGATTCTGAATTCAATAATACCCATGATATAAATTCATTAGCTAACCTCTTCCTCTCCAAAACTCTAAGCCTCTACAACCTTCATTGTCCCCTTCTTACAAAGCAAGTAACTGACAAAAGATTAAACAATCCATGGCTCACAAGTGGCATTCTCAACTCAATCAACAAGAAACATGAATATGACAAGAAAGTTAGGATTGGCCTAGTTTCAAAGGAAGTAGCTAAAAGGTACTCATCAATGCTTACCAGTATCATAAGAAAGGCAAAACTTGCATATATGTGAATAGATTCAATGAAGCAAAAGGCAACATGAAAAACACTTGGAAAACTATCTCTAGTATCCTAGGAACTAAACAACACTCACATAACCAAATAAAACTCTACAAGGATGGGGATATACCGTCAACTGATTTAGAAATGGCAAATGAATTTAATAGTTTCTTTTCATCGGTTGGTGCTAATCTTGCCAGTAAAATCCCACAGACTCAGACACATATTAACACATATCTCTCAGGCAGCTATCCAAACTCTCTTCTCCTTTCACCAATCAGCCCGGCAGATGTTGTGTCCATCATACACTCTCTAAAAACCAAGGCAGGGAACACCAGTGAAATTCCGTCCATTGTGTACAAGAGAGCCTCCCATGCCCTTGCCCCACCCATAGCACTACTGTTCAACAAATCTATAGAGTGTCACACCTTCCCTGATATCCTCAAAAAAGCAAGAGTAACGCCAGTCCATAAAGGAGGCAATCCGGCGGACATAAACAATTATAGACCAATATCAAATCTACCCATTCTATCAAAAATATTTGAAAAAATCATTTACAAACAGCTCTATTCCTACCTTGTAAAATTCGACATACTCAGCCCCTGCCAGTTTGGCTTCCGGTCCCAAAAGAGTACCAATGATGCAATCATTAGTCTCCTTGACATTATCTACTCAGCCCTTGACAAAAATGAGTTTCCGATTGGACTCTTCATTGACCTAAGAAAAGCCTTTGATACTGTTAATCACAACTACCTCTTACTTAAACTCCAGCATTATGGAATCCGAGGCCTTGCCCTTGACTACATCCGATCCTATCTTAGTGACAGACACCAATATGTAACCATCAATGATACAACTTCTTCCACTCTACCAATTACCGTTGGAGTGCCACAGGGCAGCATCTTAGGACCTCTTCTATTTCTTATATATATAAACGATCTGCCTAATGTCTCTAATATTCTCAAACCTATATTGTTTGCTGACGATACTACCCTTATCTACTCAAACCTCAACCCACATACACTAAATAATGTTGTGAATAATGAATTAAAAAAAGTCCACTTATGGATGTCAACGAACAAACTAACATTAAACATCGAAAAGACTTACTACATCTTATTTGGAAGCAAATCATCAAATGCAATTCAGCTACAGATAGACAACATTAACATCAGTAATAAAAATGATGGCAAGTTTCTTGGCCTATTCCTAGACAAGAGACTCAACTTCAGCACCCACATTCAACACATAACTAAGAAAGTCTCTAAGACAGTTGGTATACTCTCCAAAATCAGATATTATGTTCCTAACTCTGCTCTCCTCTCACTATATTATGCACTAATCTACCCCTATCTTAATTATGGTATCTGTGCATGGGGGTCTACCACTGCAAACCACCTTAAGCCCATCATCACACAGCAAAAATCTGCTATCAGAATAATAACTAACTCTGCTTTCAGACAACACTCAGCTCCCTTGTTTAAATCTCTAAACTTGCTAAATATTAACTCCCTCCACACATTCTGTTGTGTCAACTACATTTACAAAACCCTGTTCTTAAATGCAAACCATGCTCTGAAACTCTCCCTGGACAGATGTAATAGGACCCATTATCACCACACCAGAAATAAATATCTCTTTGATATCCCCAGGGTCAAACTTAATCTGTGTAAACACTCTATGCAAATTAAGGGACCTAGTCTATGGAACTCACTCCCTAGTGAATTGAAAAACTGTAAAACTTTTGCCTTATTTAAAAGCAAAACCAAGAAGTACCTAACTTCATCTATTTAGTTTCCTACACTGAGCTTTAAATTTGCTCTGTACCTAGTGGTACCCAATCTCCTAATTTTTATGTAATATCAAACAACCTTATCATTGTGTTCATTGCTGTCTTCTTTTATGTGCTAGCCATATGCTGTATTGTGACTACCAATTTTTGTCAACTACCATTCAAGCTGTCATTGCAATCAATCTTATATTGTTTCTGCTGTATTGTGCCTACCAATTTGTTGTCAACTACCATTTTAAGCTGTCATTGCAATCAATCATAGCTACCTATGTGCTTTAATATACTGTACCTATAATTTTCTCTCATCTTTTTTTTCATTCCATGTAATCTGTTATCATTTTTTTGTCTATAAATTTTGCAAGTATTTACCTCCTTAAAATTTTCTTAGATTAAGGACCTGCCCGAAACGCTGCGCGTGCTAGTGGCTTTACAAGACTGTAATTACCATAATTGTATCCTCACATTCCTTATGTACATTCTTGTATATGCATAAATAAAATAAAATAAAATAAAATAAAATAAATTGAAATTGAAATAAGTTTATTGAGGTAAAATACGCACAAAGGGATGAGGTAATAGAATAGAATAGTGAGAATAGCTCAAGCTATTCTCACCCCGTTCAGTACATCGTGTTAATACATACATAGACACACATCACAAACAATAAACATATTACCGAACATTCTGAGAGATAAACATATACATTACTCCTTAACACAAGTAGTATGGTATCAGACGTACACACAATGAATGGTTAGTGTAGATATGTGATAGCAGACTTAATTCGGGGTTAATGCCAGTTTGCATGCAGCCAGAATGGAGAAGACTATTTAAGAATATTTAGACTAGATAATGAGAAAAGTGTAACTAATAAAATAGTGACACGGGAGAAAATTGGATAATTTTATTATTACTATGCCCTAATTATTATGTATTAGGTATTTAATTTATAATCATGATATCTGAATGTGACATGTGAATTCATGGGCCTTAAGATATTAAATTAATTAATGTTATTTTATCCTAGAATATTTTTTTTTTATCAGCAATGTCATGAAGCTTTGCCAGATGTATAACAATCCTTGCCGATGATGGGCAACTGCTGTGTAACAGAGCTTCATTAGCCAAAAGAGCATGAATATGTGAATACTTTATCACATAAAAAAACTCGTAGTAGCATGTGAGGTTATTCACTTCTTTACTAAAAAAACATTTTTGTGAAATATCGGCAATTATACAAGGTTCTGACCCCGTATTGTATAAAAAAATCCCATAAGCCCATCTTGACAGATCATACAGTGGCATACAAGACAATAAAAAATATATGAATTAATTTGATTAAAATACAATAATAAGTACGCATACAATAATAAATATATTTGATAATATGGATGTAAATGATGGAAACGACACTAGAGGAGGCCGGCGACGACAGCATCAGCTGAGAGACACATCGCAGGGAGCTGGGTCGCTGTGAGTCACCTGACTTGTATATTTACACTTTTCTACCCTTTAGCACCTCTCTGCTTCACTTTTCAGGTACCTTGGAGGAGAGGGTGCTTGTGGTGGGCGGTTAGTGGGATGGAGAGTTAGCGTAGGTGCCGTTATGAGGGTCCTTGTTGAAGGAGGTGATGAGTTTACTTACTAGGGCTTGGCAGGACGTTGACGAGTAGTGGGTGTAACTGGGTTAACTGTCAGCTTTATTTGGGGTAACTGTCAGCTTGCCAAGGGCAGCTGTCAGCTGGATGGGTGTGACGGCCAGCGTGATGGGTGTAATTTTGCCTTAATGGGTCTAACTTCGAGCTGAAGGGCATAACAAGGGGGGTAACTGAGCTTGATGGGGGAAGTGACTGTTAGCTTGACAGAACTAACTACCAATTTTCCTGTGGGGACTGCTGTCAAGTGACTGATGTAGTGTTGACAGCTAATTGTCCAGGATTTCAGGGAATCTGTATAAATTTGTCGGGTTCAAGTTTAGAGCTTAATTATTGAGATAAAAATATATATACTTCAAAGGTATTTAGTAGTTTAGGCTAGAGACCGTTGCCACCCTTCTCTGTTGTAACTAAGGGTGGCAAGTGTAAGTACTTACACTTTTCTCTGTAAATTGTAAGTACTTTGTAATATCTGGTGACTAGGGTCTAGTACATGCACTAGGAATTTTGTAAAAGTGATAAAAAATTGGATTTTGGTGTTTTTCTTGGGCTGGAATGGGTGATATATCCTATAAGATGGACTATATCATAAGAGACAAGAATAGGAATAAACCCATTAACTGCCATAATAATAATAAAGGGGAATGATGTAGGGAAATGTAGGAGTGAGAAATTGCTTGGAAATTATAGAGAAACGGTAGACAAAATTAGTTCCAGGTGCACAACCACTGATCTTTCTTGGAATGCAAAGTATTGTGCCAATCTTTTCTACTAGGTGAACAGATGCATCAAATGAAAGGAAATGTGTCCAACCATTCATGTCTTGCTTAAGGATCACAAGTTGTGCAAGAGAAAATGCTAATAGAATACTGTACTAGATTTAATGTAGAGCAGATTATAAGGGGTTGCGTAGTTACTTGGGCAGGGCAGATTGGGTGGACCTGAACATGGAATTGGGCCATCCTGAGAGCACGCGATTTCAGAGATGGACGACTTAACACTGGGTTATGATATAGAAAGATTATAATTTGTTTACAAACTATTTAATTAAATCTCAGGGATGTAGTACTGTATACAATGTTAATTAGTTAGTACTAATAAAAGTAATTAATTAGTTAGTACTAATAAAAGTAAAAGTAGTTAAATAATGAGTGCTGTGTATAACAGGTTCAAGGTTCCTCCAGATTTCTCTATTTTACTCCTTTCTCTTCCATTTATCCCTCCCTCCTTTACCTGAATTAGGCCTAGGTTCTGTAATTGGCTTTAGGGGTTCCAAAAGGTGGAGTTTCATAGCAAGTTCTATGTAGGATCTTATGAAAATTTTTATTGTGGTTTGGAGAGTACTGTGGAAATGGGCTGTGGCAGCCTGGAGGAAGGACTGGCCTTTAACAACTGGCTGAGTTGTGGTAGGAGTTGAAGGTAATTCAATTGGTAACTTAAGATAATTTTATTGGTAAATCTTACCATTGCCTCTCTCTCTCTTTTTGCAGGCAAAAATGTGGCAAAAGGTAATGTGGCAAAACAATTGCCAAAAGTAGTTTAGATGATAATTGTTGTCAATAAATAGCCAAGGTTGATTACAACGAATCTGTTTGCAGTAGATGGGGTCTAACATAAAGTTATCCTTAAAGGGAAATTGCAGTGTACCGCAGGTCATATTGTACTCAAGCTTATAGTTTTTGCTCAAATTAAAATTCATAAAGTTGAGTGCAATATAGTTAGTCAGTAGTACTATATGATACTGTATATAGATTAGAGTTAAGGTCATGTGTGGATATTACAACTTGTGGATAAAAGTTCTACATAAGCTGTCGTGGTTGGAATTTGGAAAATTTAAGGATGTACATGATTGTATATATACAGGTATTTGAGCAAATTCTGCTTGCATTGCTGCTTTAATGCTGCCCTATATATATATTGCTGGATAAATAAATGTTTATTTACTTTTATAGGCCTGAGTAAAAAAAGATTATATTCTTTTAATCAAGAGGGGCAAGCATGGATGGCATGACATCGTACCAGAGTGGCGGGGCCCAAAATGGTGACCTTCAGAAATATTCACATAATATTGGTTCAAATATACAGAAAATCTCTCAAAATGGTATGTATTGAATGCCGTTTTTAGTTGAAATTAAATGTATCTTTCAATTGTTGGATTTTTATCCTTATAAATGTAGCTAATGGTGTTGTTGACGAATCTGTTGTATAATACAAGCACTCTCAGTCTGCATAAGATGTGATCTTGGAATACCCTATTTAGAATAAATTATCACACTAAATTTGAGGTTATATGGGAAAAAATGTGTGCATTTGAGACCTCATTAACTTCACCTTTTCCTATTTCAACAAGACATCTACATGAACATTGCTATTAAATACTCCCACCACTTCTTTACCACAAATACAATGCATAATGATCTAAAATGCTTGGGAGGTGTCATAATGCAAAAATACAATCCAAAAAATACATAAAACACAAGGTAATTATATCAGTTATAGAGTCAGTAATGGGCTGTAGTCATTGGCACAAAAGCACAAATGTATGTGTGAATATGCGTTACCATATTTGTGCAGATGTGGATGTTTAGTATAGATTTTTTATATGTTTTTGTTGTGATCCTGCCTGATTTTCTTTATCCTTTTGAAGTATGACTGGTTATTTTTTCCAGTTAAATCTATGCAGCAGCTGGTGAATCAACTAGGCACAGATCAAGATAATCAACAGCTGCGAGCTCAGCTGTGAGTAACTTCTGAAGCCGTTTTTTCCATAGTAATTTTTTTTCCTCATAATAAGACTATCCAAACTTTTAGATTTATCATTTAGTGAAAAAGATGAAAATATTTCACTTGGTTGACCTACATTGAATGATTTTAACATTGTATTTCATCAACATTCATTCCTTCAACCTTATTAGAATTATAAAATATATTTTTATTGCTCCTGTTGAGTAAAACCAGTTATTTTGCAAATTACCTTTATTTCAGTAATAGTTTTCCACCACATCTCCACCCTGTTCCCTTTACCTAAATCCATAACAAATAAAATTAAATCTTAACGCTTATAATATATACTTAGACACCAGGTACAGCACTACACTGGAGGTTTGGCCAAGGACACAACTGTAGAACTTAGAACATTCAAGTCCTTATCAGTACCCCATGGTCAGGATGCTCGAACATGGCACATGCAGGCAGAACGACTTACGAGGGAGTTCTCTCAGGTATGGCAACTTGTATTAGTATGGATCATTTGCATTTGTTTTTTAAGGAAATGCTTGTAATTTTGTTACAATTTAATGATTAAATATTGGTGAAAAGAGAACTGTCTTTCCTTATAGTTTCCAATTTCTATATACAGTACACGTACTTTTCCAGGCTCTGAATGACTTCCAAAATGCTCAGCGACAAGCAGCAGCAAAAGAAAAGGAGGCACTTAAAAAGGCTCGAGCGGATTCTGATGCTCATTTTTTTGGTTAGTGTGGAGGCTATCACTTTTGATTCATAGGATCATAAAGATTTAAGACAGTGTACATAGTGTTCAAAAGGATACATAGTGATAAAAGGGGGGGGGGGTAATTGGACATAACATAATATTTAATAAACTTGCTAAGTACTATACTCTTGTAAAGTATTTAAACTTCAGTTTTAAATTATTTTTATTATTAAGAATATTGTGTGATTCAGAGGATCCAAGTCATGGGGCGGCCCTTCTGGACTTGGGAGACACAGGTCTCAAAGGTCGGAATCAGCAGTCACAAATGCAGATTCAAATGGAGCAAGAACAAGAAATGCAGGCACTGCAGGAGAGAGAGACACAGATACGCCAGTTAGAAGTAAGCTCGTTTTTTAATTTGTATACTATATGAAATAATCCTGCTGTCATTGCAAACATTAAAAATGAAAATGATTTTAAATGATGTGGGATGATTATGAAGTAAATTTGTATTTCTTCAGTTCATTGAGGTTGCCAAAGAGTATAGAAAGTGGGTATTCTGAATGAATGAATGAGGCTGTAGACTTGTACAACCAGGATCAGAATCAGAATCGGGTTCACTCACAGAAGTGAGGTGAGCATGGGGAATAAGAAATTGATCAAAAATTGAGAAAAATCACTTGGAAAGTCACAGGTGGAACAAAACAAAACAAAACATTACTCTTAATAAGGAATAACAAATAAAGCAAATGATACATAGGAAGGGTAAATGATTCTAGCTCCAGCTCACCCAACTGCTACCAAGTGACAGTCAGGGTGTTGAAATGGCCTAGGTTCAAAGCCCTAGAGCACCACCAAAGGTGGTGAATATACTGGCATCCTCTGGTGCTGCATAAATGAGTGTTAATGGCAGATACCGAGCCAACTCCGTCCTCAACCATTCCTCCATTGTTTTTATGGAATACAGTACTTTGGAGCGAGTTTTTGGAATAGTAGGATGCCAGTCTTAAAGTAGGAGTCTAAACTGAATCTGAATTCTTTCCAGTTTAGGTCCTCCACCACTGGTGGAGAAAACTTATGATACAAGGTTCTGGTTTTCTTGTTGCTAGTGTTCTTGTTCTCCACAGAGAGGCAGATACTCTTTTGTTGCACTCAGATTTTAGTGGAAAGAAGTTGCTCCAGTCTTCAAAGGGTTTTCTGGAAGCTCCCTGTTTTAGTATTGTTAATTGTGCCTTGTTCGTATGTTCCCTTTTCCCATGATGATGAGGTGTGGCAGCTTTCCATTCAAATTCCCAGATTGTCTGCAGCTTGGGTTGCTGTAAACTGAAAGGCTTGGACCCATTTGGCAGAAGTTCATTTCTATTCTGCTCATAAGAGCTCCTTTTATCTTCCATGGGTTCCATTTATATCTTCCATGTGTTCCACCTCTTCCATGTCGTGTACTATGACTATTTTGGATGCTTTGCCAAGGTGGTAAAGTCACCTCTGCTGCTTCTGCAGGATATGGTGACTGACAGTGTGACTCATTGTGCCTGATGTCAAACTGTGTTGATTTTTTTTCAGAAATCTGCTTGGTCACTTTCTTTACTGTTTGCTTTATTTTTCAGAGGTGGAAGTGAATTGAGCTTTTATTACAATTGGTACATATTTTCTACATCTCCAGCAGGTGTTTCAGTTCAAGACAAATGCTTTGGCCCTGGTTTTAGTCTGTTCTTGGCACTGTTTTGCTCAGATTTTGTATCAGGGTGGGGTTTCCAGTGCACCAGTTACTTTAGCGGGTGTCGATCCACCTGTTAGCCCTTCGGCTTTGAAATCGCAACCCTCCAGGCATTCGCCCATGTTTGGTGGCAAGCAAGGTGCATCTCAAAAGATATTAGGTGCCTAATATCTTTTGTTTTTCAGTTGCTCTCAGTTTATGCACCGTTTTTCTCCTTTCCTATTGGAATTTGGGGGGCACTTTGGGTGCCACATTAGTAAGGGTGGCAGCAGATCAGGACACCAGGTGACCTGTGCTGTCACCTGGTGGCAGTTGATTGAGTAAGAGCTAAGGTTGTTGATGCACTGCTGACTTATTTCTTTACTTTCTATTTTCTTACTAAGGTCAGTAGTTTGTTTTATTTTTGCCTGTAACTTTCAATGGGTGGCTTTCTTGGTTTGGCTTAAAATCTGATCCCCATGCTCACCTGTGCCACTGAGTGAATTCTGGTTCTTGTTTCCAGTAGACAGTGCAAGTTTCAAAGATTTAATGTGATTTAAATTCTTAAGCATTGGGAAGCTACTGAGGAACCTCCCAGTGGCATTTCTTTACACTCGACCCTTCTATATTTAAGACCATGGAAACAAGAATTATATTTCTGACATAGTAAAGGGACCCTCCCCTCTCCCTCATGTTGACATCAGCAGCAGCAGTAGTAGTAGTAGTACCTGTATTCTGTTTGGAAGCATTATGCTCTTTTAAATGTTTCTTGACAGCTTCGTATTGACTATTTAAAGTTTATGTTTTTTTTGCATGAAACCTTTCAATGTTTCAGTCTGACATCATGGATGTTAATCAAATCTTCAAAGACTTGGCAACAATGGTTCATGAACAAGGTGAGATCGTTGATTCCATCGAGGCCAACGTTGAAGCTGCCCAGGTTCACGTGTCACAGGCATCCACTCAACTCTCTCAAGCTAGGCAATATCAGGTACTTTTAATATTTTATATATGCTGAGCAGTAGCTTAATAAATTGACTGATTTAAGTATTGTGTAATGCAACCACACTGCTAATGTTTATTTTATGCACAAGTGCACATAAATTTGTGCAAATGCACTTGTGTGTACATGCATGAACACACACAGGACAGGAAAATGGGACAGAAAAAACAAGTTTGGAGAGGGGACAGAAAAATTAGGAAAATTGGAGGCATTTCCATGCTGGTGAAAGAACACCTAAAGGTAAATGAAATAATGATTACCAATCCACGAGAAGTTGGCATAATGGCACTGAAGATTTATGATCAGGATGATAAACTGATACTCATAAATTCATACAGTCCACCATCATGCAACACATGGACAAGAGAGGAGCTGGACCATAAATGAGAGGCCCTTATAACAATCATAGGAGATATTATACAAAAAGTGGATAAAGATAGATCACAACTGCTGGTAGTTCGTGACTTCAACTTTAAATCCATAGACTGGGAGGCTTATGAAGCTAGAACGGAGGATTTTTGGACCTGTAGATTCATAAACCTCATCCTGGAGACATTCATGTACGAATTCGTTAAACAAGCTACAAGGATGAGGGGAAACGGATGTTCCCTCCATGCTGGATTTGATATTCACCAGGAAAGAGGAAGATATATTTGACATTCAGAATATTCTTTCCCCTCTTGAGCAAAAATGGCCAAGTTATTTTGGAAATAAAGTATGCAATGTGTTAAAGTATAGAAGAGAATGAGGAAAGTGAATTGGTTAAAAAACCTGATTTCAGGAGAGGACACTGAGGGGAACTTGGAAAGTTCTTTAATGAATTTGATTGGAAAGTCTTGTTGTTAGGCAAGGAAGTAAATGAGAGATGTATGTCAAGTTTTGTGAAATATATAATAAAAGCACAACAAATTTATACCAAAACATAGGTGCAGACCTAGACAACAGGATTGGTTCAACATAAATTATGAGAGGGCCAGAGACCAAAAGACACACAAATGGATTCAAAATAGGAAGAGGCCAAACCCTCAATCATACCTAGCAATACAAAGCAACAAGAAACAACTACAGAGCAGTGAGAAAGGGGCTGAAAGAAAATTTGAGAAAGGGATAGTTGACAAATGTAAAACAGAACCAGGTCTTTTCTATAAATTCACTAAAAGCAAATTGCAGGTAAAGGATAAAATTCAAAGGTTGAAAATGGGAAACATATTCACGGAAAAGGAAATGTGTGAAACGTTAAATGAACAGTTACAAAGTGGGTTTGTGCAAAATGAAATTCTCAGAGAATCGGACACAATAAGAATTCCAAGAGCATAGAGCACATACATTTGTGTAGAGATTAAGTGGGAAAAAATGCTCAAGGAGCTAAGTAGAAACAAAGCAGTTGACCCAAATGGAGATTCGCCATGGGTTCTGAGAGAATGCACACCCGTGCTGAGTATTCCACTTCAATTGGTTTTTCAGGTGTATCTATCTACAAAAGCCCTGGTAAAATGTATGCAAAAAGCTAACACAGTTTCAATCTACAAAAGTGACAGTAGGGAAGAAGCCCCTTTAATTATAGACCTATATCATTGACGAGTGCAGTAGTAAAAAACTGGGAAAACAATTAAAACTTAATGCGTAGAACACTTGGAAAAAAATTATATAACAGACAGTATGGATTCCAATCTGCAAGATCCTGTGTAATGAGTTTATTTAGTTTCTATGATATAGCCACAGAGATTTTACAGGAAAGAGATGGTTGGATTAACTGCATTTATCTGGACTCTGGACCTAAAAAAGGCTTTTGAAAGTGTCCTACATAAGTTGTTCTAGAAACTGGATTTACATGAGTGACAGGAAGGCTTCTAACATGGATGAAAAATTTTGACAGAAAAATAAGGACGGTAATCACAGGCACTGTATCGGACAGAAGAAATGTCATGAGTGGAGTACCACAGGGTTCAGTTCTTGCACTAGTAATGTTCATTGCCTACATAACCAACCAAAAGGAGTACAGAACAAGTGAACATGTTTACTGATGATGCTAAGATACTGTACTTGGGAAGATAAGAAACTTTGACGATTGTCATGCCCTTCAAAGAGACTTGGATAAAATAAGTGTATGGAGCTAAGTATGTATGGAGCAAAGCGATCTAGATTTTGCCCTTTATAGGCACTTACCATATATATAAGCATTGACAAGTGGGCACTCATTTAACTACTGTACCTTGTTTGTATCATGGGAAATACAGTATTTTGTTGATCACCCTTATGATAGTACAGTATACCTAGTTAAATTTGTTGCTGATTATTAAATTCAAGCTCAGGGATTTGGGTGAATAATGAGACCAAGAGTATTGAATAAATATTAAGGTACGATGGAGAGGAATCCACACCCCTTAACTCCTCAGGTGCAGGTTTGATGCCATTGTACTGCATCAATATTTATTCATAGATTCATCACATTCATGTGATTTCATTCTGCATCACGAGCATTCTTACAGAAAGAATTGTATTCTTGTGCCAGAGCTGCCTTTTGGCAACAATATCCAGTATTATTGCAGTTATACGGGGCTTGTGTGTACAGTATGAGCATGGTTATTTTAAGCATGTTCTATCAGTATGATATAATCTGCTAGTATATGAAATTAAATCTATTATCTATGTTTTATAGCTGGAATACAAGAATAACGATTGTTTCCAGATATATTCCAAAAGCTTTTTTAGTATCCAGTATGATGCTTATTAAATGTTATTTTGCTGAATACAACATACAGTATATTTTTTTAATTTATCAGGTGTTAGTGTTGATGCATTGTGTGATAAGATGTACAGTAAACTCATCAATACAAATATTTAATAAATTTTCCATTAAAAAAAAGTTATATTGGTGATTAAAACTAATATGATTTGTTGTTCATTCTCTCTCTCATCTCCTTTTTCATACAAAATGATAGAATTAATCTTAATACAGCGCTCTCTATACTATATATCTGATTATGTGAAGTAAGCAGAGGAAATCATCCTATATATTTCAGTACTTCACTAACAAATATATTTTTTCAAAGGAAACCTATGCTTCCCTTCACCATTAATATTCTCTCCTGCACAATGTCTCTATTTTAGCTTGATTGAAGTTGTATTGTTATCAATACAGTATCTTCTGTTTTACCCTTCCTCTAAGGAGTCCCACATCTCTATCTTCTTGGTGAATTTGTTTCAAATGCTCATTCCATCTTCAGAGAGACTAACTTTTTTCCCCATAGGAACCCACTTCATTGTGGTGGAGAGTGTAATTACCCAAGTATAATTACGTAAATGTAGTTACAGGATGTGAGCGACGCTCGTGGTGTCCCATCTTCCCAGCACTCTGTCATATAACACTTTGGAATTACTGATGGTTTTAGCCTCTTATCACCTTCTCACCTAACTTGTTCCAACCCTCTAACACTCTGTTTGCGAAAGTGAATTTTCCTATATTTCTTCGGCAGCTTTGTTTGGTTAGTTTAAAACTATGACCTCTTGTTCTTGAAGTTCCAAGTCTCAGGATATCTTCCCTATCAATTTTATTGATTCCTGTTATTATTTTGTATGGAGTGATCATATTGCCTCTTTTTCTTCTATCTTGCATATATCTTGTTTTGGCATTTAATGCCTCTAACCTTTACTCATAGCTCTTGTCCCTTCAGTTCTAGGAGCCACTTAGTAGCATGTCTTTCCACCTTTTCCAGGTTGTTGATGTGCTTAAGATATGGGCACAATACAATCGCTGCATATTCTAGCTTTGGTCTAACAAAAGTCGTGAACAATTTCTTTAGTATTTCGCCATCCATGTACAGTATTTAAAAGCAATTCTGAAGTTAGAAAGTGTAGCATAGACTCCTCGCACAATGTTCTTTATGTGGTCCTCAGGTGATAGTTTTCTATTTAGAACCCCCCCTAGATCTCTTTCTTTATCAGAATTCTTTAAAGATTTCTCCCATAATTTATGGGTTGTGTGGGGTCTATTTCTATGTTCTCCTAATCCACATTCCAAAACATGGCATTTATTCACATTAAATTCCATTTGCTAAATGGTGCTTCATATACTTATTTTGTCAAAGTATTCTTGAAGGGCATGACAATCATCTAGGTTACTTATCTTCCCTATTATCTTAGCATCATCATCAAACATGTTCATATAATTCTGTATTCCATTTGGTAGATCATTTATGTAGACAATGAATATTTCCGGTGCAAGAACTGAACCCTGTGGTACTCTACTTGTGACATTTCTCCAGTCAGACACACTGCCTCTGATTATTGCCCTCATTTTTTTATCGGAAAATTTTTCATCTATGTTAGACGTTTACCTGTGTTACCTGTACCTGTCAAATATGTTCGTTTCCAGAACAACCTTTTATTTGGAAGCCTGTCGAAAGCCTTTTTAAGGTCCAGATAGATGCAGTCAACCCAATCATCTCTTTCCTGTAAAATCTCTGTGGCTCGATCATAGAAACTGAGTAAATTTTTTACACAGTATCTTCCAGATCGAAAACCATACTGACTGTCTGATATTATGCAATTTTTCTCCAGCTGTTCTACCCATTACATTTTATTTATTTTTCCAATATTTTGACTTGTGTACTCTTGTCAGTGATACAAGACTATAATTGAGGGGAATCTTCCCTGCTGCCACTTATGTAGATTGGAACTATGTTAGCCTTTTTTTTTTCCACACAATTGCTATGACTCCTGTATACAGGGAGGCCTGAACAAACAGTTTAAGTAGAATGCTGAGCTCAGGTGCACATTCTCTCAGAACCCATGGTGAAACTCCATCTGGATCAACTGCTTTGTTCTTACTTAGCTCCTGGAGCATTTTTTTCACTTCATCTCTAGACACCTCTGTGTTCTATGTTCTCTGGAATTCTTATTGTCCGGTTCCCTGAAGATTTTAATTTGTACAAAAACACTTTTGGAACTTTAAATGAAAAGTTTCACATATTTCCTTTTCATTTTCCGTGAATTTGTTTCTCATTTTTAACCTCTGAATATTATCCTTTACATGCAATTTGTTATGAAGTTATTGAATAGGCCTGGTTCTGTTTTACATTTGTCTGCTATCCTTTTTTTTTAAATTTCTTTCTGCCTCTTTCCTCACTGCCGTGTAGTTGTTTCTTGGATCTTTGTATCGCTGGTATGTTTGGGGATTTGGCCTTTTCCTATATTGATTCCATTTTTTGTCCTTTGGTCTCTGGTCCTCTCGCAATTTCTGTTAAACCAATCCTGTTCCCTAGTTCTGCATATCTGCTGTGGTATACATTTTTTGTTCCTTTATCATATATTTCACAAAACTTGACATACATCTCATTTACTTCATTTCCTAACGGTCAAATGCCTTAAAGACATTTCTAAGTTCCCCACACTGTCCTCTCCTGAAATCAGATTTTTTAACTGCTTCAACCTCCTTATTTTCTTCCAGATTATAATACACTGCATACTTTATTCCCAAAAAGATATGGTTACTTTTACTCATGGGAGGAAGGTACTGAATGTCAAATATCTCTTCCTCTTTCCTGATAAATATCAATCCAGCATGGAGGGAACATCCCCTTCCCTCATCCTCGTAGCTTGTTTAACATGTTGAAACATGAATGTTTCCAGGATGAGGTTTACAAATCTACAAGTCCAAAAATCCTCTGTTTTAGCTTTATATGCCTCCCAGTCTACGGATTTGAAGTTGAAGTCGCCAACCACCAGCATTCGTGATCTAGTTTTATCAGTTCTTGCTATAATCTCTCGGTATTGTTATAAGACCCTCTCGTTTATTATCTAGCTCCTCCTCTGTTCATGTGTTGCATGGCAGTGGACTGTATGCATTTATGATCATTAGTTTATCATCCTGATTGCAGATCTCTAGTGCTATTATGTCGACTTCTCTTGGATTGGCAATCATTATTTCATTTACCTTTAGGTGTTCTTTCACCAGCACAGCAACGCCACCGCCATTTTAAATTTTTCTCTCCTGTCTCTAAACCGAGTAGACCCTTGGGAATATAACCATTTAAAATATCATTTTCAAATTTCGTCTCCGTGAGTGCAACAATGTCTGGCATCTGTAGCTGTATTGCATCACTTAACTCCAGTATCCTTGATCTCACCCCATCTATGTTGGTGTACATGTATACAATTTTCAGGAACATGTTTCCCCCCTCTCCTTATTCTTCACTACCCCTTTCTCTAGGGATTTTGTTGGTTTGTCTTTTTGTACCATTTTACTGACTTGCCTACCCCTATCACTTTGTAGAAAACAGAATTTATTACTTTTTTGTTCCTGCTCTCAAATAGACGTTTTGCCTCTCTCTGTCTTCTCTTGAAAGATCTCTTTTTAATGACTATAATTTCTTTGTAATTTCCTAACATTCCTTAGTACTACTTCCATCTGTTTGGCGCCGTTTTTAGGGTGATTCTCAAAGGTTGATCTTTTCCTTTTACGTACCTGCCAATTCTCCTGTAGTCGCAGACATAATCTATGGTTGCAAGACCTTCCACTAGCCCAACAATTTTATCTACTACTTTCACTTCTTCTACAGCTCTTTCTGACCTAGATGTAATCTCCTTTTCTTTGAAACCAAAAATTATTAAGGACTTGCCTCGATCAACTATGTTTTGCACCATTCTCGGGTTTGATGCCAGTTTCTTTCTGACTTCCAGACTAATGTTTGTTTTATCTTGGTTGCTGCAGTGTTTGGCTTCCATTACTGCTTCTATTTTTTCCCTCTCCTTGGCCACTTGTGCATAGGTGAGTTGCATATCCTTCTTGCACTGTTCTATTCCCTGTGTAACATCCTCTATCTGTACTGACAAAAGTTGTTTTTCCTGTTGGATTTCCTTACCTAACCTATTGTAGTCATTTATGTTTAAATTTGCTTTAACTTTTTTTTTTTTTTTTAACTTCTTCCAAAGCCATTTTCAAGAGTTTATTTTCCTCTTCCATGGCTCTGCAATTTGTTTCTAAATGATTATTTTCCATGCATAAGTCTTTCACTAACCCCTCAAGACCTAATACTTCTCAAGTTATCATTACTTCGTCTTAATTTGCTGGATTATTTCTATGTGATGGTTCACTTTAATATCTGATTTTGCCAACTAGTTGTGTAGACTGCTTATATCAATGCTTTCTTCATTGAAACCATCAAACTAGCTCTGTTTTGTTTTGCCTCTTGCCGGCGGCCATCTTGAATGTCGTCATCTGCACTGTGAACACTAGGGGCAACTTTTTCTCATCCAATTTGTTCACTTCCCTTGCCACATTTGTGTTCTCACCCATTTTTCCAAAGCACTACACCTTTATCTTTCTCGGGACACCCCTCACTATCATCAACTTGTTCTACAATACTTAGGAATTTAGAAAAATCCTGGAGCTCCTCTGATGCAGGTGTTGACACAAGGGGGTGTGACCTGTCTCAAAGACTCAAACTAGTGTAATCACCTAGGTGTGTTTACAGACTACATAACTTCCTGGGCATAGGATACAAACCTATTTCTTGATCTTCACTTTCAATAATTTTTCTGTTTTTGTGTTATATTGCCTTAATTGAAGAGTTTACTGTAATCATGTTTATTTACAAATATGTAAGAATGTAGTGCTAAAAGCATCACACAAGGGGTCCATCTTATTACCCAAAGCTTCTCAAAGCTTCCTAACAAGCATCTCAAGGCTTCCTAACATTATGTTAGTACAGTAATGAATAAATATGATATATTTACTCATTATAATGTTGGTGCTGAATGTAGAACATGGAAAAACATTTTTATTCTGAAAAAGTATCATTTCACAACGAATTAAGACAAAAATAAACTGCTGGTGATGCCAAAGCAAGTCGACGGTCCAAGTGACAGTGTTGTGGAGCGACTTATCCAAGACACATTGTTGCCTGAAGAGTGTTTGCTGGCATATCAGCCTCCTGTACCTACCTATCCTAGCCAACCTACCCAAACATAACCTGACAAAACCTAACTTTACTACATAACCCTAACCTAACTAAACCTAACCTATCCAAACCTAACTTAATATAACCTGTATGCAACAATATATCTTGGATAAGTCGCTCCACAACATTGTTGCTTGGATCGTCGACTTTCTATGGCCTCTTATGCCATTTAGTTTCGTCTAATTTTGTTATAACCTTATATTATTTCAGAGTAAAAATGTTTTTCATATTCTACCTTCAGCACCAACATTATAATGAGTAAATATATCATATTTCTTCATTACTCACGTAATACTAGGAAGCTTTGGGTAGCTTTGAGTAGATTTGGGTAGCTCTGGGTAATTAGACGGACCGTCACACAAGTCTTCAAGAGGCCAGCACATTTCAACATAATTATTTTAATTTTATAATTTCTCTTTTTTTTTTTTGTAGAACAAAGCACGTAGAAAGAAGATTTGCCTTGTTGGTATTGGTATCATACTGTTGGCCATTATTATTGGGCTCATTGTTTGGTCTTCGTCAGGCTCAGGTGAGTCTTAGTACACTGCAGTAAATGATGCATTGTTTTGCATAAAAAAGGCTTATGCAAATGCATGTATAGTTTGTCTTCAGATAAGATGGAATTAGACTAAATTTCAGTTTCTGTAAAGATGAATTAATACTTTCATATATCATGCCTTGCATAAACTAGCAGTCCTCACCGAGCCTATTGGACTCTGACCTGTCGTAAAAATATTACATAATCCTTGGGGTTGAACTTAAAATCTTAAATGCATATTTGAGAGATTTTTGCCATCAACTCCAAGTAAGGAACCTAAATTATTTTTACAACAGGTTGGGTGGAGATTGGAATTTTTGTGAAGGCTTACTTGGTACATAACAAGAAATTTGAATCTTGATTGTAATTTCTACCTGATTCCAACTAATCGCTTATAAAAAATATTTATTGTATGTATTAATGTGTATTTGTTCTCTGTATAAATTATGAACACATGCTTTTTTGAATGGGTGTTGGCATGTGTATTTAATGAGTGAGAATGAATGAATAAATAAAAATATAAAAGCAAGTGCCCTCCTTTCCCTCCACCAGAAAACAAAAACTTCTATTTTAAGGTATCTTGTATGTTTTTTTTTTGTTTTTTTGGCTATAGAATGCAACCCACAACAGTTAGCCAACTTCCAGGCATCTATTTTTACTGCTAGCGAAACAGGTGCATCAGGTGAAAGGAAATGTGCCCAAAAGTCTGTCCTGCAGGGTTTGTATTCTGCACTTTGTTGACAACCTCGCTATTTACTGTTGCATTATAAATTTTCTCCCAATCTTCAGTGCTGTCAGTGCTGATTCCAGTTTGCAATTGTCAGTGTTTCATCCTGGGTTACCTGGCATGGCTTTAAATTATCTTCTGGGGAAACTCATTCTATGACTTTAAGTAAGAAGCATTTCGTCAACCATCTGCCTTCGACCCCTTATGGAAGCTTGTCTAGAAGGATTATACAAAACTTTGGGGGTTGATTTTTTACATCAACAGCATCACATATCCATTACCTGCACGTACCTCCTGGGGTGTAGATAGAAGCTCTTCTTGAATTACACTCTTGTCTAAACTGAAGTGTGGATGCCCAGAGTATTCATCAGCTTCCCCTTGACCTTTTGTCATCTTGATGCTTTGCATCACAATGACTTGGACCTCAGATTGGGAGCATTCCTTCCCTTCCCAACCCAGAGCTTGTACTATACTTTATGTGGAAATTGGTGTTCCATTTTTAAAAGATCTTCAAGATCGGTAATGCCTTCAGTGCTTTGTACGGCTTTTCTGTAGTCCCTATTCATGCTTGTACCACATCCTTGCAGGATGTGGGCACTTCTGCATTCCCCGTCTTTTTCCAAGTTCTCCTCCATCTTTGCAATCCAGAATCACTGGAGAGATAGCTACTGAGATAATTGGCTACTATGAATACTATATTACATACTATAAAATGTGACCTGCTACTTAAATAAGAAACTGGGGAATATTTGTGGCCATTACATATTACCACCACAGATTAGCTCATGTCTGTGTCTGGTCTCATGTTGACCAGAGACCTGTAGCTTAATGTTGGACCTGCAGTGTTTCGCTAACAGTCGCTTGCTTTCTTGTTGATTATCTTGATTTTCAGGATGATTGAAAATTTTGATTTGTCACTGTTCCTATGCATCACATGCTCTTCAGTAAAATATTTAATGAATCCTTTGATATTGCTCAAGTCCTTTTACTCATGTATTGGCATTTAAATATCTATGATCTCTATAATATTCTTTTAACGGAGCTACATAGCCATACTGGCTTAAGTGTGTCCTGTTGATAATTGCTTGCTTATCAGAATGTTTGTTGCTGCTGGCACAAAACATGCCAACTGAGACCTTTGATGAATATGAAAATAACATACCCTACATCTACTGACATAAGCTTCTATGCTTGCACACTTGTCTTCCTGGCTTCTTTTGATAGTAGCTTCCAGTACTTTCACACTCGCACATGTTGGTGCATTTACGAATACTGTTGGAGCCAACACCTGTGTTTCGAATTACAATAACCCCTTCACTGCCCATCTTTTTCGTGCGACAACTCCATGGTACACATGAAAAAATTAATTATAATTTTTTTTCCCAATATTGTTATGATGCATTTCCTGATCACGGAAAATTTCTACAGATTTGCTATGTACGAGTAGCTTACTTAGCTTACTTTGGCTGTGGTGGAGAAAGGCAGTGGTGCCACTGATTCACAAGTGTTGATGGTTAAGATGTCCTGTAAAGGTCGCCCAGGCTATGGGGCTGGCGGCAATTGCCTAAATATATTTATATCTAATTATTTCAGTGTCACTGACTTGTTTTTCGCTGATTTTTGCAATTATATTATGCCATAGTGTATTTTTATCAATTTAAAAAAAAAAGTGCATAACATTGATACACACAAATACATTTGTGTTGGTAATTTACATACAATACCTTTTTCATTACAAAATTTGTGGTTATAATACTGGATGTAATCATTTTAATTATTCAGTATATCATCAGACAATATTATTTATTTATTTATTTTTATTATTATTATTTCAGGATAAATCTAGACGGAAGGTGGTTCTAATCACACTTACCTGCCTCACGATTGCCTTGGTGATTGGTCTCATTGTCTGGGCTAGTAACTGAGAGGAAAATGGTCAGTGTAAAATTTGCGAGTTCAAGAGATGGTGGCATTGGAAGGAAATTTTGTTCCTGTAAATTTTTAATATTCATTTGATTTATGTGGAGGCAAGTTGTGGATTTGTTCATTGTCATTGTATGTGATTTTCATTAGCCTTGACCACTGGAATGATGTACTTTACTTTATGTTGGTTTTGGGGCTTAGCGTCCTCACGGCCCGGTCATCGCCCAGGCCTCGTAGTAAAAGTTTTTCTTTGTACAAATTTGTTAATTATGATTAAATTTACTTTATTAATATACCAAATGGAATGTAATATAGTTTGTGATATAAATAGGAGCTTCAAGTGGCACTGTAACAACTGCAGTCAGTCATGTTTAAAATGACACATTATTGCATGCAGCTATCTACCAGTATCATGCTGTTGATACTTGGTGCCTCTGGGCTATATGTTCTGTAAACAAGCTCACAATCATAGTCATTTAAGCTTTTGCAGAACATTATTTAATCCAAATTCAAGTGTACAGTGACAAAAATTTTGGGAGGGGGGAAGGGGGTGAAGGTATTCAATATGCAGTATCTCTATAAATCAATATTTTATTAAAGTCAAAAGAAAGGTGGAGTTGGACATAAAATAGTTGAAAGTTGTAGGCCATTTGTTGGGCATAAATTCAGTGTTGCAGCATTATGTTCATATTGTATTGTATTTAGAATGATAGCTGGCTGTAATCTTCAACAGTGATTTCTTTTGTATGAATTCACTATAAAAATAAACTAAATACTGGTATGAAAATTTTTATGCAGTATATTTTGCAAAATAATTTGGGCAAGTAGTGTAATAAAGTCACCATCATATACAGTACAGTATTTGTTTTTCAACTGTTCATAAATATTAATTACTAATGGATATTTTTTTTTTTTTTTTGTATATTAATTGGACCTGCTAGATGCAGATGAACGTTAGTTTACCTCGTATAAACCAGCCTATACTGAACTAATGCTTCATGTTCAGCTTTATTTAAATTCTTTACGTATTTCATTTTTACTGTTTTAATCGGATTTTGTTTTTTCAAGCTTTAATGTTACTATATTAAATTTTTAATCACCTAGTAGTTAACCGATTGGCTTAGAACTCCCTGTTGAGAATTACTAGTGGAAATCACCACGGAGTGTTGGCTTACTGCTCAGCAGCCACGCTTCCTTGCTAAATTTTTATTCTGAACCATTGCATTAATTTATAAAACAGATTGGGTGTGTTTTAGAGGCCAATATCTGAATTGTGAATGATATAGCAATATGTTTTCTTCTACAGTCTGTGGTTATCTGAATGTCCTATGGTAGGGACTTATTCTTCAACTTTTCCTATTAGTTATACATTGTAATTTTGTCTTTAATTTGGGAATTGTGCAGTAATACCTCATAATGTTATGGACGTACCATCAGATTCCATAAGTTTCAAGTTCTTGGAAATTTGGGGAATGTAAGGAATAAAAATAAAGGAAAATAAATTGAGCAAGAAATTTATTTAAAACAAAAGGTGGTTGGACTGAAATACAACTACAGTATAAGGAAAGCAAGAGATTTATACTGTATTTGTTTTTTGCAACATATTAATGAATAATGAAAGGCAGTTATGTTGCTAAAGTGTTTTAAAATCCATAACACTTCGTTATAGACTTGCCCTCCTCCATAAAGACAGTACCAAGGAGAACACACAATAATTTAAGTGCTTTAGCTAAAATGTGCAGGATACATGTCATGAAAGGCTTATAATGTCTCGATAATGTATTGTAATTTTGGCATGATCAAATTATGCTATTACCGAACCATGAGTATGGTAATACTTGTCATTAGAATCGTACAAAATATTGTACCCATCACCAAGCATATGCTGCAAATGCTCAGTCACTAACTGCTCCCAAGTACAATGCATTTAGCTAAGTACTGTGTATAACTAAGCAGAGGCCACTGTAAAGATACATTAGATAAATGAATATAGGCATTAATAAATATAATGTGATGTCAGAGGTAGTGCTGAACTAATGTGCGTGTGCGCCAGGTATTGAGCTGGATGCCAGCAGTAACGAGAACCTGCATATAAAATGATTGCTGGATCGTGGTGCAGAATAACCTAACTAATTCCAGTTTTGGGTTCGAGGCCTAAATCCCAACAACAGGTGCTGACCAAATATGTGAAACATCCAAGATAATGGTAAGGCTGATGCAATGTAATGAGTAAGTACTCAATTGTTAATCTTGATGTTTATTGTTTAGTTTTTAATTTGCACTTGGGAAGGACAGAACTCTTGGCCAGAATCCTCTTCTCGAATGGTGCATTTTATGACCGATATATTTTTTTTAACTATTACCTGGTATAACTAATGAAATTCTAAAAGTGGTTACTGGCATTTTTCATTATGCCGAGTAAAAGTTTGGTTCAATTGATCATTAGGACCATGATTAAAGAAAAGGGTTCAATACTTTATACAGTACAGTATTTTGTTTGCTATTAAGCTAAATTTGCTATACAGGGGTAAATTAGACCTTTAAAATTTAATGCCTTTCCACTTGAAAAAAAATTGAGTGAAGGGCATTTTAAATCTGGTTATCAAAACATTCTTCTTTCAACCTTGCACTACTCATGCAAGCATGAACTGTTCGAGGGCCTCAAACTTTAATACCTGTATGTATAATTTCTTTTCATTGGTAGACAACTGCATTGTAGCCATTCATTTGTTCAGAGAGATCAGTTATAGTTACATGTCTTTACTGTCCCAGTCATTTTGATGTATTCGTACAAGTGTGTGATGTCATTTTTATGATGTCTTATGTTCGTAGCTCTTGTGACAGAGTCCATTTTAGTATTTGATGGAAATTCCTTACTAGTATTGATATTAGCTAACCAAAAGATTTTATATGTAATGAGTAATTTTTGTCTTGAAAATTGTGATACTTTGGTAATACTGTACTTGTTATTCTCAAGTTCATCTTAGAGAAGCCTAGTACACCCAACTTTATTATGTGAATGAAGGTTTAGTGTACTAGATTGTGTTTTTGTAATGCAGTGTCTTGTGACCGAAGATGTATGTGTTGTATATCTTAAATGACTAGAAATGTTTCATAAGCTTTTATTTACATAGACATTTTGATGTTTTCCAACATGGTGTAAGGAGAATTATTTTGGAAAAATAAAAGTGTTGATTTTTGCTTGAGATGTTTGTAAAGTCTTGATGTATGCAACTTGCTTTATGAAAGCTGCTGCTGATAAAGAATACTACAGTAGTTCATCTTTCCTTGTGATCTTATTATTTTTCTTTCACTTAAAATAGTCATGCATGGGTTATATTTTTGGTTTACACTTTAATGGAAACTTGTATTTTTCAAAGAAAATATACACTGTTGTACTTACATATTTTTACCAATGTAAATTGTAACCTTCATTAGTCTTTAATCAGTTGGTCATATGTTCTTATTTAGTCATACAGCTTTAATAGCAAAATATTATAATTTTATATATGGCATATCAGGTGCTTATTATTTAAATTACTGCTAAGTGGAGAGCCATTAAATTAATATCCAATGTTTTAGTATACTAGTCAGGAAAATCATTAGTGCCAGTTAACAGCCATTAAGTATTTTTCACTAATGCCTTTATTTACTGAAATTACCTACCATTCCATTCACCAACTTTCCGACTACCATTTTCCACCATTCATTCCATTTTTTACCTACCATTGTTTTCCTCGTTTCTGAATTATTTATCAAACAAAGGCTTGGTGCCTTCTTTTGGTAATTATCAAATGGGAAGACACAGTCGCAACATTGTGTTTTAAGTGTAATACTGTATAATGTTCGGCATCTGAAAATTTGGTGCAATAGAATGAAACGTACATTTTCTTAAAATTTTAAAACGCCCAACCTACAAATGTAAAAATATGGGAAGTGAGGACACTTCAGTCCATCCTGGATAATCATCAGGTTGACTCAATAATGACCAGGGACAGACCAAAATGTTGCCAACTTTATTTTTAGATTTGTGGGCTGGGTGTCTAAATTGTCAGCAACATTATTGTGACTTGCATCTGCTTAAAATGTTAATTTAGCATATATAACTATTCAGTACTGTATATAAATATTACATCTTTAAGGAGATACTTTACATTCGAGTGCAAGTAAATTTATTGAGGTATTGGTTTACATTATTTCTTTCATCATCTGTGAGCTACTTGGCTGCTCACAGATAATCTTCAAATAGATTGGTCACTAGGATGAATGAGTCAGAGGTTACGACCTAATATTGGCACAGCCAAAAGGGAAACTGGTAAGTGAGCATGGTGGATGGGTATACTAAGACTGCATGTTCCTCACACTAGGATGCATTAGCTAGCTGTTTTAATTGTTGAGCGTTGTTATTATGTATGTGAATATGGTAATGCATCCCCGCCCCATGAAAATGGGAGTGGGGGGTAATGCAATGGTGGGGGCAGATATACTCGTAAACTGTAAAGTAGCGTTCCTCATGCTCTAAAACTTGTATAATATATATATATGTATATATATATTAATTGGAGCATTTGTGCATTGTACATAGTAAAGTATTATACATGTGAGCATCATTCTTGGTTAAAATCATTTATATTGCATATAATGAAACTAGAGTAGTTATAAGCTTCTTTATGTAATCTGAGTAAATAAATTATATATATTATAATAAAATACTTGTCTTTTAGAGGAGCCTTAATAAGATTTGGAATTTTTTTTAGTTTTATGATATTAATTTTACCACAGTCCAGTATAATTTTCTATATGTATTCAAATGTATTGAATAACTTTTTTCACATATCCTATTTTCCTTATTCTCCTATGATTCAGCTGATGCTGAATTGTCTTCCTGGGTTGGTGCTTTCTTTTGATAATTGCTTGTTTATTTTTCTTGTTAAAATATATTTTTAATTCCCAGTTATAAAATATATGTTGTAGATAACATTTACCTGATGGCCACCATCTCCCTACGGCAAACATGCTTGAATAATCAACGTTATTGATGCCAATTCAACATCCTTTGCCCTATATGTCCTCTCGGGTCTTTATTTTTGGCATTGATAGCATCAGGAAGCTGGTGGCTTGTCACAGGCACCTTCCATTGTTGCTGGAATACTGTCTTGGCAGTCATGGCCTCGGTGGGTGGGAGATTACATGATTGATGGAATACTTGGATATTTTTTCCTGAGCAAGAACTCAAACTAATTCAGATTTTTTATGTATTGTACTGTTTAAATGTAAAAATAATTAGATGCTATGTCCTTTTACAGTTCTGTCATGGTCGTTTTTTAAACATCCGACAGGTGATTTTGTTAATTATTCCAAGACTTTCACTTTTTCATGTATTGGATTGAAACTTTGCTTGCTCTGTGCAGGTATCTCTCAGGGTCTTATAAATGTCATGTTAATCCTGCATGTTTAGTGCTGAAGTATTAATTGATGAATCATGAGTTCAGATTACCTACTTGCCGAAAAAAGTCTCCAGTATGAATAATATAACCATAGTTGATAACTGTGTGGATGAGTAAGGAGTTCCATGCTGGGTTCATTGGAGGGAAAGGGGAATCTGCTCTGGTGTTTGCAAAAGCCTCTTAGTTTTCCATTGTTGGGGACAAGACATCTGGTAGCTCATCGAGGTTACCTTAGGCCAACTACCGACCTCCAGACTGGAATCCACAACAGTTGTCTAACTCCTGGATATCCATTAACTACTAGGTGAACAAGGCATCAGGTAGAGGGAAACATTATTCAACTGCATTTGTCCTGCTGCAGGAATTTAACTCAAGACCTTTTAGCTGTGACCCTGTTGAAAAGGATGGGGAGATGCCACTAAGGACAAGATACTGTCTGTGCCAGCATGCTTGATCCAAAACGATGTTCCTGTTCTTTTTCAGACATTTTCATTCCACTGCCACTTGTATCTTTGTGAATACATGTATACCATCTGTTCCATTCACCTCCCTCCATGTGTTCTGATTTCTCTTCTCAATTTTAACACTAACTCCTTTTCATAGTCTGTGCTCCTTTTAGGTGATTTTATCTTTAGACATGCTTTTTGGAGCATATCTTTACAAATACCCGAGACCATCTTCTAGAACCTTTTGTCCTCTCGTGTCTCTTGTCAATTCCCGCTCTTGTACTCTTTCCTGCATAGATCTTTCTCTGTCCTCTTCCACTTACTGTATATAGACCTGGCATGGAGTGTCCTTGATAGCCCCTGTATCGGTGATCATTTCCCCATCTTCGTTTCCCTCTTTTTCTTTCCGCTCTCTTATCCTCAAAGGCAGACTGGAGTCTTTAATTCTCCATTCTGCTCTTTCCTGCCTGTAAGATTTCTCTTCCTCACTCCCTCTCACTTTTTGATGATGCCTTAATAAACGCTGCACTGTTCCTCACCTTGCCTCCCGTGGAGTGCAGAAGCTTGTTCCTTGGTGAAAATCGGGCTGTGCTCAGGTTGTTCGCTGTAAATGTGTAGCCTGGAACATGTACAATAGTGGGGATACACAAATCTATTCTTATTTTGCAAAGCATGTGCATTGGTCTGTAGGACCATCCACACAGCTAAACATTTGAGTTGGAGATCCTACTTCTCCACCATTACTCTTGACACCCCTCTTCTTAAGATTGCTGGAAAATTTGTTCCAGACACATCGCCTGTCTTTATCTGTGATTCTGTTGCGACAAATCCTGTGTTGGTCACAGACAGTGTTCACACTTTTCAGCCATTAGATCCAGTGCTCATCCTTTTCTTCCTTCAGCCCCTTCCTGAATCTTGCGCCTTGAACTTTCGCACTCGCGTCCACCTTATTTATATTGATCTTTTCACCCCTTTTCTGAACCTCAGTCCGCCTGGTTCCTCTGCAATTCTACTGCAGCGGGCTCAGATGGTATTTATTGAGATGCTCTATCATTTTCCTCTGTGCTTCTTATAGCATTTGTTGCATATCTATAATCGTATTTGGGAGTCAACTTGTGTGAAGATTTGTTCGTAATGGTTGCTCTTTCCATTAGAAATCAAGGGGTACTCGAAGGACTTCCTCTAAGGACTTTCATACCATTATCCTGACGAGTTGTGTCTGCAAACTCTGAGCAAGAATACAGTAGTGCATGTCTCATCTGGTTCCTGGATCATCATTGCTCTCTCTTTCTCTCCATTCCAATTTGCAGTTTTTTGGCCTGGAGAATGCTTATAACACTACCTGGAGAAAGAGTGAGCCCAACTGCAGTCCTTTGGCCTTTTCCAGCAAAGCTTCCTCACCCGTCGTTCGTTTTAAGTGAGAATTGGTGCCGCTTTGTTAAACTCTTCAATGGTATGAGGGTGTTCCTCCAAGGTAGTGTTGTGAGCACTTCTCTTTCTGGTGGTTCTAAATGGTTTCCCTTCACCCCTGGCATTTTCTGGACCCTTTATCTTGATTGTCGCTCACTCATGGAATGCCTTTTCCTAGAACTTTTTTTGAGGAGGAGGATATCAGTGTGAGGTAGGGTCATAGTGTGGAATTAGGAGTGAATGGTAAAGGAAAGGAGTGGAAGGTATGATTATACTGCTACTCTACTGTGGGTGTCAATATTGGGGGTTATCCAGAGACATAAGACAAGCTCTTGGCTATATGGATGCCTGGGAGAGTACATATTTTGTAATCCCCTATTTTTTTTAAACAATTTTAAAAGGGAAACTTGCCTTTTAAAGACTGCTCATAAGCCCAGTCGACAGAGCTATGGCCTCACGCGTGAGGACCAGGGTTCGAGACCCCATACAGCCCAGGTGAATGGAAGGCATGTATTATTTCCACGGAAGTGTGGATGGAACTATCAGAGGAAAGCGCCAAGCTATTAAGACTTCAGCACTTGGAAGGAGTCAGGATAAGTTTTTGGGATGGGACGGGGGAAAGAAATGATGCCCAACCATTTGGATGGTCAGGGATTGAACGCCGACCTGCATGAAGCAAGACCGTCGCTCAACCGTCCAGCCCAAGTGGTTGGGCTAACAACTTATATTTTGTAATAGTTTCTTAATGTCTGCTCTGTATGTGCGGAGAACACGCAGGGACAGGGCACAATAGCATTTCATTCAATGGAGAGGGCCGAATTCGACTGTACTGCATGAGCCGAACTGCAGCCGAACCCGGTTTTGACACGTGCCGAGACAAACTACAGTGAAAACAACTGCACAGTTACAAGTTACAACTGCAATGAAAGCAGTTCGCATGAGACAACAGTTATGAGTTGCATCCTTGCTAACTCCCGGGTATCTACTTACTGCTAGGTGAACAGAGGCATCAGATAAAGGGAAACGTTGCCAAAACCCTTGTCCTGTTGTGGGAATTGAATCAGTACTTTCGACCCTGACCCGATTGCGCTAGGAGCTGCGCAACAGTACCCTATAACTTCAGTTCAAACCGCACTGCAGTGAATGTGTTCTGTAACCACGCAACGTCTCTTGTGGGCTCAGTGTACCAGTTAGCCTGATACACAAGATAGCAACCGAAGTTTAGCCTCCGTGGTGTTGTGGTAAGACACTCGCCTGGCGTTCCGCGAGCGCTATGTCATGGGTTCGTATCCTGGCAGGGGAGGATTTACTGAGCGCAAATCCTTAACTGTAGCCTCTGTTTAACGCAACAGTAAAATGTGTACTTGGATGAAAAAACGATTCTTCGCGGCGGCAGGGGATCGTATTCCAGGCACCTGCCCGAAACGCTACGCGTACTAGTGGCTGTACAAGAATGTAACAATTGTATATATCTCAAAAAAAAAAAAAAAAATTGTTTATTATCCACATTATACCAATTCTGTGGGCGGTAGGGGACCACTTTCCCATCCTGTAGGCGGTAGTGGAAAGAGTTATAGAGGCATATAATGGGCTCAGGAACTATACACCAAGATTCATTTAGCCAAGCAAGTTACAGCCTTGATAAGCTAGTTAGTTTAATAAGGCATTATACAAATTTAGTTGATTATGATAGTTATGTTTACCAAATATATTGTATCAATGTCATAACGCTGAAAGACAAAACGCAGAGATTCATGACTTCGTAAAAATCCGTGGAGCTATGATATTGTCAAGACCAAATTACTAAACAGTATGGGGACGGTCTCGCTTCTTGCAAGCCAGTGTTCAATCCCCAAACCCCGAAGCGGTTGGGCACTGTCCCTTCGTTTCGTCCTATCCCAGATCCGTATCCTCAAATCCCTTTATAGTCGTAATGACAATATTTTCTCCTTTACGGGTTATTCATGCCCGTGCCACCTCTTGGGTGGCTTAATCTTCATAAATCAATCTTTCTCCTGTTAATTACCTTACAATCTGGATCGTACGATAAATAGCGCTACAAAGAGTGAAAAGCAGAATACAAGCAGCAGAACACGACGAATGGGCACTCATTCACACACAGCACCGCTCTTGTGGCAGGTAAGTCCACTATGGGCTCACCATGGTCCGTGCTACTTGGCCCGCTCCTGTGCCAGGTTAGTTACGGGCTCACCATAGCCCGTGCTACTTGGAACTTGTTCCGAGTAGCTGAGTCTATAACAACAACAACAACACGACGAATGGGCTCATTATAGCCCATGCTACATGGACATTTCGCTCTGCGTAACTAAATCTAAAAACAACAACGAATGGAAGAAGTATTGCCAGAGCTCGTGGAAAAGGTCCTAGAGCAAGGTCGAGGCGCTAAATATTGAAAATCAACAACACAGGGTGAAAAACTGTTTGTGCAAAGCTTTATATAGAGGAGAGGGAGTGCTATCTAGGACACTTGAGGCTTGGGTGTGGGTGTGGAGAGGGAAAACCAAGGCCAGCGAGCGGTGATGGTGCTCTCGCCCACACAAGAAGCCATTGTTGAACACCATTGATTACATAGAGTTTTCCCTCGATTGATTAAAGTCAGTGCCCATGAATTCATCTTGTGGCCAATACTTACCCCCTAGCTAGAGACGTGTCTCCGCTTCTTGTTTCGTTGGAGGAAGGAAAGAAAACTGGACAAAACTGGACTGATTTCTTAAGAGAAGTTCCGGATCAGCCGGGCTGTGGTAGGTTATGTGGGCCTGCGGGCCGCTCCAAGCAACAGCCTTGTGGACCAAACTTAAGTCAAGCCTGGCCTCGGGCCGGGCTTGGGGAGTAGAACTACTCCCAGAACCCCATCAAGCAGGTATCAAGGTCACATTTGATAGTTATTGCAAGTAAGAAATTATGTACATCAATCTCGCCAATGATTACGAATCGCCGTAGAAATCTGATTAAGACATTTACAAGACTGAATAAGATGTGAATGTGCTAATAGTTTTTTTCTTCTCAGCAGCGGTGTCTGAGATCATTGGAGGCAACACCAGTATTCATGGGAACTCGTCAAAACTCGATCGTCTTATATCTGCTGAAGACGAGATAGTCAATGTTGGATTTCGATCATTACGGGATGAGATGTGTTAAAAAGACTTCAAGGCCATGATAGCACTATTAGTCAACTACAATAACAATCAATCGTTGGAACATGGAAAGTAACCGTCTCCTGGTATATAAAAAAAAAACAAAGTTCTGCACTAAAAATAATCGTCTTGAGGAAGGCGATATAAAAATAGTGAAAATCATGAGAAAATAATAGCGAAGAAAATACAATCGGCATATTTCCACCTGCCTGTAAACAGAGCAGGTCATGGTGCCATTACCAGGTCCTGCCCTCCGGCTGGCCAGTCCCCCTTTCCCAGATATTCCTTACAATTGAAATTCCAATTATTTCGCTGGATTCAAGACGCAATACCATAATTACTACAACCTTGACCAGCTCGTGACCTTTGGCTTCATTTGTTCAGCTGGCGAGACCTTGACAACAACAATGAAAACCAAACGTCGAATGTCATAAAAGATGAATTATCCTCCGAAGTGAGGAACGGCGACGAGAGGTTGAAAGGAGAGAAATGGATGGGGGCGGCAATAGAAAGAAAATATTATAGTATTTATACTTCGTACTCATTTGAAATTAGTAGTAGTCAAATAACCAATAGCTATGCCGCTGGTACGCCATGCCTCACCCTCTCGATAGCCTTAGCCTATCGAGAGGGTGAGGCTGTACGTCACTCAAAAGTTATCAGATTGTCTCATCTATCATTCTAAGTCTTCACTATCATTCTAGGATCTATAGATCCTACTGGAAGACCCCCACCCCCCTTAATCCCCAAGAGTATTATAATCAAGGAAGTTTTGAATTTAAATATGTTTTTGGCATGGTTAAAAAGAACTGTAGGCCACGTGTACAAAATGAGATTGTGTTTTTGTGACACGATCTATGTACTTTGCAGTCCCCTCGCTCATTTTAGTTCATATATAACAACTATACATACCTTAATCTTATCCACACGTGAAGACAAGTTTCACCAGAGTCCTTCACACCAAACAACCCAACAGCAAGGGGACGCCTCTCACTGTTGCTGGCAGAGGATCACATCACAGCGTGAGGACGCCTTTTATCTAGATTCGTATTTATTACATGCATAAATGTTCTAGAACGTGTTCTAGAAAATTAAGTAAAAGAAGAAAAACTAAAGCCACATAGGTTCAGGTGATCCATTTTCCAGGGTCTAAAAAATAATGAAAGGAAGAGCTTGGTCAACCCTTTTCACCAAATTATTCGAATTGTGCAGTTCCACAAGTGTAGTGTTGCAAATAATCACAATGTTTAAAAAGGGATATATCACTGGTATTTAACATCTTCCAATTTATTTAACGTAAATTGTGGGAAAACAATGAAATTTGCCCAAACAAATTGTGAAACAAACCAGGGTCATTTTAGTAGAGATCTAAAACATGGAACACAATGAGTATTGTAAAATAATGCCACTAGGGTACTGGTATTCATATCCCGAAGCGTTGGTAATGAAATTTCATTATTATTCCTGACCTATATTTTGTACATGGGAGACGCCAGCTACATTATGCAGTACAGTTTTGGGCTCTGTAATGCATGTAAATTATTTGAATGATGATATAAAAGGTGCACCGAGATCCTGTGTAGCGAGAACCTGTACTGCAGCAACGATTATGTATAGTGAAGATCTTTATTTGGCGTGTAAAGAGAAGATTGTGTGTAGTGATGTATACTTCTGAAGACCGTTTATGATATATCAGAGTTTTAGAGTTCTAGGGAAAGTAGGCCCCCGAGTGTATACCGAAGACTTACTTTCCCGTACTAATTTCTGAACCTAGACTTGCCTGATGAAAAAAAATTGTAGCCTAATTCAAAATTTTACAAACTACTGTAATTACAATGCTTATAGTAGTTCTCTTGGGATAATTATTACGTATTGGACATTTCAATTGTATTTATCTTTAGATTATCAAATAATGACACGATTCAGTACAGCAGACCATATAATTATTTTAATGGTTTAGGGGCCAAGTACGAGTCATTGAAGTATTTTCATAAAATAAAGTGACCGGGGCAGATCAAGTCAGTAGGAATCCTACCACTTGCCTACAACACAATTATCACCCCTAGTTAAGGTGTTACTAAATCCTATTTCCAATTATCATCAATAAAAAGTGTTGGTTTCCATATTACCAACAATGGCACATTATATGGAACCTCTAATAATAAAGACACTCCAGGGCAGGGAAGAAACATCAAGGACACGATATACAAATGCTTTCAGTAACAATAAGATTGATAAAGATTAAGCCACCCAAGAGGTGGCACGGGCATGAATAGCCCGTAAAGTAACACTATTGAAAGGCCAGCTTATATACGCAGCCAGTCTGGTGTCATCTGATAAGGTGGGAGGAGCCACACGTCGCCCACCACACTACAGATAACACGTCTCTCGCCTCTACACCCACTGCTCTAATATAACGCTTCTCAAAGATTCGTGCAAGCTTTCGCCTTCATATACTAATTTCAATGTATTACGAGGGTAAATTTGGCTGTAGAGCTTGACAAGGATTTCACAGTCGCAGGAGAGAGTGACACCAGACCCTGGCCGCCTCCAACTACACGGGTCCTCCCACCCAGAGGTCAACATACATACAACATTCTCCATTTTGTATTTAATTGATATATTGGTCAAATATCACATACATCGGAGACTACAAACTATACATAGCATTGATATAATATATAATATAAAATATATCATAATAAAATATATATATATTATATAATAAAATATATATAATATATAAATATATAATATATAAATATAAAAATATATATACTATATATATTATACATATATATGTAATATATATATATATTATATAATACACAATAAAATATATATATATATATATATATATATATATATATATATATATATATATTATATATATATATATAATGACACCTGTTAACCAAAATATTTCCATTAAATCCTCGTCTAGAACCATACACAAAAATCACAAATATTGTATATAGTGCACTGTACTTAAGGCGACCCCCTTAGTAACTGGGTTATCACATGTGCACTGTAGGTATGATCCAGTTCCTGACCTGATACTTTTAAGTTTATGTGTATATAATATACTTGTATAATCACTCACGTTGCTGAGAAATGTATTAGCCTATCTCCTGGCAATTTATAATAGGCTAAGTTGCCAGCGAGGCAATATTTTTAACTTGGCTTCAACCACAGCTAATTAAGGTTACATTTAAACGTTCGCTAAACATCACGGAGTATAAGGCTAGCAGCCTTCACTCTTCAATATAAGGTGAAGTATGTGTCCTCGATTCTACTAATGTGTCAACTCCAGGCCTGTGGGATGATGTGACGAGGATATTATTAAAAAATATATATATTACATGTCTGCCGTTAAGACTTCTAACCCTCGAAGCTGGAACATTTTCATTAGACAGTTCTAGCACCTGTGTATTGGAATCAAGAAACTCCCAACGTGTTCCACAAAGCTGCTATATCAGATGGATTCCGCTCCATCACACTTGCATATTTGCCTTACAAATATTATAGTACAAAAATATTCACAACTTTTGAAGATTATAATGTACAGAATGAAGACGATTACAGCCCATACTTGCATGTAGCACCTAGCCTGGACGGTGCATTCATACACAACCTGTCACTTCCTAATATCTGACCATTGTTGATGGCACAAGAAACAGTGATTACTTAAGCTAACCGGAATGTTATTGGATTGGAAAAGGTATTCGAAGTTAAGCTGGTTGTCCCATTAATCACATGTTAATCAAAATGGCATTGCAGAATACATTATAACTCCAATCGACACTTATAATGAAGCTCTGACGATTCGGTGGACGACCTTTTATGGATATATAAAACTAACATTAACAGATTGACAAAATGTGCTAATACAAAACTGAGCATCATTTCCCTTAGTGAGATATGAATTTCATCAAACACTAATTTAACTTCATTTATCGACTTTCAACAAGTCAATTCCGATATATTGCGAAAACTAAACCAAACTGTCAATGTAACTTCAGATTATCCCACTTCGTCTGTCACACTCCTGTCCTTGTCACGAGAACAAACACAAATTGTATTTGTATTCATTGTGGGGCGAGGCAGGGACGTGCTCGCGCCCAGCGTCGCGCGCGCGCCTCTGCGGCCCCACACACTATAGCAAATGATCGCCTCACCTCTATATAGCTGGATGTGCAGGCAAGTCGCTCGCTCTAGCTTGCGTATTTCTTACTGGTAATTAAGAAAATGATTTTCCAAGTTTCGGCACCACAAAGCCCACCTTTGTCAATCAGTCCATATAACATTTAAACAGTTAAAGAAAATAGTCATTACTGACCAAAACCAATTTAAATAATTAAATAAGTGGACTAACGAGCAAGTTTGTGGTTATGTGAACATTCTGTAAAGAACTGTAATACACTGTATTCGCTCATTAGTGAACGATTGTTATGTTAACTGTCAGGGTCGAGCTTAATATTAAAACTGCATAAAATTACACACTTGGTAATTCGCATGTCAGTAGCCCTAAAAAATCGTTTAGAGGCGTTACTAAGAACCTATTTTTTTTCTTAATTTTAGCCTATACTGTACTATATTTTAGGCATATTTACAGAAAAACTATTTCCCTACATCGAAAAACTAGTCCTATCAAGTATCAGAGACAAAGCGTGGAATGATATCTGTAAACAAAGATTATAACTTGTGAAAGGAACATGTGATGGGTGATACACCAGGCTGTGGTGGGATGGGGGTGTGTGGCGTCGCCCGAGACGGCCTCCCTCGACGCCTCGTGGCTCTACATGTTCTGGATGATCTCGTACTTCTTCCTCAGGTCAAGGGTCTCGTTACGAGGGTCAGTCTTCTTCTTGCGGGCCAGTTTGGCTCGCATCTCCGCGGCGGACATGTTCAGGTTGAGACCACTGTGGAGGAGACAGTATGTTAAGACCAGTCCAGTCGGGGCCACGACGATCACCAAATGGTGTACCTTACCTGGTACGGTTGTCCCTTACAATCGAACCTTGCCTGACCTAACCTATCGACCACACAGCAAACATGAATGTTTGTGATCACTTTTATTTAAAGTACAGGCGCTGAGTCACAATAACGTGGCTAAAGTATGTTGACCAGACCACACACTAGAAGGTGAAGAGACGACGACGTTTCGGTCCGTCCTGGACCATTCTCAAGTCGATTGTCCAGGACGGATGAATGGTCCATGGACGGATGACGGATGAATGAATGGAGAATGGTCCAGGACGGACCGAAACGACGTCGTCCCTTCACTTTCTAGTGTGTGGTTTGGTCAACATATTTCAGCCACGTTATTGTGACTCCTCGTCTGCATAGTGAGGGAAACTCTGCCACAGTTGGACCTCCCGTGATAATGTTACAGCTTAACAATAACCATCACTACTAACATTTCTATATACAAATCCTGGAGCCCAATTGACCTTTACTCAAACAATAATCAGAACTTTTTTTTAACATTAAAAATCATTTCGTTAAGGCATAAATATGATCCAGCAGCTAAATTTCCTATAACATTCCATCATTTCACATTAACGAAGATAGTTTTTATTCATAATATACGTTGTATATACAAGTTTCTATACAAACATTAGAACATTCGCTACATAAAGCAATAAACCTTTACAATATCAGGATTCACCACTCAAAGTATTGTAATTAGTATACCAGTTTATACTCGCAGGCCCGAAACTTGCCACACTAACAACCAGTCAGAATTATTCAAAAGGCAGGGACGCGTCCCTTTAGACAACCAAACCCTACACTCAAGGTTACATATCCTGACCACACTCCTCAACACACGGTGTACTAGAGTACACTGGCTACGTACCAATGATGATGTGTAAAATTCAGCTATTTGGAACACGTTCCAAGTAGCACGAGCTATGGTGAGCCCGTAGTGGAGTTACCTGGCACAGGAGCGGGGCTGTAACTCTGCGGGCACCAGTGTTATTCACTTAGTTTGAAATACAACTTTTTACTGTAATGTAAACGAAATTAGCAGAGATAATTTGCAAAGTAAAGGTTGAGATTGAATATCAGTAACGACAGGCGGAGGAAGCCAGTTCGACGCGACCTTTCAACACCCACTTTACCAGCAATTTCGATCTAACCTAACCTTCACCTGCCTTCCCAATCCACAAGCAAGATACACTCGCCCCTTACCTTACTGCTTCCACACCTGACAAGAGGGAGAGTTACTACCAGGGTGGTGGCAAGGTGCAGTGGAGCCCGCTACCTTGCTCCACTGCACCTGACGTAACATCACATGACCTGTTCCACTCTCAATGACGATATACAGTACATGACTTCCATTCCAAACCTACCACTTCACTTTTGCTAGACTTTACGTGGCTGTACCTGGAAACTCCCAGACGCACCTGCTGTTGTAGGCGTTGTTTTTAGAGACTGGCTGGGGTGCAGGTTTTGTGGTGGGAGCTGGAGCTGGTGCTGGAGCTGGTGCCGGGGCAGGAGCAGGCTCCAGCGACGGAGGCGGCGTCGGCGAGGTGCTCATGGGACTCTGGAACATGGTAGCAAACAAAACGATGGGTCAAGCTGTTACGAAATGTAGTAAAAGACAACGGGCTGAAAGATGGGTAAAGGGAACAAGTCACAATATGGGTCTGTGTCGATCTGTGCCCAGTTGTAATAGGGAAGTTACCTTACACTTCCCCCAGGGGGGGGGACGTTACCCACGGCGCGTACAATACCGTGAAGCTGCCCATCATTCCGTGTGGGGGATATTAACACTTGCGACGTCTTGTCCTTCAATATTCTCAACTCTCCATAACCGGATTGGTCAACATCTTGGCCTTGAGATTATACAGCTTGCGTCGCTCTGTACAATACAACGCTGTATGTATACAAACAATGCGTCTCTCAAGTACAGCACGCACGCATCATCAGTTTTTCCCCCTTGATGGGACATTGCATAGTTTGGTATGTTGAGGGCCCCGGGCAATGCTGAGGGGCCCTGGGTCGAAGCTGGGGGAACTCGGGTCGAAGTTTGGGGCCCCGGGTGATGTTGGGACCCCTGGCGATGCTGGGGGGCCCCGGGTCGATGCTAGCCCCCAGAAGATGCAGGGGGTCTCGGGGGATGCTGGGCCAACAATGATACGATGCTTGTATGAATGATCCGTCTTTAATCGCCAGCCACCACCAACATCCACTTAACAGAACGTCGCATTTTGACATTCTAAAGCCAAACAAACTGTCGTACTAGAAAATGGAAGCGGCTGGCGAAAGTGACCTCCTGTCCCGTTTTCTGCTTTGGGTCCTCTGATAGCTTAGGATCAGAGGCATTTTAGTACGACAGTTTCTTGACGTTGGAGGACCTGAGGAGGACGGGCTGCACCGACACTCACAGCCGCGTCGACTACCGTCTCAGGGCACTACTGTCAACACGTTAAAAGTCAAGAGAAATGTTGGCAAGTGAGGAAATGTAGTAGAAGGGTTGGGCTTGTGAGAATTAGTGTTGTGTAGCACAGTTATATGGCAGTGGTATTGTGCAGCTATGGTGGTACTGTATAGTGCAGTTACGTTATAGTGCAGTTATGGCGGTAGTATAGTGGTTATAGTGATTGTGTAGTGCAGTTATAGTGATTGTGTAGTGCAGTTATAGTGATTGTGTAGTGCAGTTATAGTGATCGTATTGTGTAGTTATGGTGATCATATTGTGCAGGTATGGTGGCACTGTGCAGGTATGGTGGCACTGTAGTACTGAGCACCAGCAGACTCACCAAAGTAACAGTCGAGGCTAGGTCCGTGTTAAAACATATTAGTCGGAATATTATCAACTCAACAATAAGCAATATTATCATCCAAGGAATGATTACAAAGGAAAACTGAAACAGTGCAGTAGAGCTCCCAGTAGCGGGAACCTCGCCCACAGCCGGCCTAGCCCGCCCTCGCTGCTGCTGCTAACGTCGCATTTTGTACGTTTATGATCCCCCAACGTACAAATTACAAAGTACTATGGAAAAGCAACGGCTCACGAATATCAACATTATCCATGTATCGGTACGTTAGGTTAGGTGGGTGGTTTGGGTTTGTACGTTAGCACTTTGTATTTTGTATGTCGTGGCCATATCAGAACGGGCTGGGCTCTCAAGGTTCACACATCTGCGTCAGAACATTAGGAAACCAAGTCATATAAGTATTTTAATAATTAGGGAATAGAAAATGTAAGAGCGTTAAATGATAGGTTAAGTCAAGTCTCTGTGCCTCCTTGAGGTGTCTGAACACCCCCTGCAGCGCCTCCTGCAGAAGGCTGATTGAATAGTCGGGGATTGAACTCCGACCTGCACGAAGCGAGATCGTCGCTCTACCGTCCAGCCCAAATGGTTGGAGGGGTGGTGATGGGGGGGGGGGGGGGGGGTAGGTGGTGATGGGGGAATAAGGGCGATAGGGGAAGGGAAGGTGGTGACGGGCAGGAAATATGGTGACGGAGGGCGGGGGGGGGGTGAATATGGTGAAGAAGGGAGGAATATCCATCGGAAATTGAACGCGAGCATTCGATTGGCCAATCAAGTAGCCCACCCAATTGAACTAAGGCCAATCCAAGTGTAGGGGGGCGGGGTGAGGGTCACGGGGGTAAGGGGAAAGGAAGAACAGGGAGGTACACTTGGGGCAGCGGTCAGTAACACACAGGAGTAAAGGGGGGTAATAGGGGGCAGGACCCACAAACGTCAATGTAAACATTCACCAATATGGAAAATAAGACAAATAAGGCGTTTAAACAACAAAGCAAAACAAGCTTAAGGCAAGAAGCGACGTTGTTGAAGTTGGGATTAATGTATAAAGCCAAAACTAAATTATTAATCAGTTAGTGGAAAATTAATGTAAAGGAGAGAGAGAGAGAGAGAGCCGAAGGTGAGCCTTCAAGAGGTACAGGGACTGAGGTCGACCTCGGGCAGTAAAGGTTCAGCACCCACTAGTCTCCAACTGTAGTGTTGATCAAGTAATTAAACCCGACACAGATGATATGATTTGTTCGTGACAAGCGAACAAACTAACAAATGGTATTGATGTATTTCACTCCAGTTGGAAGACTGTGGCTGCCGAAGGATATGAAAGATAAAATGGAAAGATAATTGAAGGGTTAGTAATTCTTGGGCTGCGAAGCTCATCACTGATGATATAGTGATGATGTGTGAGGTGAAGAGGCGAGAGTAACTAATGCAAGCTGGAGTGCGGTGCTGCAGCGGTGCGCGGCTGAGGACAAACCTGCGTGGTGTCAGTGTGGGCGGCGTCCGAGCCCCGCGGTGAGTGTGACCCAGCCGAGGACGAGGCTGAGGAGCGCCTCGAGGTGTAGGACGGAGGTGCAGCCTCCACCTCCACCTCAGCCCCACCCTTGCCGCTCCCCAATAATACGTTGTCGTACTCCGCCTCCAAGTCAGACTCGGGGTCGGGCGAGGACGGAGCTGCCTCACTTGCAGCCTCCGCCTCTACTGTCTTGTTAGTCTCGGCAATATTACCTTCTTCAGAAGCTATTTCGCTCTCTGAGGGAGTAGCATCTCCCTCATGGGAAGACGTGTCCTCCAGTGGAGGTCTAACAACCTCCTCCTCCTCCTCCTCCTCCTCCTGGGGTTTCATATCAGCAATTTGAGAAGGTTGATCATCGTCTTGAGCGTGGACGTGCTCCTCTGGGGGCCTTATATCCCCTTCCTCTGAGGAGTTGTCGTCCCCTTCTTCAGGCAAGGGAGAAGGAGAACGATTCCTCAGGGCCTCGGTACTCTTCATGGCAACAGCTTCTGGGGCGGAGTCGTCGTCTTGGCTACCGGCGGCGTCCACCGGCTGCTCCCACACATGCAAGACAAACATTAGCACAGGCAGGGTATGGGACGGGGGTAAGACACGCTGGCTCCATCTCCGGCTGCTGCATCAGGACCGTGGCACCGGCTGTGGCTCAGTGCCACGTGCCACATGCAATCCCAAATACTGGCTAGCTATAATGTGACAGGCAGGTGTCAGTGAGAAAGTTAGAAAATACTGGGCATGTCTACTAGACTCGTCAAGCCTACGTCCTCTGCAAACAACATATAAATAACAGATAGATAATGAGACTATTACAGTGATCAAGATGACTTGTGATAGTGAGCAGAACTACGGTTCAACATGCAGCTAGTGTGCATGGAAGCTTGTTACATGACTACGTTGACACATGGACAGTAATGTGTTGTTGACAGTAAAGGGTGTTAGACTGACGTACAGGTGATGTGGCTCGCTCGCTACCTCACAGGGTGATGTGGCTCGCTCGCTACCTCACATAACAGGTGATGTGGCTCCCTCGCTACCTCACAGGGTGATGTGGCTCGCCCCATCACCCCAACAGTGATGGGGGAAAGAGGTGGAGATTGAGTACCCAAATGAGCAGCAAAAACGACAGAAAGACAATAATGAATAACTGAAGTCCAATAAAAAGTGAAATGATTGAATCAGACACCAGACAGCTTCATATTAAATGTAGGGAGGTGGAATCAAAGAACTGAAGGTCAATCTCCGCAAACTCAATTGGGAGAGAACACGAGAAGCTCTGCCGTCAACACCATTCCCCCCCACCCTTCCACCACGGGTAAAAAGCCATAGCTCCTCCACCCCTTCCCCCTTGGTAAGAAGCCATAGCTCCCCCTAGGTAAGAGGCCATTGCTTGCTTCCCACTCTTCTCCCTCTCCCCCAACATATCACCCTTTCACTAGAGAGACGTCCAGCTTCACCCAAGCCGGGGTAGACGGGCACACTGACACTATACACTCTCTACAACACACATGGACGCTACTTTCATATCTCCTCGGCGTGGATACGAACATGATATATACTCTCCTTACTCCATCATGTTGGGATAAGAGCCTGGGGAGAGGTACTGTAACCAGCTACGTTATTCTCATCACCTTATTCTATTTATACGACAAATATAATTCAAGTGTAACCTCACGCATGGCAGACAACTTTCAATAAATTATTACTTGATGTCCATAGTGTAACTGATAAAGAAATTATATATTTTAAGAACTTGGTCAGCGTCACTAAATAGGAATTAATCATCTTCAGGTTACGTTACATAATCTTCAGGTTAGGTTACAATCTCGGTTGAGTCCCAATAATCTAGCCAAACAGGAACAGACAAAAAGACTCCAAAAAACGTCAGGAGGAATCATATCTAGAGGAAGCCACACTTAGTCTGTCAAATATCCTCTGGGAAGAATAGTGCCAGGCTACGCACCTAAGAGCTATCCTACTGTGGATTGGCAACATCCCAAGGAAAGGGGAGGGAAGGGGCTGCTTTACGTCTTAAGTAGGTGAAGGGTTGATGCCTTAATGGGGAAGGTTGGAGCAAAACAAATAGCAAGTGTGTTACACTTCTCAGAGTCAACTTGAGGCGGCTGGGGTTGCTGGCTACACAGAAGCTATCAAGTAAAAGCGCCAAGCCATAACGCCTATGCAGCACTGGGAAGGGATCAGGACACAGATGTGAGATGGGGACACAGGTAAGGAAGAAATGGTGCTTAACCACTTGGACGGTCGGGGATTGAACGAAGACCTGCATGGAGCGAGACCGTCGCTCTACCGTCCAGCCCAAGTGGTTTTGCTACACAGAAAATGCCTGAAATTGAAAGCAGCGATTTCTAGACTTGGGGCGACTGCTGCCGCCTTCACACTAGACTGAACAGCTGCGTAGAACTGGAAACGCCAAGGAGAAGGTAGCAAGAACAGGGCACAGTTAGACGGGGGGAGGGGGGGGATGAGGTGCAGTTAGGAGGGGGTGTGGGTGCCAGGGGGAACTACACAGGGAGAGTGCCAGGGGGGAGCTACACAGGGAGAGGGTGCCAGGGGGGAACTACACAGGGAGAGGGTGCCAGGGGGGGGGGGGGACTACACAGGGAGAGGGGTGCCAGGGGGGGGGACTACACAGGGAGAGGGGTGCCAGGGGGGGGGGACTACACAGGGAGAGGGGTGCCAGGGGGGACTACACAGGGAGAGGGGTGCCAGGGGGGACTACACAGGGAGAGGGGTGCCAGGGGGGACTACACAGGGAGAGGGGTGCCAGGGGGGACTACACAGGGAGAGGAGTGCCAAGGGGGACTACACAGGGAGAGGGGTGCCAGGGGGGGACTATACAGGGAGAGGGGTGCCAGGGGGGACTACACAGGGAGAGGGGTGCCAGGGGGGACTACACAGGGAGAGGGGTGCCAGGGGGGACTACACAGGGAGAGGGGTGCCAGGGGGGACTACACAGGGAGAGGGGTGCCAGGGGGAACTACACGGGGAGAGGGTGCCAGGGGGAACTACACGGGGAGAGGGTGCCAGGGGGAACTACACGGGGAGAGGGTGCCAGGGGGAACTACACAGGGTGTGTGCCAGGGGGGACTACAGAGGGAGAGGGTGCCAGGGGGGACTACACAGGGAGAGGGTGCCAGGGGGGACTACACAGGGAGAGGGTGCCTCACACAACACTTAACTACAAGGGTAAACATTAAGATACTCACATCACACAAGGAACCAGTGCGGGCCAGCTTCTTCTGGCCCCCGAGGAAAATAACAATCACGTTCATCGCCCTCCACACAACAAGAACGCCAGAGGAACACTTCGGGAACGTCACCGGACCACCGTAGGACCTCACCGTGACAAATGTGACGGGAGGAGCAGATCTGAGCACACACACACGTCTCCAAGCCCAAACCACGGGACCCATCAACTAGCTGGAGCCAGAGAGAACACGGCCCATCCGGCTGCGTCCGTCAACTTTCATGATGCCAGCGCCTCCAGAAGCCTCCACTTGCGGACAATATGCCGCTCTTGGAGGGGGGTCTAGCCTAGAACCGGCGCGCCAGCCCGCGAAGTACTTTCACTGCCTATACTTCCTACCCTTTGTCATGGTGGCTACAGATGGCTTACCACAGGTATTTAATCGTGTATAAAGCTAAGCCATTCATACCTGCACGCTCTTTTACTCTCCATGTGTCATTCACACACTCAGTTGCCATCTTTTGCCTTCAAGGCCGCACCTGTACCCGCCCAACATGTTATAAAATATATAATTTCACACCTGTACACCCGCCCAACATGTTATAAAATACATAATTTTGTATGTTATTATATGCATGTATTATATGTTCATACATGTATACATGTACACGCACTGTACACACAAACATATATAAATATATACGTTAATATGGCAAGAAAAGACGGCGAGACTGGAGCCCAGAGGACCTTTAGCCGCGTCACGGATTGGTCGCTCTACCCGGCATGCCTAAGGTTCCGGGTTCAGTCTAAGCATTAATCCTATTATTTGTGTGTGTAGTTTCACGCCACTCTGAACATCATTTTATAATATTGCTGGTGAGAATTTACTGTACGCATGAGTGATCGTGGCTGCGCATGAGCTCTATTTGTGACTGTGCGTATGTGGAAAGTACTTGCCAAGTTGTGCTTGCGGGGGGTTGGGCTTCGGCCCTTCGGTCCCACCTCTCAACTGGTGAACAGATTCATGAGCCTACTGGGCTCCATCATATCTACACTTGATACTGTATGGAGTCAGCCTCCACCACATCACTTCCTAGTGCATTCCATTTATTAACTACTCTGACAAAAAAATATATTTCTAATGTTTCTATGGCTTATTTGGGGGCACTCAATTTTCACGTGTGTCCTCTAGTGCGTGTACTCCTTGTGTTAAATAAACTGTTTGTCTACCCTATCAATTCCTTTGAGAATCTTTTATGTGGTGATCATGTCCCCCCCCCTAACTCTTCTGTCTTTCAGCGACGTGATGTTTAACTCCCGTAGTCTCTCCTCTTAGCTCATGCCCCTCAGTTCGGGCACTAGTCTGGTGGCAAACCTCTGAACCTTCTCCAATTTAGTCTTAGTCTTGACGAGACATGGACTCCATGCTAGAGCTGCATAACCAGGACTAGTGTGATATACGTGGTATAGAATGTTCTAAATGATTCCTTAAACAAGTTTCTAAAGGCCGTTCTTATGTTAGCCAACCTGGCATACGCCGCTGATGTTATCCTCTTGATATGGGTTTCGGAGGACAGGTCTGGCGTGATATCAACCCCCAGGTCTTTCTCTAGATTTTAGATTCTCTAGATTTCTTTCTGATTCTAGAAGAATTTCACCTCCCAAATGGTACCTTGTATCTGGCCTGTTCCCTACACCATCTTTATTATATTACATTTGCTAAGGGTTAAACTAACAAGTGTTCTCACCTAGTTGTGCTTGCGGGGGTTGAGCTCTGGCTCTTTGGTCCCGCCTCGGACCAAGTGTGTGCACACACTTGTTTATAGGCGCGTGCCCATATATGCCTATCTGGTCGAATGCCAGCCAGAGGCTTAGGGCTCGCGCTGGGAAAAAAAAGCCCAGCTCGCAGCCTTGGAAACAATGATTTAGGTTAATGAAATATCTGATCTCATATTTCTTAAATAAAATATAAATGTTTAAAACACGAAGGAACTCGGCTGCGTTCGGGTCTCTCTCGCCCCCCCCCCCCATTCCCCATCCCTTATATTTCCTTCTCTACCTTTCTCCCACATTTCCTCCCCTCCCCCCTCCCCCCCCTTCAATTTTGTCAAGAAATTCAGCAATCTCTACGTATTTTAATTGACTGTTAACTTTAGTGATAAATATTTATGCAATGTTTGATGGTGCATTGTTAATCAATTGTGGTGAATTGCAAATTTAATTTGAAATTCACAATTCTTGCCACGTGAGAAGCAAGCCTCGTAGTTTTGGTATTTTTAGTGGAGGCCCAGTCATTTCTGTGACACTCCAAGAGTCCTTGAAAAGTTCA